ATTAAGAGTAAAATACTCTGTCAACATGGTCCTTGCCTTTTCAGGATCCTCCACCACTGATCGTAGAGCCGTATCAGGGTTGTATGTAACAGTTTGCTGGTCTTTCAAGTGCACAGGAAGGCAAACGACAGATGGTGTTCGTTCATGTATTGGAAACTCAAACAGGCGCCAGGTTGCTTCGAACGAAGATAGGACGCGACAGTCGAGGTATTGTTTTATTTCGTCCCTCACTTGCGGTGCAGGCCTGGTAGAGTTAGCTGACTGTTCGACTGGACAATTTTCAGCAACGACGGTAGCTCGGTCAGGGCCCTTTGTGACGTACTTGAACAAATACTTGATCAACCTCCCTTTGTGACAGATCTCTACATTTATATGAGCTTGAAACATGACCAGCAAGTTTCTGTTGTAGGGGACTACATGTCGATTGTCGAGAATGCCATTACCCTTGTCAAACGTGCGTCCATCATTCCGACGACGGTAAACAATATAGCCATTCTGATCATATGTAGTTTCTGAATTGAAAGCCTTAGGAAAGAATTTCTTACACTTTCCTTCCACCATACATGGAGATTTGTGGTTGGCCTGGCCACAGGGTCCATGCATCATGAATTTACCAACAGTAGCATAACCAAGAGGGTCCTTCCGTGCATCTGGAAGTTCAGCAGATATGGTCGCATCAATGGCTTCCACAGTTCTGAGCTTGGCAGTCTCGTGCAACCAAACTAAAAGATGGACATGTGGCAACCCTCGCTTCTGGAATTCAATCGTGTGTATATCTGTTTAATAACGTAAATGGTGAGGGTATATACAGGTTGATGCACAGTTATAAGCATGGGCAAATCCAAGCAAATTCTGAACAATACTTGATTTGTAGAATCTTAGGTACACATACTCACTGTCGTGTATGAGAAACTAAAATGGACAACTGCACATTGAATGATACTATCAAGCAAATTATTTAACAGTTCCAAGATTCAATTGAGAGAGGAGATGATATAAAAAGTGATATGAAAACATATGGCAACAATATTTAGCTGTAGTTAGCAGCAGGTTTAAGTTGGTTCCAGCGCCAGTAGGCAATACACTATTTCATTCGCAATGGTTAAAGCTGACGGAAAGCACGAAATTCTTCATGCTGTCTTATAAAATTTGGTTTTTGAACCATCCAACCATTATTCTCTGGTTCAGTAACTACATAAAAGTTCAGTTTGAACTTTCTCCAATGAAGTAACAAAGATTAAGAAGTGCACGAAAGAAACCTCAGAAAGGCGGGCATTACCAAGGTCCACATCTTCTAGGAGTTAAAGAAACGATTCAGTGATTCTACTTTTAAGAGTTTAAGCATTTTCCATAACGAATCTGAATTTTACTTGGCCAAAATAAAAAGTTGTATCAAAATTATACAGCATGGCTTGTTAATTATGACTGTTTTACCTAAGTATGCACACCACTTTTCTTTAATCTGACTAAATCCGTATTCTAATTCAATGATAGAAGGAAGACAATCTTTACTAATATAAAAGAAAAGAGAGAGACTGAGTTGGGGCTAAAAGAAGCAGCCAAACCGGCGATGTATACATTTTAAATATAAGAAAGAACATAGTATTGGTATGAAGAACTTACCCGCCACTGTTCTTCCAAAAAATTGATGTCGGTGAAGCTGCTCCTTCAAAGCAACTACTTTAAGCCTGAATACCCGAACAACTATATCGGGCTTATCCTCCGGTTTGTTACCAACAACCCCGGCAAAAGCTCTGGTAATTTCTGGCCATTGTGCATTGCAAGTGAACGTTATAAAAAGGTCAGGATTTCCTATGCGCCTGCAAATTGCCATGGCATCAAGATACTGGTGCTTCATGTATCGAGGGCCACCAGTGTATGTTGCTGGAAGAATTGTGCCGACGTCCTTCCCGGTAGTATCACCCTTACTGTAAGCATCGCATAACCCTTTGTACAGCTCCGCACGCAGTATTTTTTGGTTTAGTTGGAGGAACTTAAGTCGATTTTGTTCGATTGTTGAGAACGCATCGACACAATAGTGCTGCAAAGCTTTACCGCCGCGCATCAAACTCTGCCCTTCATTTTCCCGGTGCTGCAAACGAAACGCATGAAATTCTCGTTCAGTCACATTCTTCCTCTTTGCGGTCGGCGAGACATGAACAGGATGATACTTTATCCCCAAATGGAACCCGTCTTCTCCATAAGGGAATAGGACAGGAAACTGCAGGGCATGGAACTTCGGATTGAGACTGTCAATTCGTTGCAAACCTTCTGCACGGTGATTTATGATGATATCCCTATCATCATCCTCAGCATTGAAATCGCCGGGTATAAGGCCTGCCACATCGGAACCAGTAGGCAGATCATATTGCCGATTTTTCTCTTCACGACAGCCTGTTATTCTAAGTCGCAGGTTATGATTGGCTGGATCCTGGACCTCCCTAGCCACTCGACGAAAGCTCTTCACCAACTCATTTCTTTCATCAAATAACTTGATCAAACCCTCGACGATTTGAGGTCGCAGAGCAAGACTTGTTGAGGAGAAGTTAGACAGTCGATCACCTACCTCATCATCTGTGTCAAATACATACAACTGCGAGAACTTTGCTTTCATCCCTTCTAGAGGCAGCAGAGAACCCATGTGATGGTAATTTGCTCCACAAATTACAAAGGAGTAAGGGCCGGAAGAGTTGGTCACTCGCCGGTCCAATTTAGCACCAACAGAGCTCATAGAAAACATACCATTGTATGACCGTATTTCCTTTCGAAAGTGCTTCGATTCTGATCCACCATTTACGTCCAAAAGGGAGTCAAGGTAAGGGGGGGTATGCCTCAACAAAGGAAGCGCCACTTTACCATGACTGCAGCAGAGAGCAAAGATTGGCATTGTTGTGTGCCGGTGTCTGTCAAGGCGTTCAGCATACCAAAACATAGCTCCACAATAAGGACATACGCATTCTGGAAGGCCAAAATCTATAACAGAATCATCCCAGAAAACACCACGAAGCCGATTCCCAGCACCGGGTTCAGTATCATTAGAGGGGCCTGTAGGCATGGATGAGCAGGCGCCGATCTTATCAGAAGGTTGGTGACACGCCACGACATTGTGAGACATGGAACACGGCTGCGCGTGACCATTTTTGGCTCTGTTCAAAAACACCTCGGACCTATTCGAGGCCGAATTTGATTTCTTGCGCTTTCGTGTAGACCCAACTGGCGTGGAAAGGACTGAATTATGTCGACCATCTGGGAGAGTGGCACCCTGCAGAGGCAATGTATAAGGCGATGACGGTGAGGGTGCCCTCGTACCCACCCCTGATAGGTCCTGAACAGCAGATCTAAAGTGAAGCGGAGTAAACGTCGGCTTCCTCCCTCTCCGATCACCAACAACGGTCGTGGAACAGGCTGTCATCGGACAGAACACACAGTCTTTTTCTTGGAGAGGAAGGCAACTTGGGTACAAAATAAAATAGGCTTGTGTAATGCGCTCGCCTCAATTCCACAGTAGATATTCAAACCTGTGCAGCGAGTAAATTGGAATCAGTTGTAATATGATAACATAATAGATTCTGGATGTAAGCAATGAATTGAGGGCGTAAAGCGGTAACCGCGCATATGACTGAGGTAAAAAGCATCAAGAACAGAGCATAATATGTGTGCTGGTTTTGTGTATTTTGTAAAAGCAAAGGGCAAGAAACCAGGGCAAACAACGATCAACTATGGTGTGAAGGAGAGTGCAGGAAATTGTAAAGTGAAACCCCCTAAAACTGAACATAAGGAAAATGCACCTGTCTCCCCCGAATCGGAAAGGACCTGGTTTCAGAATTTAAACCTTCTGTAGAACATGAAGAACAGCAAGATAAACCTTCCTCAAAGCACAGATATTCCAACCAGACCTATCCTGAAAGAACTCAAAGAGTAACTCCACAGCAGCCTTTGAGATGCTCTCAACACCTGCTAAGCACGAAAGAATTTGATCCCATCCCTCACTGTTTGCCACCTTTTCCTGGGAAAAAGCACGCCAGTCAATTATTTAAGCCAAAACAAATTTTAGAGATCGAAATAATGTAAACTGGGTGCTTACCTTATTCCGACAGTGCCCCTCTACAATGTCCTTCAAAGCAACTAAAATCTTCCTCTCCACATCCTCGCTGTGAAAGTGACCAAGTATTTGTATCACATCGTCGGTCAGCCCTCCTATGGAGATCCAATCCTTGTTAATAGAGTTTTATCTCAACAGATTTTGCATATGGCTTAATCCTTGCTCTATCAGTAAACCATCTCCTGACAACAGTTTAGCATTGCAAGCTCTAATCCTTAGGCAATAATTAAGTTCTCTCCACTCCTATATTGACTGTCTCAGTGGAAGATTAGGTCTCAACGTCCTATCTTCAAGAACCTTACCTGTTTCAGGTTCAGTGATTTCTCCACAGTCGAACCAAGCCTCGACAGCAGCTCTCTCACAGGTCGTACCAGCGCAATGTCTTTACCTTCAAACTGATCCTATTCTTGTTCACACCAGTTTCTTTATGTTATTTCCTGACCATGGAGATAGAGTTTTTGCAGCAACAGTATCAGAGACAAATTATTGGAATGCAGCAGGCAAAATTTCCAGCAAAGTTAAGGGAAAACAATGAAACGAATAAACATAGAACCCTCTCACCATGTTAGAGCTCTGGCCTTAGAAAATGCAGCAAACCAGTTTTTTATTTTTTTAATGGTGTGATGGCAAACACATCAGGGATTATGAATGGAGCATGTTAAGGAGGATGATGGTGGTCAGAGATTGAAAGAAGTCTGACATTCCAAGGGAGTGGTGCTGTCTACCTAATCCAATCAATCAGAGACCCCCTTTGTGACAAGTTGTATGTAAAGACTTCTTCCATGCAAGGTACACAGAAGTGTAGACCATGCTGTGTTTTTAAAAGCTGCATAACATATAAGTGTTCTATTTTAAATGTGTATCAAATTAGTTACTGCATATCACTATTGCAACTATAGAACGTAACAATTATTTATGTAATCGATAAAACAAAGTAAATAACCGCCTGATTTGGCTCCAGCATGTGCTAGTCGATGCAAAACTGTCGGAATACAAAGCGTTTTTCAATTTCTGTTGGTTATTTTCTATGAGGTAGAGCATACAAATGTTCATCTATATCATAAAGCACTGAAACCAGAGGACAGAACAGGGAAGCGACAACAGTTATGACGGGTGTAAAGTCGCAATGCGAAATTCACAGCAACAATTGTGATACAAAGAAGAGTCGAGACACAATGAGCTTGTTGAAAAAGTAAGACCGCGCTCTGAAAGGTCTGTTCCCACAGTCTGGAATCCATTAAAAAACTACACAGCACTGAAACCATAGGACGGAACAGGCAAGTGACAAAAGTTATGATGGGTGCAAAGTCTCACTGCGAAGTTCATAGTAATAGTTGTGATACAAAGCAGAGTCGAGGTACAATGAGCTTGTTGGAAAAGTAAGGCAGTGCTACGAAAGTTCTACTTCCACAGTTTGGAATACTAAACAAAATTCATAAGCATGGCAGGATGTAAACGGAGACAAAAGAGAACTTGTCATGGCAGCACAAAATAACATAAAGGTCTAGTTGTGATAGCAAGGATGGCTTCATGCATCGAAAAGCTTCTTCGCAACAGGCTTCCTATTAGAGTTCTTTGTTTTCAGGCTGGAAATGGGTATATCATCAACATCAACTGCTTGTTTCTTCTTGTTCTTCAGAGCAGTGTCCAGTTTCTCAATTTTCACTTTTGCAAGAGGGTGACCAACACTGTTTGGATCAGATAAAACAAAGAACTGGCTTAGAAGAGGCAAGCAACCCAGGTGTTGAGAAAGGGTACAAAAAAAAATAACGTTACTCACGGGTTGATAGGTAACATGGAGGGTGGGATGGTAATGGAAGAAGTGACAGCAACTTGTTTTTTGTCTTTGAAGTTGGCACTTCCCATTCCAGCAGAGGCATTCACGATATCAGTGGAAGGGCTATAGGCAAATAAAAATTGGGTAAAGGGTAAGAAGTGAGAAGAGTGACTTGATAACCAATGGGTAAAGGGTGATCAAAGGACTGCAGAGAGGTGTGGTAAAAGACCAACCATGGCAACGGTCCAATGTTTTCTGGAACAGACGAAGCAGCCAAAATTCCTTTTTCCTTCTTGTCGAAAGGTACATCGACAATGCTGATCTGTGCCAGCGGGGAACTCAAGCTACAGATAAAGGAAGAAATCGACCCCGAGTAAAAAATGGCGCAAGGTAGAAAAGAGCAGAGGTAAGCGATTTCAACACCATAAATAATAGAAACACAACATAGGCGGAACTAAAAGAATGTGGTGCGCACTGGAGAAGTTCCTGGATGTAGCTAAGGGAAACCATGCAGTAAAGGAATACATTTTGCTAAAGTATGAGAACAACCAACATGTAAACACAGCACAACAAAATAGGTTTCGCAATGACGTTCACTCAAGGCAGGACCATGGACAGATGTATGTACCAAGGGTAGAACATACCTAGAGGACACTGGTGAGTGGAAGTTGGGTAACGGGTCTTGCGTGGACAATTTCTCGGACGATTTAACTGGCGTAGTTGGGTTTTGCAAAGCGGCTAGGACGGGACTGCAGGTGGCATCCACTGATGCCCCAGCGACTCCACTGTAAGAATGGCAAGAGGGAGCATGATATTAGCGAACCTTGAAATGGGTTCTTCCAAAAAAAACGCACCAAGCGAGGGAAAGGACGTGGCATAATCTTTGAAGGGCAAAAAAAATGTATAAAAGTGTGTATGCACGACAGTGAACATCAAGAAGCTTTGAAGAACCTGATAAGAAGACCGCGTGGTGGTCGGGGAGCTGTGAAGACCTCGCCATCTTCAGGAACAATGCCACTGAGGGTGGTGTCGCTGCATAGTAAAGTACTAATTAGGATTGTATACAAACTGATGGGCAACATCGTTTTTTCGATTCCAATAGAGTATCAATAGAGACTGATGGTGCGACCAACACACCTTAAATGAGTAGATCGAAGACGCTTGGTGGGGGACTCGAGCACTGGTACAGAAGAGCTAGGCAAAAAGGTTTCTTGGCTATGTTTCAAAAAAGGCACAGGAAGGTGAAGATGGCATAATAGTAAGTCAACTAACATGTGTGTGGTAACCACTGGATGGTACGAACCTTGAGGCAATGGCATTTGCAACTGTCGCGATGGCATTGCTTTTCTTTTTATGGAAATAAGGTCCATGTGGTTTCCTTTCAGTGGAGTCGAGCGGCTCCTCCTTCTCAAAACCCGAGACGCAAAGATCATCCAGCGGATGAGAGACCTGCCCGACAGCAAGATTGACCATGAAAACATGTTGCTGGCCGACCAACTCCAGTATCTCTGGAGGATAACCGGTAACACGATCAGGGGAAGCCGCAAACAAAGCATTTGCGGACACCAACAGAAGTGTTTCTGCAGTTTGGCCCAACAACAGAAACGGAGCGCATGCCGAACCATTATCCTGACCCATCAGCCGAATACGAAAGCTGTGTATGGAAAACCGCAGCAAACACGTGCCACACATCAGAGGTTATGAAAGCGTAGGGGATCGGTTAAGAGAATTGGTTAGATGGTTTGGACGTACCATTGTTTAAGCTGATGCGGGAGGACCGTCGCCTCACATTTGTCACACCAGAATGGGGTATCACGACGAACAGCCGCTTTGCAACAGATAGCACAACCAAGGTAGCACCAGTCTCGTGTTGTATCTATGTCGGTAATTGTGACCTTGCAGCGGAACTTGCCACCCTACAATTCCAAAGAAACCTAAGTCACGCAACCCAACAATAATAATAAGCATATTCATTTTAGTTTGGGCGACACAGTAGCTATAATGGAGAATTTATTACCATTGAAGCAGTGGACTGAATGAGCTGAAGTTCCGGAATTGTTCGGAAGGAATCACGGTAGATTGTCAAAGCCTTCTGAGGAGTGTCGCATTCAGTTGGTAAAATTCCTATGGTCCCTATAGCATCACCAAAGCTATAAAGAATAGATTAGGGTGGAGATTCAGGCTAGTAACGCATAAAGTTAAGCAGAACATGCTTGATTTTCCACTTACTGCACAGCCAGGGACTGAGTCTGCAATACCCTTGGGGACACGACAATGCGAGTTGCAGAGGTGTTTGATGCACCTACATTACCTGGAGATAAATAGTATAAGAAAAGTCTAGAAGGTGGGCTGAACATACAAAACTATGAGAAAGACAGCAAGAATGGTGTGCAGGCAGGTTCCAGACTTTCATAAGTTGCAAGAAGGCAAATAGAGCCTTGATAAATTAACTTGGAAGCAGTGGGGCAAGCCGTACCTCGCCAAGTCGAAAGATTCAGGCTAGTAAATGCAACAATAACCGGTGCAGCTGCGTCCATTTGAACCAGTTCTGGAAGGGCAAGCCTATCAGCAAAATCCGCCCACAATGTGATCGGTAGAGTCTTTTTGCTGCAACAGTTAGGACGACATTAGATTTGGGAAAGAAACACACAGACCAGCAGAGAACAATGTGGAAGAGAGACCCACCGTTCATTCTCAAGTACAACAGTTTGCTTCCTTCTGGTTCTTTCTTGCTTTTGGAAATAAGTTACAGGCGTGACAGAGATCAGGCGCCCAACAACATCTAGTAAAAGGCAAACAGCTCAGAAACATGAGACTAAGTGACCTAAGAGTGAGCAAGGAAGACCTACCCACTAAATTCTGAGGCGCGGCAGCAAGTGGTTCAAGCTCTTCCAACTGACGGAACTCAAAACTATCGGCACAGAAACTGGAATCGTCATCAGGAGATTGAAGGAAAGCCGTGTTGGAAGTGAACTGCAGGTTCCGATCGTTGGAGCAAGGAGCCCACCGTTTCTTGGATTCTCGCTGGGTAAACTGGGTGATGTAGTAAATCCCTCCAACAGCGAGACTTTCCTGGAGGCCGGAAGCTAGCTGCGCGGGCGCGAGTCCCTGGACCAGCACACCCTGAGGATAGAAAAGAAAAGTATTGAAAGGGCAATCAATCCCAGAACTACTTGTTGTTGGGCGCACGAAGCAATAACATAGGGAACGAACCTCCTCATCTGTCCAGAGCGTCGCGAATTCGGCGAAGTCAGGCCGCAACGGATTGCCGCCCATCCAAGTGTGGAGTAGGCGTAATTTCAGCGCCGGAGCTTTGTCCGTCCAGGCCAATTTGGAAAGGACAGTGTAGTTCATTGTTAGAAGCTGAAGAAATTGTTGGAAGCTGAAGAAAGGCTGAGCGCAAGGGTGGTTCAGAGGATTAGCCGAAGCGATTGGGGGAAAATGGGAACAAACCAACAAAAGAATCGAATATGACTATCTGAGGGAGAAAGGAGCCGGACAGGGTGAGGCACAGGATATTGGCTATATGAGGGAGAAAGGAACTGGACAGGGTGAGGCATAGGATATCAATCTTCCCCGAACCGAGAGCTGGCGAATCGATGGCCGTTGGCGTGTGCAAACAGTTGTGAGGGATTGGAAAATCTGGAAAAGAATAGTGGAATGGTAAAAGGACGGACATGACTGAAACACTGCTGGATGAATGCTGTTTTTGGGGGCAAAGCAGCTATGAATGGTACAATCACGATATTGCCGCCTGCAAGGTATGGCCAGCAACTTCGCGGTCGCTGATTCTAGGGTAAGGACGAAGAAACGGCAGGAAAGAGGAGGTATGGTATTTGGGGGTCAGAGAAGTAAGTGCGCAGTATGGGCAGCAGCTTGGATGAACATATGCAGAGAGCAGGAAACTGGAGAAAAACAGCCGAAGTCGACGCAAGGAGCAGGGGGAATGGGGGTAAAGCATTGACGGGCAGCTGCAGCCTGCAGCAGTCGAGACCCGCTGGCGGGTAAGCGAGGAAGTCTTTTGAGGAGGAGTTCTTATTTGTGGGAATGTGGAAAGTCTTAGGCCTAGACGCACAACACGCCAAAAATTGCAACAGTAGGAGGGATGTATCGCAAAAAAGCGTACTCAGTAATTATATGTAAGAAGAATGTCATATGAGAAATATATATACGAAACACAACTGCAACCGACTTGTATGCCACATACTTCGAAATAACTCTGCGCTTGTGCTTGGCAGAGATGTCTGAATCTAAAAACGCCTCAAGAACTCGTGCTCCCCCAGCATCCTTTGCAACTTTGAGGACTTGCTCCGTTTCCATGCATGTGAGACTCTTGATATAGGGCTCTATGAAGTCCTGAAAATAGATCAACAAAGAGACATCAAAGTAATTAACAACTCAGCAAAAATAAATAAAAAATTATCATAAGATTATCCGTAAGAATAACTCGAGTTGTTGGAAGAGGTTTAATCGTGGATCATATACCACAACACTAACATGCCCCCTCAAACGAAAGCCACTCACAAGGGCTTGAAGTTTGCATAGGTTTGAAGACAAGAATACCATGTGCTTAACAAATGGGGGTCACCGGGAATCGAACACAAGACCTCTCGGTCACAGAAGGCTCTGATACCATGTCAATAACCAATTGGTCCCAATAACTCGAGCTATTGGGATCAACTGGTTCTTGACAAGATGCAACTTACACTTGGAAATTTTGAAAACTGCCTGTAGAATCAGAGAGCCCATGACAAGCATCTTAGAAACATTTGGTCACTCCCAAGAGGACTTGTCCTCACATCTAAAGTAATTGTCAAGAAACAATATTCTAGGAATAATGTATCTTGGAGACTCGTCCGAGCCCACACGCACTGCATCTGCAAGAGCTTGGCAGCACTGCCCAACAACATGTGAACCGATCTCATTATCAAAATGAAGACTTTCACAAACGAGTTTCCAGATATTACAAATGTCTGATCAAAGTTTCACCTCAAGTCCATGAGTTTGAACTTTGAAGCCTTTGACTAGCAGCTACGAATAGAGGTGGCAATTTCAATCCAATCCACCAATCCAATCCATCAATCCATTAAAAATATCCACCTAATCCAATCCATTTAATCCAAATCCAATTGGATTGGTGGATTCATGGATCATTGGCAAATTACGGTTTAGTACCTATAATTTTTTTTTTTACATTTTGGTACCTAAAATTTAATTTTTTATATGAAAAATATCATTGGAAAATTACGTTTTGGTACCTAAAATTTGTCATTATGACATTTTAGTACCTAAACTTTTTACATTTTATATATTGGTCCTTGGTTGAGGATGTCATTTGGATTCATGGATAATCCACCAATCCACTTGATCCAATCCATGAATCCACCAATCCATTAGATCCATGGATCCATCAATCCACCAATCCAATCCATTTGCCACCTCTAGCTACGAAGTAAGTAATCACGCCTGAACTCCCCATTTCCAGTAGATCTTTACATTTAGGCCCAAGTTCCTTCCATATCAACTTCACCTAGTAGTCATCCAGAATGAAGAGAACCATATCTCATCAACAACTGGGAAAACCATACTTGGTTTAACAGATTGAACCAAATCTTATGTACAATTTCCATTCACCAACATGGGACAAGATAGATTACGTACTTGGTCTTCATCTCTTGTATAAGAAATTAATGCTTGAACCACAAAGTTGCCACATTTATCAGATGAAAGCTCAAACAGAGAGTTCCTAAAGAGTTTCATGAACAGCTCCTGGTACAGACTCTCAGGAGCCACTTTCAATATTACCTGCACAAGTATTGATTATTGCATAGTCTTGCATCCAGAAAGGATGATGGAAATGGGCAGACAGTCCTAACTGAAAAGGATGCAAGCAGAGAAAATAATAAAAAGTAGAGCAACCACAGAAAATAACATACTCGCTTCCATCAATTGGCTAAACGCAGTTTCTTTCATAAGCTTCACAACATCCCTAGCGATTGTCTTGTCTATCAAGTTCCCTTCTGTTAAGTTTTGGTTTCTGCAGCCAAGCAGGACAGGTATTATATGCAATAACTCTTCATTATCCCCTGCAAGCAACTTCAAAGCTGTCTGCCAACATGAAATGTCCATTATTAGTAGGACAGATTCACATGATTAAAACATTCAGACAGAGCAATTACATAAAGGGAAAACAAGAAAAAAAACTCTTAATGCCAGCAATCAGGTCCCAGAAACCTTGATCGCATTAGCAATATACCACTGAAGATTATCTTGAAAGACTCATTACATTAAATATGATAAAAACAGACAACTCCACCACTATAGACTTTTACAAGAGCGGACCAGAACAATAATAACCTATGCCTAATGCTCATCCATTTGCAACAGTAAAGCGCTACTACAAACATATCTTACTAAATCCAGAACACATAGCAGTATCAGTTTCATGACTCAAGCTGAAACAGAAAGAAGGCACAAACGTGGGCCATATTCAAGCATACCTGCAGGACCAAACTGCTGCATTGATCCACTAGGATGGTTCTGCTGTCTTCTCTGGCACATTTCAAGATTGCTGAGACAATATCTTTTAGCAAAGCAGGAAATCCCTGGTGAATATGCACAGGATCATTCCAACCTACTCGAGATGCTTGGAGGTTTAAACGATTAGCCAAAGCTGAGGATGACTTTACTCCATGAAATTCCGGGGCATCCAACCGTACACCCCCACAGAGGCATAGAAGTGTACGAAGAACGTGCGATCCGTGCTGGTTACTCATCATATCAGCAGGGTTGGCTGCAATCCCCTGAATGACAAAGTAATATAATTTATCAGGAAAAACGATAAAAATCACTATTAACTCCTGTTTTCTTAGGCAGTGAGATGGAGAGAACACAATCTATTGCCTACCTGGCATACAGAAGTTAAAGTCTCTTCAACAACCATATAGTAATCATTCTCCTCAACAAATCTGGCTAAAGACTTGAGTGCTGTCTCAGCCACCACGGTTCAAAGGAACGGTAGATACCAAAAACCAGTGACCCTATTCTGTGTATAATAATTGCACGGACGGTTACATATTGAACGTGACGCCATCCATAAACATAGGATAGTATAGAAGACAAGTTGTACCGCCGTAACGAATCATTCCATGTTTTGTTGTATATATTGGTGTTAGGTCGGAGACAGAATACTGAATATATATATATATGGGTAAAAGGACATGTAACAAAACTCTTATTGCATAATTTTTTACAAGTTATTAGATCGTTCACAATGCTATATGAGTGGTTCTATTAAATAATAGCTACCTTGGTAATAAATTAATTGATTATTGTGTGTTCGGTGTCGAAATATTCATCTTAATTAATTATGATTATTTTTATAATAATTATATACAAATAATGTAAATGAAATGATAAAATCTACTCTAAACTATATTCAAAGAAAATCAGCACATGAGGGTTTGGCGTTTAGTCTTCCCTATTGTGACATTTCCTCCTTTTGTAGGGTTGGAATGCTAGAAATAGCTATAAGAAACTTTTAGCACTACTATTGTGGATGGACTTAAACTCCACTCATTTAGGACCAATTAAAATCCTACATTTTTTTTTAATGACCTCTTAATTTTTAGTTTAGTCATATTCCTTTCATTCTTATTTTATAATTTTTATATTATAATAATGCATTAATTATGATATATTTAATAATATACTCACGTTGGTATATTTCAAGAAAAAAAGTGGACTGTCAAAACTAGTGATTAACAACAATGTACCACTATTGTATCACTTCGCGTCTCCCTCTACCACCATCATAGTAAAACTAATGAATCATCATCATATTATCTTTGTATAATTATAGTTATACACCACACTCTAAACCAGAATATGCATCCAAACCATAATGATTAGGATTTTTTAACCGTTAAGCACTCGTAACCGCATAGTCGGTTATCAGTTATTTTGTCGGTTAACCGGATAACTGTTATGCAAGTGATTAATTAGCAAGGTTATATAAAAATAATTGATCGGTAACATAACCAACGAAACAACTCCTCCTTTTTCAATTGTGCATTTTTGTAGATTTCCCCCAAAATATGTATGAATTATTTCTTAAATTGTTATCATTGAGTACAAAAAATTAACATAAATATCAATCTAAATCAACTCTATCCAACACAAGTACACAATAAAACTATTACACTGTCAAATTTGATTAAGGAAACCGACACCAATAAGAGACCCAACAACAATTACTCAACTCATAAAGACAAACCAACCACATTGCATGGAAGTTTAGATGTTAATGATTGTTGTCAAGCTACTATAAGCAAGTCCAACTTTCTACTATGATCCTTCTAAATCCCTTCTATGAGAATATTCTCATTTGAGTCACTATTACAACTAGAGTAGGAAAAGACTCTTGTAGGCCTTCAAACATCTCATTATTTTTTGCATATGCTTGCAGCTCATTGAGACCTATTATCTACGACCATAACTATGAAGATGGTCGTAATCGGTTAGTCGATTAACCGTTTAACTGTCGGTTACTAACCATTTAACTGTCGGTTACTAACCATTTAACTGTCGGTTATTAATTAGCTAAATTTTTGTATCGGGAACTGATCGTTTACAGTTTAATCGGTTATTGGTGTAATCGTTAACCACCGATTCCGATTTAGTTATCATTTACACCATTAATAAGATAACCGTTTATCAGCCCTATCCTACGGCAAGCGGTTGGTCGGCTGCTTTGATTCCACGATTTGTGTTTCTATTTTTCTTGTTTTTTTTTTCTTCCTTCATTTAACAGATATAGTTAAGCGATCACTCATATAGACTTTGTTGAATCCACATACTCTAATGGTAATCCTTTATTCTATTAAATAATAGCTACTTTGATAATAAATAAATCAACTATTGTGTTTTTTATATTGATAATATCATATTAATGACAAAAAATACGGTAAAAATCTTAAAATTACATAAAAATGTTCATCTTAATTAATTATGACTATGAATGTAAAAATTATCAACAAATATTGTAAATAAAGTTATGAGATCTACTATGAAAACTAGATTTATGGAAAAAACAACACATGAGGGTTTGGCATTTAGCCTTCCCCATTGTGACATTTCCACTACTTTTTGTAGGGTTGGAATGCTAGAAATAGCTATAAGGAGCTTTTGGCACTACCATTTTGAATGGTCTTAAACTCCACTCATTTAGGAATTAGGACCAATTAAAATTTCATTTTTTTAATGAACTATTCATTTAGTTTGGTTATATATCTTTCATTTCAATTTTAGATTTTACGTAAAATAATTATGATATGTGTAATAATATACACATGTTGATTTATTTTCGTGGGGTGGGGGTGGGGGGAGTGGAGTGTCAAAACAAGTGAGTACTAACAATCATAGTAAACCTATGATAAAACTAATGTATCATCATCATATTAGCTTGTACGATCAACATACCACAACCTTATGATAGTATCGTATTAATGGGTCAATCATGATGTACAAAAGTTATTTTAAAACATATGAAAATGGATATCTTATATGATATAATTAATCCGATTTTCGAGTGCATAATATTTTTTAATCAATTTTGAAAGAGATGAGATACAGTTGGCTGAAAGATTCAAGATGGTTGAAAGAAAATCTCTTAAATGCCACCTTAGAATTAATCTACCCGAATTCTCAATAAGAGGTTGAATAGTTATAATTAATTAATTAATTATAGTTATACACCATACTCTATCTCAGAATATGCATCCAAACCCATAATGATTAGGATTTTGTTGTGCTGATTTGATTTAAATTCCATATAAAATGTTAGGATTATAGATATATATAATTTCCTATTTTATCAAATATGTCCTTCTATTATTTTTTTTACATCAAACGTATTCTTGTACATTAGAAAAATTATCAAACTTAGCCTTCAGTTATGATTTTCATCCAAAAATATCAACCACGGTCAAATTGTAGTTCAAACGATCTGACCTTAACAAATGGAAGGGGAAATGTCATTTTCACCCCTCCTTTTATTTCTCTAAGTGCCATCAAAAGTAAAATTATTAGGGCTACTGGACTATACAATAGAAACTCGAAAAATATTAAAGTGAAATTATTTATTATATTTCAGAAATTTATATCGTTCAAATCACGGTTTGACCGTGGTTGATAGTGTCTGGATGTAAATTTTACCATAATGACATGTTTGATAAAAAATTTAAAGTACAAGAATATATTTGATTTAAAAAAAATAGACGCACATGTTTAATAAAAATACTTAAGCATAAATGCAATCAATACATATAACCAAAGAGCACTTCTACTATGCTATATAGCATTGGTGCTTTAATGTACAACTCAAAGTTGTACCATAACATTAAATGTATAAGTTTAGGTTGTACCATAAAGCAATTTGTACCATTATGTTATGGTACAGCTTTACAACTTGAAATTGTACCATCACATAAAGGTACAAGTTCAAGTTGTACCGTAAAAGAATTTGCACAAAAAGTATAGGTACAATATGAAGTTGTACCATAACATAAATGTACAATTTTAAGTTGTACCATAAAAGCAAAAACCTATAGCACCAATACTATGTAGCATTGTAAAATTTCTCATAACCAAACTAAAAGTTGTTTATACTCTTTCCAACATATTTTTGTCGTTGGTGAACAAAATTGTCGGAAGCCTAGAGAAACACACACCAATCAACCTAAATTCCGGTGGACTTTCACCTGCAGTACTATAAAATACAGCTACGAATTTTTGTTCGTTAAGCCAGTTCCATGAAAACCAATCAATTTGGAATGGAAACACGATTATTTAATTGTTATAAATAACAGAAAAGAACATAACATATTGTCATTATATAGGTGGACCGCCACCACATAATTGCTCAATCAATCGACCGAACCCGACTTCCAAGTAAATTTGTATTATTTGAAGCTTCACCAAATCAGCATACTACACATACCCAAATTATTTACCCAATTGTCACTTTTTTTCACTTACAAACGTACTATATATACACGTTATTTTGCACTTCCCCGTCTACAATTGCTAAGCCATATCATCTGAGCCTTCAAAAGATGAATCACCACCACCCACACAAACCATCCCCGTCGACCATTTCCACAATATGTTTTTCCTTATCAGTCCTAATAATCCGCACCGTGGCCGCCGCGGCCGTTGACGACCACCACGCCGTTCTCCGATCAGCTTGCGGCGCCACCAGGTTCCCGGACCTCTGCTTCTCCGCGGTGGCAACCCTCCCCGCCGAAACTCTGACGTCCCAAAACGACGTCATCGAGGCGTCCATCAACGTCACCTGCAGCGCCGTGGAGCGCAACTTCTTCACCGTCGAGAAGATGATCAGGGCCCTTAACCCGACGGCGACCAAGCGGCAGAAGGCGGCGCTGCACGACTGCCTGGAGACCATCGACCAGACGCTGGACGAGCTCCACGCGTCGCTCCGGGACCTGAAGCAGTACAAATATCAGGACAAGAGGCAGAACAAGGAGCTGCTGCTGACTCGACATACCGCCAATCTCATGACGTGGCTCAGCGCGGCCATGACCAACCAGGAGACTTGCCTGGATGGCTTCTCTCACGGACGCGCCGACAGGCGTGTCCGTGAAGGCCTGGTCAAGGGTCACGTCCACGTGGGGCACATGTGCAGCAACTCGCTGGCTATGATCGCCAACATAACCGGCAGCCAGAAGGCTGCCGGCCCGGCCGAGTGGTTGTCCGCGGGGGACAGGAGGCTCTTGCAGTCCTCCGGGGTAATTAATTAATAATTTGGTCATATACTTTTTTTTCTTCTTCAACGTGAATGTTCCAAATTCAAATTACTTTAATTACTTAATAACAAAAGTTAAATGGTATCACCCTTGTAAAAAAGGAAAATTTGTAACATATGTTTTGTTAATTAAGGAAACAACTAACATGTATTTTCCTCGCTACTAGTCATTGTTCATGTGATTGCATGGCGGCAGGATATCACGCCGGACGTGGTGGTGGCGGCGGACGGGAGCGGGGACTATGCGACGGTAGGGGCGGCGGTGGCGGCGGCGCCGAGTAAGAGCAGCAAGAGGTACATAATAAGGATAAAGGCGGGGGTGTATAAGGAGAACGTGGAGGTGGGGAAGGGGAAGACCAACATCATGTTCGTCGGAGACAACAAGGATACCACCATTATCACCGGCAGTAGGAGCGTCGGCGATGGCTTCACCACTTTCAGTTCTGCTACTGTCGGTAATTACGTTACTCATTGAATTGAGTTGGACTTTCTTTTTTACAAGATTTTTTAATGAGCGCACCTATTGAATTGTGTCTGGTTTTAGAGGAACTCGACTTTACTTGACCCAACCCAATCAATTGCCATTTCTAGTCGCTGTTGCAGCCGTAGTTATTAGGTAGCTAGGGTAGACAAGATGTACGTTATCTTCTTATCTCATGTGTCCTAACTTTATCAGCATTGGGTGCATGGTTGAATCTGATTCGGCGAACATGTTCAACCCTCTACAATCCCTTTTTCCCAGGACCGGTCTTTTTCGGCGGTCGGTTCGAATCTGTACTATGATCACTACGCAGTATACGCACGTTCTTCTTTTCTAAAGTTCCGGATAATGTGAATTGGTCGGGAAAAACACCCGCTGGACCGTTCGTCTCTTCGATGTTGACGTCAACATCATTCTCAACCTTTTCCAACAGTACATTCGTTTTCAAATTTTGTCCATTCCAACCCCTTCTTCATCACTCAACTCCCATGTCTCACGGTCAATCAATGCAGTTAAAATCGGGATTCTACGAAAAAGAATTTTAGTGATCTAAAAGCGTAAAAACGTAAACTTTTAATCTTTACTGATTGCGCTTCAATCATTTGCAGCGGTGGTGGGGCAGGGATTCCTGGCACGCGACATAACGTTCCAGAACACGGCGGGACCCTCAAAGCACCAGGCGGTGGCCCTCCGAGTCGGCTCCGACCTGTCAGCATTCTACCGGTGCAACATCCTGGCGTACCAGGACACACTCTACGTCCACTCCAACCGCCAGTTCTTCACCAACTGCCTCATCTCGGGGACCGTCGACTTCATCTTCGGCAACGCCGCGGTAGTCCTCCAGGACTGCGACATCCGGGCCCGACGGCCCGACCGGGGCCAGAAGAACATGGTCACGGCCCAGGGACGGACCGACCCGAACCAGAACACGGGCATCGTCATCCAGAAGTCCACCATCGGTGCGGCCTCCGACCTGCAGGCCGCACCGAAAGGGAGCTTCCCGACGTATTTGGGGAGGCCGTGGAAGGAGTACTCGAGGACGGTGGTCATGGAGTCGACCATAACCGACGTGGTTGACCCGGCCGGTTGGTTCGAGTGGGACGGTGACTTCGCGCTGGACACGCTGTACTACGCGGAGTATAGGAACGGTGGGGCCGGGGCGGATACGTCGGGTCGGGTTGATTGGAAGGGTTACAAGGTGATTACCGATGAATCCGAGGCGGCGAGGTTTGCGCCGGGGGATTTTGTTGCCGGAGGAAGTTGGTTGCCTGGAACCAACTTCCCTTATTCGCTCGGTCTGTGATTCTATTCTATATTATATGTAGGGAACATTAATTTGGTATGTATTATGAATGTTCTATATCGGCTGAATTAGCAACCCAAAATTTGGTATGCGTGCATGTATATGTAGATATTGGCTGTTGGCCTGGTAGATGTATCTCTCCGGCCGGCGCCGGCCGGTTAATTTCATAAATAAAAGACGGCAACTCATATCCACATTCAAACATTAAGTATTCCGTACTTGGTCTTTCATCCCACCCAAGAGCGAACATGGCGTTTGGGGGCCACCGATGCTATCTTATAATTAATATGCGCTCCTTTTGGTTAGTCATTATCGTCACTAGTGCTACTCACCCATTGCAATAAACCTCACAAGATTATCAAGACCGCTGTATACAAACTGCGTACGCATACCAGCCTTAATTAGACAGCTATAGTAGATTTGAGAGCCATCGGATATTGTACCGCCATTTTTTTTTTTTTAAGTTGTACGATTACATTTCTAACACAAATTACGATTCGTAATCAACATGGTGCTAACGGATTCCTAGATTTGATGCTATGATGTGATATCTCATAGTCATATGCATATCAATAGCTAGCCGTAAATAGGCAACCAAAGTATACCGAGGGACCCCATATTGTATCGTCGTTGTTTTCTTAATTATTGGACTACACTTCTGACGCAAATTACTGCAACTCATGATTAACACAGTGGTAATCTCCAGCGGCGGATCCAGAACACAGAATAGCACTAGGCCGCATTAGAAAATTAGAACCGTAAAAAAAATATAATGATTATAGTTTTTTGCAATGTAAATTGTACACAACTGTATTTTAATTTAGGGAATGCATTAATAATGAAGTCTATATACATACCAATAGTATACACTGTTTCAAATAAAATACTTGCGCAATCGGCGAGAAATTCATCGCTCATTTTGTTGAGCAAATCAGTTTTCACATGTTTCATTGTTAAAAAGGTTCTCTTCGTAGTAGTTGTTGAAACGAGCAGCATCAACACTAGATAAATCAATCGACTAATCAATTTACATTGTGTGTCCATCCCTGCACACCAGATGTTTTAGTAAATTTGTAAGGGAACAAACCTCATATTTCCTTTAGTCTTTTACGTTTTTAACTTTTTAGAATTTTAGCTTTCATTGTTTTTTTAAGACGCATAATCTTTGGAGATAAAATTTATAGGCTAAATTTAGAATAGTGATTTGAATATGTTCAACTTGATAATTTTTCTAGTTAAACCTAATCTTATCATAGAATAACACTAAATTGAATGTCTAAAATCGAAAATTTCATAAGGACTATAGTAACTACGGATCTGGGTCCGCCAGTGGTAATCTCTTATAATTAGCAAGCCGGCCGATCCAAATTAAAGATTTGATGCATGAATGATATCTCATATGCATTCGTGTCCTAACTTTATGGGTAGCGAATGGCATGAAGTAAGTCTCTCTCTAAATTCAAATTTCCTCTCCCTTCTCTCTAGAACTCCAAAAGTCTCATTTGGGGGCTGCCGCCGGCATCCTTTGAGGACCGGCGGTGGCCCAAGTTTCCATCTTTCTGCTTTCCTCCTCTTTTTCCTTTGCCCCGTCCTTTGCTTTTCCCTGTTTTCCATCTACTTTTGCGGCCCTTGTTGGCTTTTTCTCTGCCGTGATGGCGTTTCCTTGTTCCCTAAGTGGATCAATCCACAAACCTCTCTATATGAGATGGTTCGTTCTTGTTCCGATCTGATGTAATCAGATCTTCGCCAGCTCTTCTGGGTCCGGATGATGCAACTTCGAAGATAATCCATTTCCGTCAATGTTTTGGTGGCGTGGTTACTCCAAGTTGGTGCGTTTATCGTTTTAACGATGATTTCATTCTCTGCTATCCTCTCGTCGTCCTCTGGGTTCGTCGTTGGTGGAAGGCAAAGTCTTGTCCGGCGGCTGCAGCGGCTCTCCTTTGTTCTTTTGAGGTAAGGGTTTCCGTTAGGGTTGAGGGTGGGCTGGTGTTGGTGTTTGTGGGCTCGAGTTTACAAACGTGTCTTGTTTTTTGTTTTTTTTTTTGGGCTGAGTTTTGTCTTTCTGTTCATGTTGTGTTTCTTGGGTGGGCTTCTCTTTTGGTGGTGTTTTGCTTGGGGGTTCACGTTGGTTTGGTGGGGTTCTGTTGGGTTTGGCTTGCAAGTTTGGTTGTTTTTGTTTTTTGTTTTGTTTTGTTTTTTGTTTTGTTTTTTTTTTTTTATTTTTTTTTTGTTTTGTGGTTTTATGGTGGCCTTTCCTCCTTCTCTTGGGTTTCCCTTTCCTCTTTGGACCAGGATGCTGTCTTCGGTTTCCCCTTGGTCTCTGTCAGCTCCGAGCAGTCCGGTTCATCCATGTCCACCGCCATGTAATTTCAGATTGAGATTCACTGTGATGAGTCATCTTCGAATGATTCCCAGGAGGCGGCTTATGGTTTGCTTTGCTCATTACCATGGTCCTGTTTGCATCGGATGAGCTGACTCTGGCTTTGTTGCTTCCTCAATAGTGGTGGTTGCGTGAGGGTGTTTGGATGCATTTGTTTGTCTGTGGCAATGGCTCCCACTCGCCGGTTTTTCTTCTGCTTCTCTGCTCGTTCATGTTGTATTTTTCCGGTTGGAATGACCCTTTGGTTGATTGGGTGTTTTGCCCCTCTGTGTATCAAGTACCCTCTGTAATCACTATGTTGAATGCAATATAAGCGGCATTCTTGTCAAAAAAAAAAAACTTTATGGGTAGCTATAGGAGCATGGGTTGATTGAAGCCTACAATTCCTTTTCCAGCACTGGTCTATGTCTTCTTTCCTAAAGTTCCGGATGAGAAATGGCCGATGAACGGTCTCTTCCATCGTTACTGTCCACTGGATGTCTGTCGTCCTCTCAGGCTACCCAGCTCAGCTGGAATGAATGACATTAAGGACTTTTTCCTAGAGTAATTAAATGCGTTTTCACATTTTTGTCTGTGCTGAAAAGGCCTTCAACCTTCATCACTCAACTCCTGTGCCGACACGTCAACCGTATGCTAGCTGGTTGAACTAATAATCAATATTTCATTTAATATTCATAACTTAACATTTTTTCCAAATAATTCGAGTTAAGATGAGCAAGTGATTTGTTTGTTAACATGGTTCCAGAACTAGTTTGGCCAAATGGCATCTTCACGACCCCCATTATTAGGGGTGGGCAATGAGCAGGGTTGGGTGGATTTTGGTTTAAAATTGACCCACCCGTTTACTAGCGGGTTGGAATATATGTGACTCTGCAATCCACTCACATACTTATGCGGGTTGGGTTGGGTGGGTGGCGGATGGGTGCTGTTGGGTCGAGGGTTAACCCGCAAAAGCAATTCTCCAACTAGCCATTAAGAAAATTGACTAACATTTATAATAAGTTCGTAGCAAATTAGTAAGATTGTATCAATAATTTGTGATTTTGATACAATTAATGACTTATAGTTTGTATCCCAATATTTAATGGATATTAACAATTATTTGTATATCAATATCCAATGGATATTGCACAACACAATAGCCAATAATAGTAGTCAAAACTATTCTTTATTCTGCATCTTTTGCAGTATATGGTCAGACTGTAGTGCAGTTCGAAAATATGATGAATATTCGATACTGTTAGAAACAACATTTTTCCATATAAAAATAGGATGCCGGTCATACGGGTGACCCGCAATCCACCCACCCACATAAGTGCGGATGGGAGATTTAACAATCCGCAATCCACCTACATCAATCACCCACTGTGTGCGGGTGGATCGATATCAATCCGCGGATTAACCACCCACGTGCCCACCCCTACCCACTATTAACCTTTTTCTTATAGCACATGGTTTTCATTCCACCATCGACCTCTGGCCTTCCTTGCCAAACCAGGTTCGCCCGATTGCCCACCCTTGAAGTGTGGGATTTTGGTCGGGGTTACTATGATTGAGGGTTAGGGGGTGGAGGAATTTAGGACGATCGCCGCTCCGGGTCTTGAGCTGGTAACCGGCGTTGCGTTTCTTAACTTTTATTTTCAATTTTTAATTGTAATAATTTTCATGAATTATGTGGAATTTTGGAATTTTTTAAGTTTATTTATGTTGACTGATGCATTGACGTGACAGGTTGACTGTTAGTCAATGGCCTTGACAATCAAAACTAAAGGACAACTCTTTGGTTTGAACAAATTGGTAAAGTGTAGGGTTGATTCGGACCACGATGTGAACTGTTAAAAGGATTGGTCAGCATGTTAAATATGGGAGAATTTCAGGCCAGTCAAATATATTAACCAAAAATATATGACTAAGAAAAACAAGTATATTAAAAATTGACGACTAAGGGATCGTTTGGAGGTTGGGATTTGAAGCAATGTATTTAGCCAATGCATGTAATGTCAAGATTAAGTCATTTTTTCGTTAAATTTGTGACAAAATACATGTATTATCGTTTTTTGGGCTCAGCTATAATCACTCAAAATGAATGATTATCAATCTCTACCAAAATGTGAGATTGTGACCAATGAATTCTCTACCCTCTATTTTTTATTTATAACAAAGCACAATCTAAATTTTCAAATAAAATACTTTTCAAATCTATACATTTCTTCCATACATCAAGTTACAATAGATTAGTTCAAATGCTGTTTGTTTGTAGCCTGTAGGTTTTTAAGAAACAAAAAATTTTGTGTATAACACTGGATTTTACAATTGAAGGATAATGTAGGATTTTTTCATATTCAACTTTTATTGAATTTTTTGGGGTCATTTTGTTCGTCCTCATCGACGGCTACTTGCCTTTCAACGACAACAACTCCTCTCCCCTCTCTCTAAAACTTTACATATCTATATTTTTGTGGGCTGCCGTCGGTGCTTTCAAGAGGCCGGCGGTAGCCCCCCCTTCATGCTTCCATCTGTCTTCCTTGCTTTCGTTTGTTTTTCCCTTCCTTTCATGCTTCCATCTGTGCTCTTAATTCGCATTTGCTTTTCCCTTTTGTGGTTTGCGTTTCTTCCCCTGGTGGGTCTCTTTCCTCCCCCTTTGTGGGTAGAGTTTTTGCCCTCTGATTTGTTTCTGCAGATCTGGAGATGACCTGATCTAAGAAGTAAGGAGGCTGGATTCGTTTCGTCTACAGCTTGTCTCCTCATCCTCCTTCCCCCGTCTACCTCCTTGCTTCACCCTGTTGCTCTTGGTGTTTCGGAGATGTTAGGCCCTCGGCTTGGACGCGGAATGAAGATCCTGAAGACAGAAGGTCGTCCCTCATGGATCCGCCACCTTGTCGCCCGTTCGTCATAAGGTCTCCTTGTTCCTACCGGTGTCGAGGAGCCTATGGGTTTTGGTCCAACGGTGAATGTTTGAAGGTGGCTTAGGCTACTTCCACTGCTCTCCGTTTGGGTTGGTTTGCTTCGGTTACCTTGTTCGGCGTTCATCTCGGCTTGTCGCCTCTAGGGTTTCGATCGGTGGAGGAAGCTGTTGAGCAGAGGCGCAGCCAGCGGCAGCCAGCGGCGGTGGGGCTCCATAGGCAGGAGTATTGCGGCTAGGGTTGAAGGGAATACCTCTTTTTGGGCTCTTTGGTTTAGCCCCTATTGGGTAGCTAGCCATTTTTTGGGCTTTGGATTGGGGTTTGTTTTCTTTGCCTTTGTTTTGTAATATTTCTTGTGACCTTTTCCATTGGGCTCGGCCCATTACTTTCTTAATGAATGAACCTTTTTCAAAAAAAAAGTTACAATAGATTAAATACTTTAATTTTGGAGAATCTCAACTTCCAAATAACTCTTTAAGTGGAAAGTGGAGTGGACGCAATTGGAGCCTTAGAGGAAGGACAGGCAGGTCTCTCTTTGAGCTGGGAGATTTGTTGGGCCCATACCTCGCTCAAGAAGTCCAAGAAGGAAAAAAGCCTTCGTAATGAGCCCATCAAGGAAAGAAGCCAAAAAAGACCACAAAGGTGTAGTTAAAACTTAAAACTTAAAAACCGAATAGCTCAAGTATACAACAAGCTGTAGTTGTTGATGTGCTACTAAGGGTTTGTTTGCTTGTGAAGAATTATGTGGGATATTGGTAAAATTTTGGATTTTGAGAGTGAAGAATTATGTTGGATTTTGTTATTTTGGATTTGTGTTGGATTTTAGAAATTGCATTGTTTGTTGGATTTTAGTACAGTGGATTTATGGGTTAAATGATGAAATTACAATCATATTCTTCTTCATATCCTTAATAAAGTATTTTTATTTTTTAGTAAATAATACTTTGGCATCATTAGCGGGGTCCATAAATTTTGGCTTCTCTTAAAATCCTAGCTCATAAGAGCATCACCAACAATGAAATTCATTTGCAATTTCATAGGTGGTCCCTACTTCCACTTCTACAATTTTGAGAAAACACCACTTCTCAACTTCATCCTCTCTACAACAATGAAATCCAATTGCAATTTCAATGAGTGGGACCAACATATCATCACCATCATTAATCTAGCACTACTAAACAATTTACATATCATCACCATCAACTTGAATCTTTACAATATATAATAAAGAGTAAAAAAGGGCCCACCAGCGAGTCCATTTGGATTGCAAGAAGAATTGCACATGATGCAAATTTGCACATTTGAAATAGCTTCTCACATCAATGCAATTTAAATTTGCAATTGCAAATCCTTGTCACATCACCTTGCAAGTCACTAAGGGGTCGTTTGGAAGTTGTGATTTCAAATGGTGTATTGACCAAATTCATGTATTTGTGAGATTAAGTCGTTTTTTTGACTTATATAGAACTAGAATACATGTATTTACTTTTTGGAGGCCCCACCACAATCACTCAATATTGAGGGATTTACAATCTCTACTTTTTGTTGAGATTCTTCACAATCACTCAAAACTAACTTTTTTACCTTTAGAACAAAACACAATCTAAACCTCCAAACAAGATATTTGCCTAATACATCAATTGATTCAATACATCAAATGATAATACACTAATTGTCTCAATACATCAATTTGAAGAATCACAACTTCCAAACAAGCCCTAAAATTGCACCATTGGAGGTGCCCTAAGGTGGGATTTTATAATTTGTGGGGTCCACAAATTTTGAGCAAAAAAATAATTTCACATCTATGGGCTCAACGGATTTAGACTAACCTCATTTTAATCAACAACATAGATTTAAGACATAATTCAAAATCCGTCATCAAAATCCTACAAGCAAACAACCTACAAATCTTTCACAACAATTCAGAAAAATATAAGAAACAAAAACAAGTAAACACGAAGGTTTTCTCAAACTGACAAAGCTAATTATTTAGATTAAGTTTTCTTCTGGAAATCTAAAAGTTCATATTAGTAGTTGATTTTAACCTATAAACTATCTAGTGAAAGTTGGATGGTCTCTCACTTTGATGGCTCAAAAGTTGTCCGAAGTTCGGTTCGAGGGTGATGCGAAGGTTATTATTGACAAGATTAATCAAGCCGACACGAGCGACAGTCAATTGGGGGCAGTCCTGAAAGAGATTTGTCAATATTGTGATGCCCATCCGGGGTTTAGTTTGCGGTTTGTAGTTCGGGAGAACAATATGGTAGCTCATTCGGTAACTAGAAAAGCCCTCTCTTTGTACCCGAGTGTGAATCGCTCGTTTGATTTCAGGGCTTGGCTGCTTTCTAGGATGTAACTATCTTTTGTTTGAATTAATATATGATATCTTTTGACAAAAAAAAGCTATTCTCGAGGACTATCATATGTTCATGATGTGGGATTGGGTATGATTGCTACAATCAACATGCACTTCGCGAGTCTAATTAGGTGGCGTATGTTCATGATGTGGGATTGCGTATGATTGCTACAATTAACAATCACCTTGGGAGATGGATGATGCATTACACAACAGGGCGAGGCTACAGCATTGACAACACACTCTTTAATTACGGCTATGTACGTGTTGGCTGCTATGGTAGAACCGGAATGAATTCTGCTTCCAAGATGAGTTAAAGTCATATGCACAGTTCCATGCCAGTGCTGCTATATACTATGCGGCAACAAATCCATCAAGCATTTGAGAAGGAGACACATATGTTTGGAACCGGGGGACTTCGACAACTAAGACTTATCAACTGGCAACCAACACCACCAGGATGGACATGTCTGAATATATACTGATGGATCAGTGGTCCACTCTCCTTCGAGTACAACAGTAGGCGGAGTCGTGCGGGGAGACGACGGCCGCCTCACTACTGCTTTTGCTGCGAACCTTGGGGGAGGTTCTATTACGAGTCCACAACTGGCAAAGATTGTGCATGGACTGAAACTCGCTTGGGAGGCAGGAGTTAGGAAGGTAGTTCTACAGACAGATTCTGCTATGGCTAAGTCCCTTATTGAGACGGTCACACACCTCACCACATCCATTACACGAGCGTTGTTGAGATACAACATTGGTTAGCTCGGGACTAGCAGTCCTCATTACTCATATTTACAGGGAAGTGAACGTTGTTGCAGACTACCTCGCTAATCTGGGTCACTCTCTTCCTATTGGTTTGCATAATATTGTGAATCCGGATAAGTGTTTTGGCTTACTGGTTGTACCATGACATTATTGAGATTCAGACACCCCGTTCAGTTATTTTTTGGTTAAAGGGATGACGTCAAGCGTCTAACTCATTAAAGAAATCATCGAGCGGTCATGAGCAGTGCCCATGACATCGTACAAAAGCCATCTACCCAAGTCTGGGTCACACACATTGAATCGATGTGTGCCAAAATCAACAAGGTGACCCCTATTAGCAAGGAAATCAGCCGCAAAATTAGCTTCCCTATACACATGACTAATTCGAACCTCCCAGTCTCTATTAAGGAGATTCTGGATCTGTTTCGCGAGGATACCATGTCGATGGTCATCATCTAAGCATTTCAAAGCGATGTCAATGGCTGCAGTTGAATCCATGTTAAATTGGATTTCCTTGTAACCCCTTTCCCACACAATCCGAAGTCCCTCAATCGCGCCCTTCAGTTCAGCACTTGTAATGGAACAGCAACCAAGATTGGTGGTGAAGGCATCGGTGCAGCGTCCCAAGCAGTCTCTCAGCAGTCCCCCCGCAGAAGCTTTCCCAGAGGGTGAAATCACTGATCCATCCAGTGGCGGAGCCACTTGGAGAGGAGGGGGTGCTTTGCACCCCCTTTGGTTTTGGAGAAAATCTTTTCGAGTAGGGGTATATACAAATTCCAACCAATGACCATTCAGTTGCAGGAAGAATTTCTTATCATTTCGATCGAGTGAGTTTTGTTATGTAATGCACTTTCGTCTTTATTTATAGTAATAAATTGTTGTCTTTTGTTTAAACTCGCTCATTTTTTTTTTTTGTAGCTCTACAACAGAGAAATTTCTTGTCTTTTGTTTAAACAAAGTTGAAAGTGAAGAAGTACCAATTGAAGTTCACTTGTTTGTTTCACAAAATCAATTCCAAGGTACTTCTGAGTTCTAATTTGTAATATTTGATGAATGGAAGTCTTGATTTGTATGTACTGAACTTATTTGTTTGACGTTGTAACCGGTGTACGTGAAACTATTTTGATGTAATTGTGTGAATTTAGAGTATTGCGTTGTTGACTTTTTGTTTAATTTAAAGTTGACTTTTCTATTGTATAGGTGATTTTTTATGATATGATAAAGATACCCCCTTGGCCAATTTCCTGGCTCCGCCACTGTATCCATCAGTCTGAAGTTGCATCCGACCCCGTTCAGTTATTGAATAAAGGTTGGGGTGCCCTTTAAGCGCTCCGTTTCGTAAAAAAAAAAAATTATAAATTTGACTGTCTTTCTTTTTTCTCGTGTCATTGTAATATGGGTTTTAAAAATTGTCTGGACTTTGGCCTGGAAGGCTGGAGCCTGGAAGTATGGGCTTAGATGACATAGAGGCCATAATTATTAGCTATTACATTACAAACGGCTTATCCTCGGCATGGACCACCACGTCATTCGGCCCAACACCAACCACTAGCAACCACCTTGTAGTCTAGAAGGAGAGCTTTTCACTATATAGGGATTAGTCAAATAAAAAAAAAAGTATATTAACTAGGAAATTAGTGAACCACAGCTAATTTGTTATTTGATATTTTCCGTGGGAAACAGAACATGCAAAATCAAATTATAATAACCAAACTTATTTAATTCTCCCGTTCCGTTTTGAACTGCGTAGCACTGCTGCTCCTCTATATATATATGCGTGTCTTTTGTCTGCCCTGACATCGCGGAGTGGTTGCCAGCCCAACAGCCCATTCATTTCATTGTTGAAAAAAAATGAGTCACCAACACAAACCATTACGAAGCGGCCTGAGCTCCACAGTGTTTCTAATACTGTTCCTGATCGGCACCGTCGCCGCCGCCGGCGTAGACAATGCCGCTCCCTCGCCGAGCCCAAATCCCGAATTCAATCAGTACCACCTCCCATCATCACAACCCCAAATCAATGCCGCCCACAACAACCACCACCACGCCGTCCTCCGCTCCGCCTGCAGCAACACCAGATTCCCAGACCTCTGCTTCTCCGCCGTTGCCGCCGTCCCGGGCGCCACCGAATCCCTGACCACCCAGAAGGACGTGATCGAGGCCTCCATCAACATCACCTGCCGTGCCGTGCAGCGCAACTTCTTCACCGTCGAGAAGCTGATCAAGTCCGCCGCCGTCCGGCTGAGCCGGCGGGAGAAGACGGCGCTCCACGACTGCCTGGAGACGATCGACGAGACCCTGGACGAGCTCCGCGCTGCATACAGGGACCTTAATCGGTACCCCTACAAGAAGTCGCTGAATCGACACGCCGCCGACCTCAAGACGCTGCTGAGCGCCGCCATGACCAACCAGGAGACCTGCCTCGACGGATTCTCCCACGACGGCGCCGACCGGCGGGTCCGCGAGGCGCTGCTGAAGGGCCAGGTCCACGTGGAGCGCATGTGCAGCAACGTCCTGGCCATGATCAAGAACATGACCGACGCCGACATTGACAGCCTGAAGGCCGCCGGGGTGAAGGACGAGGACGAGGAGGACCATTTGCCGGAGTGGTTGACGGCCGGGGACAGGAGGAGGCTGTTGCAGTCGCCCGAGGTATATTAATTATTTTATTAGTTACGGTTCATTATTTGATTCGTACTGGTGACCTCCAAGTCAAAAAGTAACAATTTACCCGCTGGACCACATTCTTGTTTCTTAGTCATTATTTGTTACGGTTCATAATTATATTGTTGGTGGGTGAGCAGGTGATAACGCCGAACGTGGTGGTGGCGGGGGACGGGAGCGGGGACTACCGGACGGTGGGGGAGGCGGTGGAGGCGGCGCCGAAGAAGAGCAGCGAGAGGTACGTAATAAGGATAAAGGCCGGGGTGTACAGGGAGAACGTGGAGGTGGTGAAGGGGAAGACCAACATTATGTTCCTCGGGGACGGCAGAGCCACCACCATTATCACCGGCAACAGGAGCGTCGCCGACGGGTTCACCACTTTCAAATCGGCTACTGTCGGTACGTACAATTACTCTCTTCTTTTCTTCCTAGCTGGACCGGCCGGCATTATTATTGAAAAAAGTGCCATGAAATGAAATCTCTTCCCGTTGATATTGGGCTGGGCGGTTGGGTCAATAATGGGATGACGTGGCGTGGGCGGGGAATGGGCTTTTTTCCCCCCGCCAACATGGGTGGGGGCCCACCCGGCGCGTAGAATTAATTAATTAAATATTATTAAGTTTGATTGGGGTCCCGCCCGGTGAGTTCACCAGGTCCAGGACAGCTCGTGCTGATTCATAGCAGGAAATCACGCAAGATTAACAACCGGGGCTATCTGTCGCAGCAGCTGTTTAGGAAGATAATTAATTATTATTAATTAAGGATACTAATAATTCCATGTGCCGTAGTGTGACCGATAATGCGTATTGTTCAATGTGGTTAGTTAATTGATTTAGCAGACATGCATGCGGCATCTGCATGTTCAGAGTTCAGAGACTGGCTTCTGATTTAGTGTTCCAAAAAAGTAAAAAGTAAAAATAAAATAACTGTCTTTTCAACACGGGTTTGAAATTTGAATGTGTACAATGGTTGGTAATAGTACGTACCAATAAGATTGTATGCATGTGGCTTGCACAAGTTGTAACTCAAAGAAAAAGACGATTGGATGAGTCATGAGAATCTGCAACTGCAACCCCCGCGGTTTAACTTTGTCGTCGTCCCAACTGGGCAGCCTGTGGTGAAATAATTTCTGAGTCGCAACAACCCACTTTCCTTGCTTTCCTATGAGCATGTGACTGATTCAGTAGCGACGCTTTCTAGATCTAGCTAGCGTGCTCCCTTCACTTTCACTGTTCTTTTCTCGTTGGTCCTAGCTAGCTCCCAAATGGCATGCAATTGATCTGAACTGAACAGTTAGGTGTGAACAAAATCATCAAACCTCCAAATCACTGGTCAAATCCGATCCAATCCATCTTTATTCAAAACCTATGTTACAACTATGGGGTCGTTTACTTCAAGGATTTTATAATGAGGGTTTGTCACGGATTAGCTAATTGAAAACCTTGGAATTTATTAGGGATTTTGGGACTTATGGATTTGAGGAAATCCTTTGTTTGTTGAGCTATTTTTATCATGGATTTGATGGTTTTTCAGCTTGTCTCTAAATCCCAGGGTATGAGGTGGGAATTATAAAACTGTTGGGCTATTGAATTTGGAGAAGAAAAAAAAACTCAAATATGTGGGCCCCAAAGATTTATTTAAACATTTTTATAAAACTGTTTGTGCCCATGAATTTGGAGCAAAAAAAACTCAAATATGTGGGCCCCAAAGATTTATTTAAACATTTTTTGACAAAACAAACAACGGATTGTGTGTAAATCCATGATGGTTGATTTTTTGGTACCAAATCCATGATGCAAATCTTTGAAGGAAACGACCCCTATTTTCTCAACTGTTGTTATCCAACAACATATTTATGTCACATATATACATATTTGTAAGGAAGTTAGGATATGTTCCTCTCATAGTCTCGCAGACGTGGATTAACACGGATTTAATAGTTATATATACAGTAGCCTTTCATCTAATTTTATGCTGCAAAATATTGGTCTTTTTCTTAGTGTCGTTAGGTTGGTTTTTACTTTGAAATATAGCAACAACGTTCAACTCGATCTTAAACAAACTGTTCTGATTCTACTTTATTTGGGTGAGTTTAAATTTTATACTGCCTTCGAAATCGAAATGCATAATCGGGTCATTAAAATGACTAAACTCTAACCAACCGCTCTAACATAATATCCTACCAATTTAGCATTTTGTATAATGTTCTCCCGATCGGATCACAGGTAACTATACCATTTCACAAATACTTCTCTCAACTACTGCTACTTATTATTATTATTATATGTGATTCCCCGTTTCCCTTTTCAAATTCGTTTATGTGTACACTTTGACCTTTTCACTTTCATTGAGTAGAGATGTTGACCTTTTTCATTTATCCTATATCACCCATTCACCCTTTTGAATCCACGATGATGATGATGATCTTCTCTTTTCCTTTCAGCAGAGATTTTGACCTTTTCCTTTATCCTCCGACTCCTTTCCAATACATCATCACGATTTCGCATATAGCACAACTTGATAGTTGATATCATCAAGTACTACACATGAATAAATGTTGCTAATAACTCCATGTGCGCTAGCTAGCTGTCCGGCTTCAACTAAACCATACACATCATTAATCCTTCCTTTCCTTCAATCGCGGCTACAACTTTTTTTTTTTATAACCTCTCTATTGCATTTGCAGCTGTCGTAGGGGAAGGATTCCTGGCGCGTGACATAACCTTCGAGAACACCGCCGGACACGCCAAGCACCAGGCCGTGGCCCTCCGAGTCGGCTCCGACCTGTCAGCATTCTACCAGTGCGACATCCTGGCGTACCAGGACACACTCTACGTCCACTCCAACCGCCAGTTCTTCATCAACTGCCTCGTCGCGGGGACCGTCGACTTCATCTTCGGCAACGCCGCCGTCGTCCTCCAGGACTGCGACATCCACGCCCGCCTCCCCGGCCCCGGACAGAAGAACATGATCACCGCACAGGGGCGGAAGGACCCGAACCAGAACACCGGGATCGTGATCCAGAAGTCGAGGATCGGCGCCACGTCGGACCTCCTCCTGCAGACGGCCGGGAACATGTCGTACCCGACGTATCTGGGGAGGCCGTGGAAGGAGTACTCGAGGACGGTGATCATGCAGTCGGAGATAAGCGACGTGGTGCACTCCGCCGGGTGGCACGTGTGGGATGCGGATTTCGCGCTGGCGACGTTGTACTACGCGGAGTTTGGGAACAGTGGGCCCGGGGCGAATACGACGGCGAGGGTTGATTGGGAAGGGTATAAGGCGATTGGGAATGAGAGTGAGGTGGTTGAGTTTACGGCGGATAATTTCATTGCTGGCGGATCCTGGCTGCGTCCGACCACATTTCCGTTCTCTCTCGGGTTGTGATTTTATAGCTATAATATTATATGTACGTGTTAAATTCAATATTTGTTTGTTATTAATTATTATACACGTTATATTATATGTGATTGATAATAATGAGTAGTTGTAAGCAAGTTGATCGAGAGTGTGCAATGATATCACCGTGATATATATACTACTCTTCGCCTCTTTTATGTGGGTGATTATGTATGTTGTGTTCGAGGCTTCGAGCGGATTTCGTCAATAACACGTCGACAATTATGCGTTTATTATGTATATATTATTACGACTTTCGAGATCGAATCTCTCTGTATATATGGTTTGTTGAAACCTTGTAAACATGAGTATATTAGGAGAATTCCCATCTCTTGCAACTTGCTAGTATAAAAAAATATATATATATATATATAAGCTGGACCGCGACATGATTACTATGCTTGAATTCAACAATATTGCATGTATATATTAAGACTACTTTTTTTATAGCAATTGTATGGAATGTGGTAAATGATCACCCCTCGAACAAGAAGCATTTTAGATCGAATATTGTCTTATATGGTTTGTTATTTAGTGATCTCCCTGCAATTTATCTTGGTATATGCCACTGAGTTGGAGAATGTAGGTACAATTGTTCTGTAGGATCCCGTCATTGAATCACAAAAATTCAGAAAAGCGACTTTATGGGTGGCGAGGCAATTACTTGTCTCTTGGGGTCGGTTGGTTCTCTATGGAATTATCTGTTGTTTTCAGCCCAATATGTCTACTGTTAGAATATGACTTGAATTTGATTTGGGTTTGTTTTGTGTTTTAGGCCTATTTTGTTTGGGTTTGGGATTGGGCTTTGTTTTGACCTTTTCCTTGAATGTTTGGGAAAAGGTGTTTGGTTTTCTGTTTGGGATTAGGAGAAGAGTTCTATAAATACTCTTCATCACCCTAGTCTGTAGTGGGGTCAGTCAGGTTAGTTTGTTTGGTTTGTCCGTTTGGAATTTGGTTTGTAACCTGTACTCTCCTCAAATTAGTGAAATTTGTTCTCCCCTGCCCGTGGATTAGCTAGCACACATTGTGTTAGTGAACCACGTTAAATTTGTGTTCGTTCGTGCTGGTTTGGATTGTCGTTTGCACGCTTCTGTTCTGACAAGTGGTATCAGAGCCTTTGGTTGCGGTTTTGGGAATTTGGCGCTGGGAAGTTTTGCTTTGTGGAGTTTGGTTGGAGTTTGTTTGATAGTAAGAATGGCTGCTATCAGTATGAAGATTGAGAAGTTTACCGGAAGAAACAGTTTCAGTTTGTGGCAAATCAAGATGCAAGCACTGTTGAAACAACAGAGTTTGTGGGCTCCGTTGTCTGAAAAATCGAAGAAGAAAAGCATAGATGAAGAAGAGTGGATTACTTTGGAGGAGAAAGCTCACTCTACAATCTTGCTTTGTTTGACTGATGACATCATCACTGAGGTTGCTGCTGAGAAGACTGCTGTGGGTTTGTGGTTGAAGGTTGAAAGTCTATACATGACAAAGTCTTTAACCAACAAGTTGCATAAGAAGCAACATTTGTTCAGTTTACGTATGGAGGAAGGTACGTCTCTCAGGAATCATCTAGATCAACTCAATACTATCTTGCTAGATCTGCGGAATATTGATGTTAAAATAGATGATGAGGATGCTGTCTTAATTCTGTTAGTATCTTTGCCACAGTCATATGAGAATTTTGTGGATTCTTTTATTGCTGGGAAAGATAGTTTGTCTTTGGAAGATGTCATATCTGCTCTACATACCAGGGAGGTTCGGCATAAGGCGTCTGGTTCATGTTCGGAAAATCAAGCATCTGGGTTGGCTGCTACGAGTAGTAGGAGACAACAATCTGGTAATAGGAAGGCGAATACAAATTCAAATTATGCTGGTTTGAAGGATGATATCTGTCATTACTGCAAGGAGAAAGGACATTGGAAATTTGATTGTCCTAAACTGAAGAAATATCAGGAGAAGAAGGAATCATCTGCTGCTGTGGCGGAAGAAACTAACTCTGATTCTGAAGATGGTTTAGCCTTAGCAGTGAATGAACAGATACATCATCAGGATGTGTGGTATTTAGATACTGCAGCTGATTATCATATGTGTCCAAGCAGGGAGTGTTTTTCAACTTATGAGCAGATAGGTGGAGGACATGTTTCTATGGCCAATGGTGCTATCTGTAAGATTGTTGGAAGAGGTTCCGTCAGGATGAGGACACATGATGGTTCTGTTCGCACCTTGAACAATGTTAGGCATATTCCAGAGATGACTAAGAATCCGATATCTTTGAGTCTACTCGACAACAAGGGTTTCAGCTTCAAAGGTGAAGGTGGAGTGTTGTCTGTCTACAAGGGTTCTAAGGTGATTTTGAAAGGTGTCAAGCGAGGTGCCTTGCATAATCTACAAGGTTTTGTTTTGACATGTTCTGTTGGTAATAAGAGCACCAAGCTGGTTCTGAATGCCAAGTCTCAACATGAGTTGGGTTTGCCAAATGGTTTGAGTTGTTGACCGCCCTTAGGGGCATCTGGAGGCAGGGGAGATTCTGGTACAGCTGATTTGGAGGAGTTTGGTATGTCTGGCAATTTTGATTGCATCTGAGTTTGGCGATTTTGCATCGCGTTTGAGTTTGGCAGTTTCGATCGCATCTGGGTAAATTTGGCGATATGGATCGCGTCTGGTACATCTGGCAACTTTGGTTGCATCTGGTACATCTGGTATTTGAGAGAGAATTCAAGGTAAGGTGGAGATTGTTAGAATATGACTTGCATTTGATTTGGGTTTGTTTTGTGTTTTAGGCCTATTTTGTTTGGGTTTGGGATTGGGCTTTGTTTTGACCTTTTCCTTGTATGTTTGGGAAAAGGTGTTTGGTTTTCTGTTTGGGATTAGGAGAAGAGTTCTATAGATACTCTTCATCGCCCTAGTCTGTAGTGGGGTCAGTTAGGTTAGTTTGTTTGGTTTGTCCGTTTGGAATTTGGTTTGTAACCTGTACTCTCCTCAAATTAGTGAAATTTGTTCTCCCCTGCCCGTGGATTAGCTAGCACACATTGTGTTAATGAACCATGTTAAATTTGTGTTCGTTCGTTCTGGTTTGGATTGTCGTTTGCACGCTTCTGTTCTGACATCTACTACTACTCATTTTTCAAGGGTTCAAAATTAGTGGTTGGAGGGATTGAAAACATTCAACGAGATTTTCTTTGGTGGAGCCAACAATGAACATAAGTTTCATTTGGTGCCTCTGCCTGTAGTTTTGTGTTATGTCTCGTCTACAGTTGATGGATGTTCTAGCTCATATGGCGCTGTCTTTTTCCTCTCCCTCCTTCATCTAGATCTCGATATCTTCGCTCCTTTCAAGGATTGAAATACCGTACCGGAAAAGTTAGCGATAGGTTATTTTATGTTAAAATTGTGGTTTAATCATGGTTCAATCGTATTATACCACTAAATACCGCCTACTAGTTTTGCTTCTGATAGGAGATTTTTCATGTCAAATCGTCGGTATGGTACGATATTTTAATCCTTGATTTGTATAATTGTGCTTCTTTCTCTTCATTATTTCAATATTATTATTATATCTCTTGCTTATAAAACATAAAAAGAAGCATTTCGAGCCAAAAACACATCCCAAGGCATTTTTTTGAAACTAGCCCGTCAACAACTTTATTTGATGGATAACCAAATTATATTTGTGTGTTTCATCGGCAGATCCCTTTATCAAACCACCTGCTAATCTGTATGCAATTCCACTCTGTTTGCTTGAATCTTCATCGCATCTTGCAGCTCTTATGGTGCTTCTTTTAGTTATGCCAATTTGATTGTACATGCTTCAAGGTAGGATTGCGAAGTTTTAATCGGATAAAATCGGATCAAATACAATATTGATCCGATCCTTAATTCTAAAACATCTTTTACTATCGGACCACAACTTTGGTGAGTTTGACCATTCCACATCTCTACCCGAAGGGATGCTAATTTTGTAGCTTGTAGGCTTGCCCATTTGGTAAGGTAATTCTGGGCCAGTTATTGGCTTTGGTTGAGAGCCTAGCCCACCTTCCCATGTCTGGGAATTATTATCTACTGATGTTCTGGGCCTTTAAGCCCATCACAATTTAATGTTACAGGCTGCTTATTAAAGAGAGAGGGGAGGAGGATTGGCCATACTGGGCCATTGGCTTGGCCAGTTGGCCGAACAGAGGTCCTGAGACTGAGAGGACTCTGTTTTTTTGTCTTCATTTTTGTAAGTTTATGTAGAGCAAGGCAGCAAGGCATATGTTTAAAACATAAATCCCTTGACCCAAAACTCCAAGGCAAACACTTAAAATCTGATTAGCCATGTCATCAAACCGTAAACTTCTCTTAACTCCAAACAACATTACGTGAAATTTACCGCAAGTCATCATAGTCATTAACTCTTAACCAAACCACATTTTTCATCACCACCATTAACCAGAGTTAGTGGGAGGCAGGCAGGGAACTTCTGAAACATCTAATAATCAACTAGGTCAATGGCAATATGATTGGTTTGGGGGGAAAAAATAGCAGAAAACAGCCAGCTGAAGTTGACCACCTTCAAAACCATATGTGCTGCCCTGGAGTACGTTCGGAAAGACGCGGTTTGTCTGTCCATTTGCCGGATTCAATTAAGCAATCTGGCAAATGAATCCATCCATCCATTAGGCCATATGACCCATTCATTACCCAGCAAAAGCACCATGTCCTGTCCTGCTCTCCGCTAATTATGACGTTGATGTACAAATGTTTTATTGATCGGCTCGTATTCGATTTGTCAGCTTCACGTTACCATCAATCATTAAATTAATCTCTCTTCACTTCACCTCACCTCACCTCTGCGCAACACATCACCAGAACCCTTCACAGCAAAACAACAACCAGCAAAGAGTTGCGCGTTCAGCCAGCAGCAGCATATTGCTTCTTTCAGTACCGCCCTTCGCCCCTTATAAAGTAAACCAGCAAGAGGAAGCACTAAACAGACAACAGTGTTCCCCCTTTCAATTCCTTCCATTCCGCAAACCTAACCCAAAAGGGAAACAATATGGATACCATGAAGTCCTTCAAGGGTTACGGCAAGGTGGACGAAGCAGAGGAGCGGGCCTTCCGCCAGAAGACGCGCCGCCGCCTCTTCATCGTGGGAATCTCCTCGATCCTCCTCGTCGGGATCATCATCGGCGCCGTCGCGGGGGTTCTGATCCGCAACCGCAAGTCCGGCGGCGGCGGCTCCGACGCCGACAAGCTGCCGCCGACGGAATCCCCCGCCGCGTCGCTCAAGGCGGTCTGCAGCGTGACGCAGTACCCTTCCTCCTGCTACTCCAGCATCACGGCGCTCGAGGGCGGGTCCAACTCCTCCGACCCGGAGGTCCTCTTCCGCCTCTCACTCCGAGCCGCAATGGCCGAGCTCTCCAAGCTGAAAGACTTCCCCGCCGCGATCCAGCTCCCTTCCGACATCGCCAACGACACCATGCTCCGCCAGGCCATCAACGTCTGCGCCGCCGTGTTCGAGGACAGCGTCGACCGCCTCAACGATTCGATTGCTTCGATTACTGCCCAGCCCGCGGGGGAGGGGAAGCAGCAGCAGGTGCTGTCGCGGGAGCGGGTCGACGACTTGAAGACGTGGCTGAGCGCGGCGGTTACAGATCTGGACACTTGCCTGGACGCGGTGCAGCTGAACGAGACGGAGCACCCGGGTTCGGGGGCGATCCTCGAGCAATTGAACTCGGCGATGGAGAATTCGACGGAATTGGCCAGCAACAGCCTGGCAATCGTGACTAAGGTCCTAGGGTTGCTCTCCGATTTCAACATCCCGATCCACAAGCGGCGGAGGCTGTTGACGGACGAATCGGATTCGGGATTCCCGCGGTGGGTGAGCGACGGGGACAGGAGGCTGCTGCAGCAGGTCGGCGGAGCGGGAGGTGTGCGGCCGAATGTGACGGTGGCGCAGGACGGGAGCGGGAATTTCACGACGATTGCGAAGGCGGTGGAAGGGATACCGAAGAAGAGTCTGTGGAAGTACATTATCTACATTAAACAAGGTACCTACAAGGAGAATGTGATCTTGGACAAGCACCGGTGGAATGTTCTAGTTTACGGCGACGGCAAGGACAAGACCATCGTCTCCGGCAGCCTCAATTTCGTGGATGGCACCCCTACCTTCGATACTGCCACTTTCGGTAAGTCTCCCCGCCACTTAATTTTGCTCCAATTCCTAAATTAGATTCGAATGAAAGGCGATTAATTGGTTGGTCGTTTCATTCCCGGTTGCCATTCTGCATTGAGTTATAGTCCTGAATCGATCAAATTGGCAAGTTGGTAGGTGTTTCTTCATTTAGAATCCTTGATTTAGTTGTTAAGGCAGAGAGATGAAACTGAAGGTGTTATTGGGGAAATGAGGAAGATAGGGAAAGAAAGGATCTTTAGGCGGCAGAATGCTTGGTCAATGGCCTTCTTCGCCACCCATGTGAAATGGTTAATTAGTATAAGAGAGTTGAAAGAATCTTTGGTGATGCCATCCATGGAAAAGGGTAGAAAATGGAGCTGAAAGAGAATAGAGAACAGAGCATGTCGCCATGTTCTAAGCAGTGACATGAGGGTATATGATTTCACATTCACTGACTATGAAAGGTAACTGCACATGGAATGATCGGCTTGGATTCAGAACACACATGGATGCCTCCATCTACTCCTGAAAGGGCACATGGAAATGGGATTATTAGAATATTCCATTAAGAGTCAATCGAGATTTAGGAGTTTTAATCACATCATAATCCCTCTAATTTTTACCGATGTCCTCAACTTACTGTCTTTGTTTGACTGTCCTGTATTGCAGCCGTTCAAGGGAAGAATTTCATGGCCAGAGACATGAAGTTCATCAACACGGCAGGTCCCGAGAAGCACCAAGCAGTAGCCTTCCGATCAGGAGCCGACATGTCGGTCTACTACCGGTGCTCGTTCGACGCCTACCAGGACACCCTCTACCCGCACTCCAACCGCCAGTTCTACCGCGACTGCGACATCACGGGCACCATCGACTTCATCTTCGGCAACGCAGCGGTGGTGTTCCAAGGCTGCAAGATCCAGCCGAGGCAGCCAATGTCCAACCAGTTCAACACGATCACGGCGCAGGGGAAGAAGGATCCCAACCAGAACACGGGGATCTCGATTCAGAAATGCGACTTCACTCCGCTGAGCGCCAATCTCACGGCCCGTACGTACCTGGGCCGGCCCTGGAAGGACTTCTCCACCACCGTGATCATGCAGTCGTCGATCGGAGGCTTCCTTAACCAGTTGGGCTGGCTGCCGTGGGTCTCTGGCGTGGAGCCGCCCAACACCATTTTCTATGCGGAGTATCAGAACACCGGGCCGGGGTCCAGCGTGGCCGGGAGGGTGAAATGGGCTGGCTACAAGCCGGCGCTGACCAAGGATGAAGCAGCAAGGTTCACGGTGGGATCGTTTATCCAGGGCGGTGCGTGGCTGCCGGCTACAGCAGTGGCGTTCGATTCCGCGTTGTGATTATATGGATATAATATATAGAGTTTTCTATGCAGGCAGTGGGCGAAGCAGTAATATTATCAGAGAGACCAGTAATCTCAGTTACGTTTTCCTTTGTGTCATCAGCTTTCTTACATTGTAGTTTGATTCAAGCACCAACGCCTAACTATACGTGAGAGGGTTTTCCAGATTGGATTGTAACAGTTGTTTGTTTATATACGTGGGAGCAGCGCGTCTTTTGTTCATAGACATGAATGAAGGGAAATCTTTACTGGCTGGTTTTTCCATTTCTTGTGTTTGGCTTCACATGTTGCTCCATTAATGAATGGGTAGAAATATGGAATTGGGACTTTGGGAGCATGGTTCTGGAGAAAGTAACTGACATTACTGCGGTTGTGTTTGAATTGAACGGGGTGGTCCGTCTTCATAATGAAAAGGTTCTCAGATCCGCACCACTCTGTTTTAGCTTTTATTCATTCAGCAGTTAAAAGAGTAAACTAATAAATAATAATCCCTGAATGATGCATACAAGATGTTAAACTGACAAAGATTAGCCGCAGTTAATCACGTTTAGCATCGTGGTTACTTAAACTGCTGGCGCCGCAGGATAGGATAGTTGTATTGCAGTTAGAGCTGGGTTTGTGGTTTAACCGCAGCACAAAAAGCCATATACCATTTGGTGACCCACAACCACATTTTGTGGTGAAACTGAAAGGTTTGGTTATAATTGTGAGTTTAGCTACTAACCCCAATGATTAATTACTAATTAGAGTGGTGGGAGAAAAGGGTAGGGTTGGCTTGCCTGGGTGAGGTGCGCGGGCCTGGCCCAGAGCGGTACTCCGTTCCGTTTGGGTTCGGGCTAACCCGCTAAAAAGGAAGAAAAAAAGGCGACGGTCAGTTTCCGGTATTCCGTCTGAAAATTCGTGCGGCCCACGAAACAGATCAACACCTTCCCTTACCTTCTCTCCCTCTCTCCCTCTCTCTCTCTCCTCTACCAGGGCAGGCAGCATTCAACAAAGCTGAAAGCAGCCACCCGTTCAGCCGCTCCGCCACACTCTCTCTCTCTGCGTGGGGACTGAAGAGTTGAATTTTCAATCTCGGCCGCATATTTAAAAGGAGAGGAAGCTTACAACAACAGAAAATGCGGAGATCAGTAATTGGAGGTGCCAAACGCAGTAGTCACTTCCTTCTCAATCAAGCTCATCGCTCCCTCCTCTCACCAAGTCCTCCTCCTCTGCACCACCATCTTGGTTCTTCTCCTTCCTCCTCCGCCACCGCCCTCCTCCTCCTACTCCGGCGCCTCTCCTCCTCCTCCTCCGCTTCTTCTCCCCCTCCTCCCAACATGTCGAACCCCGTTACCGTCCAATCCATAAACCCCAAGGTAGTCATGATCTTTGTTTCTTCTGACCAAGTCCATCTGCTGCTCATCTTTCAATTTCTTCTGCACACCTAATTCAGCTATCAATAAGAGATGCAGATCCCGTTTTTGTCCCCATCATTCAACTGCCAGAGTTCTGATGGACTGGTATTTGATTGCGTTTCCAGGTTTTGCAATGCGAATATGCTGTTCGTGGAGAGATTGTCAACCTTGCTCAGGTACTATCTATGCTTTGGTTCTCTGTCCGTCTCTCTCATTCAGTGCTTTTGCCCCTGTGCGCTAATTGCCTTCCATCTGATGTTCAACGTTTCATTGGTGCAGCGCCTGCAAGAAGAGTTAAAGGCTAACCCTGGTTCCCTTCCTTTTGATGAGGTTCTTCTTCCTCTCTAACACCCCTCTTAACTATTCTCTTCCTTTAACTATGAACAATTGGTTAGGCTCTTCTTTGGTAGTAACTGCTGGATTTATTGGTCAACAAAATGCTGTTTGTGTTCTGCTTTGAGGAAGCTTCTGTCTAGTTACTAGTCGACCCCCCTTTGGAATGATAATATTCCCAAAGCTGAATGAGAGCAGACTACTTTTTTTTTAATCTTAAGTGCAGCTTGAATTCGAGCTGAACTACTTTCTTTCCCTTTTTATATGCTCTCTGAAATTTCAATGCCCATGTACCCAGATTCTCTATTGCAACATCGGAAACCCTCAGTCTCTTGGTCAGCTCCCTATAACCTTCTTCCGAGAGGTTAGTTTGGCCTTTCCCATTTACTGCATAAAGGTTCATCCTTCTACCAAAGCCACTGCTTATATTCTTTCTGTTTCAACGTTAGGTTCTTGCGCTGTGTGACCATCCTACGATTTTGGACAAAGCTGAAACACAAGGCCTGTTCAGGTATCACTTCTCAGTTCCCACTTTTTGTTGTGTCATTCCTTGCTCCAGTGTTTCAGAGATTGAAGCCAGAAGGCAGTGCAGATGGTTTATGTGCTGGATAGTGCTGATAGCACTTAGCTTTTATTCAGTAATCTCAAATCATGTTTTATTATTTAGTTGAGAATTCGTTCATGCCTCAGCTATCTGGATATTTTCCCACATCGTTACCAGCTGATTAAGTTACAAAAAATACAACAGTTTGATGCTGTGTTTGTTGCATAATACTTTCCCCGCATTGCTAATGCCTTGTCCGGTTCCTTGCTTGTTGTATGCCAGTGCTGACTCCATTGAGAGAGCATGGCAGATTCTTGACCAAATTCCCGGGAGAGCAACCGGTGCATATAGTCATAGTCAGGTTATAATCTTGACATTGATATTTGCAACCTCCGAAGATGGTATTATAGTTGAGTTTTTTGTTAGAACATTGTGATGGATACAGCTTTCAACAGGGCATCAAAGGATTACGTGATACGATTGCTGCTGGTATTGAAGCTCGTGATGGCTTTCCTGCTAATCCAAATGATATATTTCTCACAGATGGTGCAAGTCCAGCTGTAAGAATGATTCCCCCTACTTTTGTCTTGTGATATTGTTTTGAATTACCAAACATTGGAAGCAGCTTTCATATACACTGACGGTATATCTTGCTTCCAATATGCTGCAACTGATAATGCTTCCCCCTTTCGTTAGGTACACATGATGATGCAATTACTGATAAGCTCCGAAAAAGATGGAATTCTGTGTCCCATACCTCAGTACCCTTTGTACTCTGCATCCATTGCTCTCCATGGTGGTAGTCTGGTAAGAAATCCCTCTCTTATGCCATTCACTCTAGTGGTTTGCCACTGGATAATTTGGATTTGTATTTTTGTTTTATCTTCTTTTGATAATCATATGTGTAAGTATGGATCAATTCAGATTCCTTACTATCTTGACGAAGAAACTGGCTGGGGCTTGGAAGTTTCTGAACTCAAGAAGCAATTAGAGGAGGCTAGGTCAAAGGGGATCTCTGTTAGGGCTCTGGTTGTTATCAATCCAGGCAACCCAACTGGACAGGTGGGGAGTTGCCACATTTATACTTCTGAGGAGAGATATCTTAATGTGAAAGTACTTTCCTGATGCTGGTACCACTTGGGAGGCATTTTGATAAGTGCGGTCTTGGCTCTTATGCTTGCAGGTTCTTGCAGAGGAAAACCAGCGGGATATTGTGGAGTTCTGCAAGAAAGAGGGTCTTGTTCTTTTAGCAGATGAGGTTACTATCGACTAGTTTTGTGCTGGGGTTACGTTCTTGAGGTGGTTCATCTTTTTATATATGACGTACTTTTTTGTACAGGTTTATCAGGAAAATATCTATGCTCCTGAGAAGAAATTTCACTCGTTTAAGAAGGTTGCCCGATCTATGGGCTATGGTGATAATGATTTGTGTCTAGTATCTTTCCAGTCTGTTTCGAAAGGTAAACTGCTTGATGTTTATGCTGGATTATAGATAGGGCTGTCCATTTGGTTTTGGTTTTGGTTTTAACCGAAACCAAACCAATTGGAAAGCTAATGGTTTTAGTTTTTTGGTTTTAAACCAATAAGCAACTTAATGGTTTTGGTTTGGTTAAAACCGAAAAACCAATAAAAACCATTAAGAAACCAACAAGAATAAAATTATTTATCAATAATTTTTTTCTTTTGACATGCATGCCAACCAATAATTTGTAATGGTCATTTACCATTATTATGATGTTTATTCAATAAAAAGGAGGGAAATGGGAATAAACATGAGTGTATGAGTACATGTTGGTTTTTTGGTTATCCAAACCAAAACCATTAAAGCCCTTATTGGTTTTTGGCAACCGAAAACCAATAAGAGCCTTAATGGTTTTGGTTTTTGGGATTTGGTTTTTGGTTTTTCATACTTAATGGTTTGGTTAACCAAACCAAACCAAATTGACAGCCCTAAATATAGATAATCTAGAGTTCCGAATTGGGGCAGTAACTACATATACTTAATTTTTTTTTAAATGTTTTCAGGGTACCATGGCGAGTGTGGAAAGAGAGGAGGTTACATGGAGATCACAGGTTTTAGTCCTGAAGTCAGAGAGCAGATATACAAAGTGGCGTCTGTGAATCTCTGCTCTAATATTTCTGGCCAAATCCTTGCCAGTCTTGTCATGAGCCCGCCCAAGGCACATAACTCTCCTTTCCATCTCTTTTTGTGACTGATTCCTTACTGAATGCCAGGATGTAGACACAAAAGGCTCTAGTATGGGATCATTAATCTATTGCGTATAATAAGAAGACTAGCGTCTTTTGCTTTTTACCTCTCATAATACAAGTGGAATGCTTTCAGGTTGGAGATGAATCTTATGAATCATATTCTGCCGAGAAAGACGGGATTCTTGAATCTCTGGCTAGGCGTGCCAAGGTCAGTTGATCAAATCCTAAACTTTTAAGCTCTGATATCCAGGCAACTCCGACGACTGTTTTTTTATTCCTTGCCTATAGTTGCGCTTTTTGCATAAGTTGGTGCTTGCTAATGATCAAGCAGTCAAAAGTTACCATAACCGTTTCGAGCGTCATATTTCCCTGAGTTGTTGTTTCCTTGATTAATATATCACTGTATCCTCAAACTCTTGGCAGACACTGGAAGATGCATTCAACAGTTTAGAGGGCATAACATGCAACAAAGCAGAGGGAGCAATGTATCTTTTCCCCCGGATCAGGTTGCCTGAAAAGGCAATCAAAGCTGCGGAAGCTGCAAAGACTGCCCCTGATCTATTTTATTGCCGTCATCTCCTAAATGCTACTGGGGTGGTTGTGGTCCCTGGTTCTGGCTTTGGCCAGGTAAGAAGTTGTTTTAAAATGATGTCATAGCACAACAAATAAGATTGTATGAGTGGGAAAAGTCATGGTAGTGCTATATCTATTTCTGCCAATAGTTTGCCAATCCATACTAGCCTAGTGCTAGTTATATATAAAGCAATAGCAGTATGCTGATTTGTAATAATACCCTCCTATATTGTCAAGAATCTCTTAAGGATTTCACTGTTGGACGTTGGACTCGATCCTAGGATTTCTTTAGCCTAGATGCTTGATCACCGGATAGGAGTAGAGGGTATATATATTGATCAATTTTCTCTGTTTTGATGATGAATGGGTTTCTAGTTGTTGGTAGTTATTGTGACCAGGCCCTTTGACGGGAAAGCAGTCATTAACCATGATATCATGTTTTTGCGATAATGAATTGTTGGCGAATAACAGTTGCTCCTGTCACTGAGTCTTTTCTTCTTTGGTTTGTAGGCTCCTGGAACGTGGCACTTTAGGTGTACCATTTTGCCGCAGGAGGACAAGATTCCGGCCATTGTCTCACGGCTGACAGACTTCCACAAGAGCTTCATGGATGAGTACCGTGATTAGAAAGAGCGTTGTTGTACTATCATCAGGGCTTCAGTTGGAAGTAGCGAATAATAAGATTGTACTCGTTTCATTTTTCTGCTGCAAGTTTTTTCAGAGTCGAGAGACTAAATAAGTGGCACTTGCCTTCACTTGGAGAGTTTGGTTGATCAATAGATACTATTCCCTCCGAGAGTGTTAGTAGTTAGTTCCATTTTGTTTATCTTGAGGATTAGTTTGCCTGCAGAAGAACTTTTGGTTTATGACAAAGTAGAGGTTATATATTGCGGCCAATGATGGGTTTTAAAACGAACGGGGTAGCTTTGAGTTTGCTCTCTTTGTGCATCTGCCGTTAAAATGAAACACGAATGATGACCTTTCCGACCAGCCCTACGGCTTAACTGATAATGGCACTGGTTGTACTCGTGCTGTCGTGCACCTCTTCGGCCAAAAGATCACTATTTGAGTATATTCCCACGATTGATACATCATACACAAAGCTAGTCTCTCAGTTAAGTTCTATCTGCCATGTGAAATTTACCACTCAAATTCAATAATCATTGAACAAAATTCAAGCTCTACAAAATATGACATTACCAATTCAGGTTAAGTAAAATTTGTTCCATGCCAGATCATACACAAGGAAGACAGGATACTGCACTCACATCAATAGACAATGATTCAAAATAACACAATCCATTTCTTCGACCAAAAGGCTCAAATGTTCATAACTTGCCAAGACAATCATTCCCCCATCCGTGGCCATGCACCACAATTTACCCTTAATCCCATCGAGCCTATTCAAACTACAGAAACATCAGATAGTCTGGTAGGCATGAACTAAAATTGCTGAAAAGCTATCATGAACGTCATTGTCATAGTTCGTACCCACATGCCCACAGCTGAAACGACAAACATTCGAGGGAAGAAGAAAACTAGCGGTACATATAACGTCTATGTAGTCATAGTGTCTCATCATAGGCGACTGATGACGGCCTCCACCTCAGAAGGGGTGTACAAATGGTATGTAGGAGCCACTTTTGCAATGTCCACATTGTTGGGTGTTACCTACAAATTATCAGCATATTCCAAATTTAGACTCAACAACCAATAACAATACAGCCAGCATAGGAATGTTGGGGTCCCCAAAAGAAGAAGATAAATTACCTTTTCCTCCATAACTTGCTTTAGGATGGAAAGTGCTATTGTTTCAGCTTCCTGAAGAGTGAGTTCCTGCACATTATATCATGGATGTGTATCACATTTTGTGACAAACAAAATGCAACGTGTACAACAGAGCGTTCTTCATTACACCTACCTATGCGTCACTATGAAAAATATCAAGACCTTGAACAGCCTATCTAATGTGATATTTGCCATCCAATCTTACAAGACTTAGAAACCGAAAGGAAAAATGAAAACGAAACAGTGAGCTTGGCGAACAAAAGTTGGAGAAGACTGCAAGCATTGAAATGAAGCAACAGTACCTTGTTATATTGCTCCTGTAGAGAGCTATCTGCACCTTCAGAACCTGACCCAATAGCCTTTGCATTGCATTGCCAAAATGTGCCGGATGGATCTGTGTAGTACCTACACAAGAAATTAGCTGGTAAAGGCAAAGCCCAAAAGACATGAAAATCCAGAAAGATGAAGCACACATGAGAACTTACAAGCTCGGACCATTTTCATCATGACCAGCAATGAGAAGAGATACTCCGAAGGGGCGAGACTGCAACGAGGAGCAAAAACTGATCAATAGCAAGTTGGATAAAATTGTTACAGAAGTAAACAAATCGAGGACCAAAAATTGCACTCAATTATCAAGCAGAATAACATTTCATTTCATCAGTGCTTCTGGTCACCTATGTAGAGATCTGACAAGAAGACTAGGGCAGAGATGCAGACAGTCATATTCCTATTAGAAAACTCACCAATCAACATTAGGATACACGAATAAGAAATGTCATCTGAGAAAAGAGGCTGTCATCACAAATAATTCTGGGTGTATGCTCAACAAGGGAACTCAGCTGAAGATTAACAGTTTTCACTAATAATTACATTTAGATTTATGACAAGTGTATTACCATAGACTCTTCATCGCCTTCACCAAATCTCAGGGCCAGATCACAAAGGGCTTGTGTCGTAGACTCCACAGTCATTGGCTCACCATATGAAAATCTATGATTCTGAAAGATACATGTCAGTTAGTGAAGGAGATCCAGACCCATGCAAAGACAGAAGCATAGTAGGAAGATAAGTATTACTTGAGTTTCAACACGAGCATGCTCAACAAGAGTACGGGCATCTGCAATTAATCCACTCATAGCACATCCAATATGCTCATCGATCTCCATGACTTTCTCCACACTGCTGGGCTCCTGAGATAGTCCATGAGAAAAATATATAATTTTGTTTCTCAGCACACAAAGAGGAGCTATTCTAAGGTACACAGAAACACATCAAGAAATGAAAGGCACGTCTTCCCTAGGTTTTTGGAGTTCTATTAGGCTTTCAATTCTTTTCATAATAGAATTAGGATGGTAGCCTAAGATGGAGTACAACTTTGTTGAAACATTCTGAACAGCATTCAGTGAATTCAAACGAAAGAAGTAACCATAAATAAGCAGGCATCTTTTGTACAAGGTTAGATAGGAAAGAAACAATCACATTGAGCAATCCCTTTTACACAATCATCGTTCACCACAAGAACAAGCTTTAAGCACAGGAACAAACCTGCTACATAAGAGAAATAGAGAGAGAGAGAGAGAGAGAGAGAGAGAGAGAAAACCAACCAAGAGTGGTGAAGTGATACGCTTCTCAACTGCGAGCACAACCCCTTCCTTTGTCTTCAGCCCAATCGCAGTAGAACCGAGCTAAAAAAAAGGATCACACAAATTATGGGTTGTTCTGCAATCCTTCTGGAAAAGATGTTTAAGCGAGGAAATGGTGCAGTCACAAGTCATGTTGAATTTGCAGACAGATTCACTTCGACCTCCCAAGCATACAGTTCATTGGAAGTACAATTCAGCATGAAATTAAGATGAACCACCGATAAGCTAAAATAATTACTTAATGCAGCAAAACAGAAAGTTCAAGCTTTTAAGACGTCCGATAAGAGCCGAATGGGTTGGAGGGTTCGCCACAACAGGATACAGTAGCTGTAGCTCGCTAAAGCAATGTCTCATATGGATCATGACTCATGAGCATCACTTAGGTATTGATCCGTCACTCAGTAGAACATAATGGCCGGGAAGTCTACAGGACTAATCGAGTAAGACCCAGATAAGGAAAATATGCAGGAAGCAAGCTTTAGCCAGATAGACACACAAATGTCTCGCTACAGTATGAGATTCAGTGAGGGAGAGGGAAAAAGGGAGTTAGGTCAAGCAGTAATTACCTTGATGGCTTCGATAGCGTATTCAACCTGAAAGAGGCGGCCTTCGGGAGAGAAGGTGTTCACTCCTCGGTCATACTCGGTCCTGAGAAATCGAAATCAGGAAAGTCGGAATTAGATAAAGAAATCGGGAACAAGGAGGTGAGCAGCGAAATGGATGTCGGCAATTTACCTGGTGAGGAACATGTTTTGCCGACGGTGGGAATTCGATCTGTTCTACAGACCGGAAATGGGGGAAGACGGAGAAGACCGACGGTGGCTCTTTTGACTGACTCTGGATTTTGCGGGCACCGGCGGAGAGTGAGGGCTTTTGTAGGCAGCTTCCAGCTCTCTGTGTAAATTCCTTTACTTCTCGTCTCGACTTGTCATCCAAGACAGACAAGTTTCTGAGAAACGTTTCGGTTCGTTGGTCTGTGTTGGGCCGGAAAAGAACTATTGGTCGGGCCTGGCCCTGACTAAGATGTATGACATTGCTATACTAATGGGCTGTCCCCTACACATAGTTTGGGCTTACACTTTTGTATGGAAATTTAAAAATGGTCATCGAATTTTCAACCACTTCCGAAACGGTCACTTAACGTTATTTTTGCTACAACAAAACCTACATTTTTTGTTGTTGTCAGAAACAACACCGTTAAAAGGGCGGTCTAGTCGTATACATAATAACCATGGATTCAGAGATCAGAAAAACATCTAAATTTGTCCGGTACGAAAATCTCTATCTGTGAGCCAAATTATAATTCCAATTTCATTACCTCTTAATACAAACCGAACAAAATTGCCAAACCAAGTCATGCATGAGTCAATTAGCTGATTATTTACAGCTGAAGGCAGAGTCCATGAGCCAATGGTGGTGTTGTGACAGTTTTTTCAAGGTGATTAATGCTTCACACATCTCTGATTTCTTTGGATGTTAGCTTAATAACAACAAGGGTGACAAAATAGAACATCAAAGCAATTACTTAAGGAAGCTTATTGCAGGGGAAACAGCCACAAGATGAAGTGGGAACAGCAAAGGAAGATACAAATTTGCCACTGTTATTACTAGCGACGGCAGCACGAGAAGGTGGAGTGCTGGAGGCGGCGGCGGTGATCATCCGCCGCGCCTGCTCGGCGGTGAAGTTAATGTGGTTGGTATGCTGTTGCAGGGCCGCAGCTCTCCAGTCCTCAGCTCGCCTGCGAACAACTGCCATCCTCTTCATCAACTTCTCCTCCATGTTTGCTCTCATCTTCTGTATCTTCACCTGCAAAACAACAAAAAAGGACGAAGCTTTTCATTAATGATACCGTTAATAGTTATCATTATTCTAATCGAATCCCCAAGCTTGAAGCTTCCCTGATCCTTCTCTTCTTCCTACCTTACCTACCGACCAGATTTGTTTAATCTGACACGACCTGGACGTTGAAGACTGCGACATAATCTTAATACAAATCCGGAAAGAACTTGAGTTTATTTAGATAACATCAAAAGGAACAAGGCATGGTGGACCAGTCAAGCAAGCAATAGAAAAGTTGGGAGCTTGGACTTGTGGGCGTGACCAGGAACTGAGCAACTCCTTGAGGGGCTCGAGGTCCTGGCCACTGCACGCTACCAAACAAGACCGCCAGCCATAGGTGAATATTCTTTTACCCAATAGCAACCTTTGCTTGCTGTTCCACCAAAGTCCTTGCTTTCACACCACAAGCCACATTTGTGTCACATGATGGGGGGAACCCAGACAAGCTCTTAATCCTAAGTCATGATGTTTATCTTGATAACTTCTCTGCATCGTTCCAATTATTTGACATGATCTCATAATGTTTCTAGATGCCCTCGAGTTCGAGAAGCCACACGATCGTGATAACTTATCGTATTAACAGTTGATTTATGCGCGAGGAACTCATGACGACTTAATAATCAACTGAAACATGATATGCAAATGGCAATATATCTGTAGTGACTCAAGTACTTGATCAATACCTCCAACTGCCTTGATTTAGCTTCAGCTTTTGCGCTCTGCAGGTTCACCCACGCCTGAATCCTTGCTTCTTCACTCTCGTATCTGCAATAACCAAAAGGATGTTTCTAACGCCTCCTTCCAACCGAATGATTTAACAAAACTACATCAACAGTTATGAACCGACGAGAGTGACTGTATAATACCTGAGGCACCATTTGTTCTTCTCCTCTTCCTCCCAAGCCAATGCAGCAGCAGCTGCAGCCCTTCCATCAGAGACACTGCTGCTCCTTCCAGTTTCGAAGTGTCTCAAGCTCTTGGAAACCTCTTCCTCCTCTTCCTCCCTTGTGCTCCAGATAGACCCGACTGGATCGAACTGCAGCTTTGCCAAGTGACAGTCCTGCAGCTCGAATATCGTGGTGCTGTTGCTACTGCTGTTATTGCTACTCGCGGAGTTGGAAATGGGGGCCAATGGGCCTGACCTATTGGCAGGAGTGTTGTGGCGGGCGGGCGAGGAGGATTTGAAAGGGGTATGGCATCTGGAAGTGGTTGAACTCCCCATTGGTGTCATCTCGGTTCCTACATCTCTGTGTTCCACCACAACTAGTTCACCACTGGTCTTCCCATCGTTCATGATTTTATCTGTACTGATACCTATGGAGTTCCTGAACAGGAATCCTTGCTTGTTAGATGATGGCTCCGAGTTCTTGAATTTTGGGGTGACTGTCTCCACCACCTCGTCTGTGAACTTATCTGCAACCGGATTTGATCCTTTTGTTGATTATGTACATCAAGTGACAGTGAAAATGGACCCGGTGCAATGTAAGCATGAAACTACAACATTAGAGCTAGTTGTTCACCAATAGGAGAGCTCCAATTCTGGGTTCTTTGGTCAGCATCAAACACTCCAAAAATCATGTAAGACTAAACATTTATGTGATTCTCTAGCATGCAGACAACCATAGAGTTCGTTGAAGCTACTAATGGCTGGAATGCAGCATTATTTCAGAGACAAAAGCTCACTACTCATCTTAAACAAAAAAGCACCTTTGAATGCTGTTGCTGCAGTTAGTCAACATACAAATGTTAAAAGGTGGGAAAGGGAGAAAAAACGATTATGCACCAGCTGCATAGCCTTTTGGAAGAGGAGACAAGAAAAGCAATACATTAGAGAAGGGAGTAAAAAGGCTAAAATGGGTGGGCAGTTTTGTGGTGAATAAAGTTAGTTAAAAAGAGAATATACAGATAGTTGGTGGTGTAGTGTTTGTACCTTTGAGAAGCGAATTGGGAGAAACAGAGAGGCCAGCGAAAGCAGTGGGCAAATGGGGCAGGTTCGCATTAGCCGGAGAGCAGCAGGCGATGATTTTATCATGGCAACACAAATTTTTGGGGGAAGGAGGAGGAAGAGGGCGGTGAAGGGGATGAGCAGGAGAAGCGACAAGCCATTTCTGGGCGTCGTCCCATTTGGAAGGGAAGCTCCTCCGTGGGGGTTCAACGCCGGCGGAGGATTTCCTTCCGGCCGAGAAAGGAAACGACTTTACAAAATCGGAGGTCTCTTTGAGATTGAGACTGCACAGTGGGTCTGGTTCTTCAAATGGAAACAAGGGTTTCACAATGTGCTTGCTTCCTGCTTGCTTATTATTCCCCTCCTCCATTTCTTATTCTTTCCACTAACAGCAGCTGGAGCTGGGACTGAAGAGCGTAGAAATAGAGGAATGCAGAAAGATAGGCGGAACAGGGCTCAAGCAAATGTAGTGGGAGAGATGGAGAAGGAGAAGAATGAAGAGTGGTTCCAAGAGCGGGAGACTGTAGGTCTTCTGCTGGTCTGGTCCGGTCCGGTCTTTAACAGTGAGTGGCATGAATCTTGGTGAAGGAAGGAAAAAGGAAAGGAAGGCGAAAAAGTTAGTCAGGCGTTGCTGCATCAAAAACAGAGTATTCAGTGACAGTGAAATGAAGGCCGCTTTCTCTCTTTCTTTCTTCTGCATTTGGGAACCCTATTCAAATTACTGTAACAATAGTTTAACATTTGGCTCTTCTGGTTACCACTTAGCAGCTGCCTCATATTCTTTACACAACCACGTTGATCAAATAGGTTTATAACGTTGGCTACGCTTAAAGCTTGCCGCAATATTGCCAAGTCGTTCTTGTTTTTGTGTGAAACTATGTCTCTTAGTGACAAAGTCAGGTCTTTTATTTCTACGTTAGAATTTTCAGATTGTCATCTTGTCGACCCCTCCGGCCTGTCGGGGAGTCTAGTCTTTGCTTGGCCACCATCAACTCCAGTCTCGATTCTGGGTTCCTCCCCTTGCTATATTGTCATCTCAGTCATCAAGAATAATTATCTTTGCTATGGAGAATGTCCTCGGTTTGTCCTCATAGGGGTTTATTTATCCTATATTGTGACTAAACGTCGATCTCAACTAGAGGAAATTGCAAATTTTTGTGCTCGCCTATCGGGTCCCTATCTAGTTATTGGAGATTTCAATAGCTCCTTATACACCCTTGATAAGTCAGGAGGATCCCCATGGCGAATAGATAAAGCCCGCCCACTGTGGGACTTTGTTAACCTTTTAGGGCTATTTGAACCAAACTCCCTAGGTCCCAAATTTACCTGGACAAATCGGGAAAGGAATGAAGTCACGATTGAACAAAAAATAGATAGAGTCTTCGTCTCTACATCCTGGATGAGCATCTGGCCATCGACGAGCTGACGCAGTCGGAAACCCGTAAAAGACTCGCAAGCGCTTGTCTATGGCAAACAAACAAGCCTGCAAGCGCAAGCTAGAAAGAAACTACGGAATCCACCGTAAACAATACCGTAAGGTTTTATTGATCAATGCAAAAGTACCTTCTTCCTACGCAACACAAGGCCTTAAATAGCCAAAAGCTCAACTACCTATCCTTAACCGACAATACTTAGGAACAATCAATAAAACTCAACTACCTATCCTTAACCGATAGTACTTAGGAACAATAAATCAATAACAATAAAACAAATGACTCAAGCAGCTCACGTCACTAACTTTTCCTCCACTTGAGCTGTTTCCTTCCCTCGATATGCTTCTTCGATCTTGTCCGCAAGCTGCGCTGCATCAGTCTCCTCCACTTGCAAAGAACTCGACCACGAGTTCGCATCAAGATACAGCGGGCTATCCGCGTGGAACTCGTAGAGGTCAGCCACGTTAAAGGTGGAAGAGATGTTCATATCACCCGGGAGGTCAATGACATAAGCATTGTCGTTAATCTTCCGGAGCACCTTGAAAGGCCCATATTTCCGCGGCTGCAGCTTGGAGTACGTACCAACGGGGAAACGTTCTTTACGTAGAAACACCATCACATCATCTCCTTCAGCAAACACCTTACGGCGCCTGTGAGCATCGGCGACAGCTTTATTACGTTGTCCTGTAGCCTCGAGCTTCACCCGCACGGCATCCTTAACAGCTTGGAAATCTTTTGCCATGTTTCCAGCAGCCTGACTCACTCTCGAGGCGCGGGGCAGCTCCACCAGATCAACCACCTGTCGTGGCGGAGTGGTGTAAACGAGCGAGAAAGGTGACTTGCCTGTAGCCGAATGTACGGCGCTGTTGTAGGCGAATTCGACCTGGGGTAAGACCAGATCCCATTGTTTCGGTTTATCCCCACACACACTACGGATCATATTACCCAAAGTCCGGTTGGTGACCTCGGTTTGCCCATCGGTTTGAGGATGAGCTGTAGTGCTTCGGTTCAACACGGTACCAAACATCCGCCATAAAGTGAGCCAAAAATGACTAAGAAACTTTGTGTCACGATCGGAAGTGATAGACTTGGGAACCCCATGCAAGCGGACGACTTCCTTGAAGAAAAGCTTGGCAATATTGGACGCATCCGCAGTCTTCTTGCAGGCAATGAAATGCGACATTTTGGAGAAACGATCGACTACCACAAAAACAGAATCCACTCCCCGTTGGGTACGAGGCAAGCCCAACACAAAATCCATAGAAAGATCAAGCCAAATATCGTCGGGAATAGGGAGGGGCAAATACAGACCAGTGTTCTGCGATTGTCCTTTCGAGACCTGACAGGTATAACAACGCTTCACAATGGTGCTCACGTCCCGTCGCAGGTGGGGCCAGAAGTATCGATCCTCCAGGCTGACAATGGTTTTATCGCGGCCCAAGTGACCACCGAGTCCCCCACCATGCAGGTCACGGATGAGTTTCTCTCGTAACGACGAGCTAGGGATACAAAGCCGATTTCCTTTAAATAAGTAGCCGTCGCGAACATGATAGTCGGCAGTGGGATGGTGAGAGGTGCATTGGAGCCACAATTCCTAAAATTCAGGATCGGTCGCATATTGGTCCTTGAGCAATTCAAACCCGATAATCTCCTGCGACAAGGTAACCAGTAAAGATGCTCTCCTGCTCAATGCGTCAGCGACTTTGTTTTGAGCTCCGGACTTGTGTTGAATAATGAAAGGAAACTTCTGTAAGTAGCTTACCCAACGAGCGTGCATCTTATTGATGATCTTCTGACTATGGAGGAACTTTAATGCAAGGTGGTCGGTGAATAAAATAAACTCTCGTTGGATGAGATAGTGCTCCCACTGCCTTAGCGCGCGGAAGACTGCATAGAATTCCTGGTCGTACGTACTCCACTTCTGTCGAAGTTCACTCAATTTTTCGCTAAAAAAGGCGACAGGCCGCTTCTCCTGTGAAAGCACGGCGCCGACCCCAACGCCGCTGGCATCACACTCTACTTGAAAGATTTTAACGAAATCAGGTAGGGCGAGGACGGGGGCGGTGCAAAGCTTCTCTTTAATCAGCGTAAAACTCCTTTCTTGCTCGGGTCCCCAATAGAATTTTCCTTTTTTTAGACACTCAGTAATAGGGGATGTGATGGTACTGAAATCTCTCACGAACCTACGATAGAAAGTAGCTAACCCGTGGAAGCTACGGACGTCCGAGACGGACGTTGGCGTCGGCCAGTCTCGAATGGCGCTAACCTTTTCTTCATCCACTTGGATTCCTTCGGCGCCAACCACAAATCCTAAAAACAGCAGCTTGCTTGTGCAAAAAATGCACTTCTTTAAATTCACGTACAACTCATTCTCCTTCAACACTTGAAACACGCTCCTTAAGTGAAGCAAATGCTCTTCGTCGTCCCGGCTATAAATTAATATGTCGTCGAAGTAAACCACCACAAAGGAGCCAATGAAAGGGCGAAACACCTGATTCATCAAGCGCATAAAAGTGTTGGGGGCGTTTGACAATCCGAAAGGCATGACCAACCACTCGTATAGGCCATCCTTACTTTTGAATGCCGTCTTCCACTCGTCGCCTGGTCGGATGCGGATCTGGTGGTATCCACTCCGTAGATCGATCTTTGAGAATACTTTCGAGCCGGATAACTCGTCAAGCATGTCTTCTAGTCGCGGGATAGGGAACCTGTACTTGATGGTGATCTTGTTGATTGCCCTTCTGTCAACGCACATGCGCCATTGATTGTTTTTCTTTGGTACTAACAACACCGGCACTGCACACGGACTCATACTCTCCCGGATAAACCCCTTCTTTAAGAGTTCCTCAATTTGTTCCCGTAAGATCTCATTCTCCTGGGGACTCATGCGATAATGAGGTAAATTTGGTAAGCTTGAGCCTGGAATGAGGTCAATATGGTGTTGAATATTACGCATGGCTGGTAAGGCATCGGGCAGCTCGTCCGCTATGACTTCTTTGAAATCGTTCAAGACCTCTTGTACAGCGACCGACGGGGTGGAATCTTCTGGCATGGTGCTAAACAAACCTTTTACTACCACAGGACATATCCATTTCGTGTCTTCGGCGGCATCAACCAGCTCTTGTTCATCCTGTGTTATCACCAGGAAATTGGGCCTTGCCTTACCAGGTTGCTTGTTGAATCCCGAAACTGGCGCCATGGCTATTTTGTGGACTCCCCAGGTGAACATCATCACGTTGTCTTTGCCTCTGTAGGTTATGTCGTTGTCGTACTTCCACGGTCTTCCCAGGAGGACATGACATACATCCATATTCAGAACGTCACATACGACCTCATCCTTGTAGTGTTTTCCAATAGATATAGGCACCTTGCAAGTCCGCGTCACCTTAACCTGCGGACCCTTGCTTACCCAGCCCAGAGAGTACGGTAGTGGGTGGGGTTCAGTGGGTAGCTCCAAATATGCAACCAATCGTTGAGACACCAAGTTCTCAGTACTCCCGTTGTCCACGATAAGGTTACAAACTTTATTATTAATAGAGCAGTGTGTTCGAAATAAACTCTTTCGCTGCCCTTCATCAGTAGCCGACAACAGAATTCGTCGCAGAACAATATTCACGGTCTCCTGTGATTCTTCTTCTGCAAACTCCACCCCTTCATACTCATTGCCTTCATTCTCCTCTTCCAACTCGTCCGTCACAATGGCCGTCGTCCTCCTTGTCGGGCATACGTTAGATCGATGGCCTTGACCCCCGCATCGAAAACATTTATCCCCTATGGGTCTTGCGTACGGATTAGGTGCCTTGGGGATTGGTCCTCTGCTCGGGTTGGAGCCGCTAGCGCCACCATCACTTTTCGCTATAGGGTTGGACTCTTTTAGGCTTACTGTTTTATCCTTGTCGTTTATAACTTCAGAATTTCCGGGCGGAGGGAACCTGCGGAAAGGTGAGAAGTTCTTAGGAGACTTTTCCATCAACTCGGCCTTCAATGCTAAGGTGGAAGCTTCAGCTACAGTCCATACCGTCTGCAAGCCCATCTTCTCCTGTATTGAGCTCTTCAAACCATTGATGTAGCGAGCGACTTTTTGGCCTTCCGTCTCTCCCAACTCGTTGCGTTCAGCAAAACGCAAGAATTCAGTTGTGTATTCAGTAACAGTCCTCCTTCCTTGTACGCAGTCGAGGTACATCTTGTATAGGATTTGCTCATAGTCTTCTGGCAAAAACCGTTCCATCATCAATTGTTTCATTCGCCTCCACGTTCGAATTGGTGCTTTCCTTTGACGCTGTCGTTGAACAACTAATTTATCCCACCATACGGTGGCGGTGCTCTTCAGTCGGATAGCCACCATCTTAACCTGCTTATTCTCAGGTACGCCCATCACGTCGAAGAACCGGTCGACGTCGATTTGCCAGTCCAGGAATTCCTCAATTCCCATAGTTCCATAGAACAATGGGATATCGGCCTTCACTCGATAATCGTCGCGGTGACGTTGATTCTCGTCGTCCGTGTGTTCATCTGCAATATCCTCCTCCGAGCTGGAGTCAGAATCAACCCGTGCGGCCGCACCACCACGTTGCCTCTGCGGCCTCTCTTCTCTTCGACGCTCGTCTCTCCGACCTCTTCCTCTCCCTTCCAGGTTGTTGTTGACGCGATCAGCCAACATGTTTACTTGTGTTGATAGGGCGGTGAGGGCAGCGGTAAAAGCCGCGGTAATACCCTCGATGTCTGCCCGTGTGATTGGTTGTTGATCTCCCATGGCTGATCAAGCTACGAAAAGAGGCAGGAGAAAACCAGGCTCTGATACCACCTGACGCAGTCGGAAACCCGTAAAAGACTCGCAAGCGCTTGTCTATGGCAAACAAACAAGCCTGCAAGCGCAAGCTAGAAAGAAACTACGGAATCCACCGTAAACAATACCGTAAGGTTTTATTGATCAATGCAAAAGTACCTTCTTCCTACGCAACACAAGGCCTTAAATAGCCAAAAGCTCAACTACCTATCCTTAACCGACAATACTTAGGAACAATCAATAAAACTCAACTACCTATCCTTAACCGATAGTACTTAGGAACAATAAATCAATAACAATAAAACAAATGACTCAAGCAGCTCACGTCACTAACTTTTCCTCCACTTGAGCTGTTTCCTTCCCTCGATATGCTTCTTCGATCTTGTCCGCAAGCTGCGCTGCATCACGAGCGTATATCATCTCACAGACATAGGCTCAGATCATATGCTACTTTACTTACAGACAAATCCTACTATGGTTAGAGCAAAGAGACTATTTCATTTCGATCTCAGGTGGATTCAGATGCCGGAAGCTGAGGTAATAATCACATATGCTTGGAATCTAGAAGTAGCAGGCTCAATTCAATACTGCCTATTTGGTAAGCTTCTACGAACTAGGCATGCGTTGGTTGGTTGGTCTAAAGGAGGAACGTCTAACTCAAGAAGGTTAATAAATGACCTAAACCTCGCACTAGAAGTGGCTAGATCTAATGCTCTGGTAAACTGGGCCTTAGTCAAATCCTTGGAAAAAGAACTGATCGTTCATTATAATCGGGAAGAAATATTTTGGAGACAAAAATCCCGAACTAATTGGCTACAAGGTGGGGATAAAAACACCACTTATTTCCATATAGTCACCTCAGCCAGACAGCAAGCCAATACAATATGGGGTCTGGAAAACTCCCAAGGGTCATGGTGTACTGCGGAACATGAGAAATTGAACATTGCCGTGGACTACTATAAAGACCTCTTCCTAACACAGTGTATGACCGGGATCGACTTATCCAACCTCCCGGTAGAAAGAACAGTAGACGAGATCCAGAATCAAAATCTGATTGCTCCAATATCTCAAGAAGAAATTAAGAAAACGGTGTTCAGCATAGGCAAATCTCAAGCCCCAGGCCCTGATGGATTTACGACAGCCTTCTACCAAAATTATTGGGAGCTAATCAATCAAGATGTGATCCAAGCAGTACTGGCTTTCTTCCATTATGGGCATTTACTAAGATCCTTCAACCGTACTTGGATATCACTGGTCCCCAAGGTAAAAGATGTAAGAACCATGAAAAACCTAAGACCAATCAGCCTTTGCCAAGTGATCTACAAAGTCATAGCAAAAATATTGGCAGATAGGCTGAGTAGGGTGCTACCTAGGATCATATCCCAAACACAAAACGAGTTTATCAAAGGGCGTCAAATCTCAGATAATATCCTGATCAGTCATGAAATGGTTCACCATCTCAAAACTTCAAAATCCAAGAAAAAGGTGGATGGCAGTGAAATTGGATATGGAGAAAGCATACGATCGAATAGAATGGCCTTTCTTGTTCGAAATGATGAGGATTCTTGGTATACATCCTAGATTCATCTCTTGGGTAAAAGAGTGTGTCAGTGTCACTACATTGTCATATTCGATTCTTATTAACGGCTCCCCATCAGGGTACTTTAGACCTTCAAGAGGACTAAGACAAGGAGATCCTTTATCGTCTCTCCTTTTCGCCATCTGTGCCGAAGGATTCTCTAGTATGGTAAGGAAAGCTACCTCCGTAGGATACCTTGAAGGAGTTAGAATTCGCCCTCGTTGTCCGGTAATTCCCCATTTATTCTTTGCTGATGACTCATACCTATTCTTGACCGCATCGCCGGAGTATTGTACGACTCTCCTTTCCCTACTGCATGCTTACGAGGAGTTGAGCGGTCAAAGAGTAAACTTAAATAAATCGGCCGTCATTTTCATTCACAATACAGATCCTTCCCAAGCTCAAATTATGGGTGCTCAATTGGGTGTTGGAACCATAGGAGAACATGACTCGTATTTAGGTCTACCGACCATCTTATCTAAATAAAAAACAGAGACATTCATGTTCATGGAGGAGAAACTTATTAAGAAGATACAAGGGTGGAAACATCGATCCCTATCGAAAGCTGGGAAAGACATTCTTATTAGAACATCGGCCACTAATATACCAGTACTAGGAATGTCATGCTTCAAGCTCCCCAAGGAAAACTGTAGACGCTTAAACAGTCATATCGCAAAGTTTTGGTGGGGTACGACACAAAATTCAGAACACCCAATCCACTGGTTGTCTTGGAAAAGCCTAGCTCACAGCAAATTCCATGGTGGTCTTGGATTTAGAGACTTTGAAGCCTTCAATCAAGGGTCGATACTTTACTCAATGCTCGGTGTTGGAAGCATCAATCGGATCAAACCCTTCGTGGGGATGGAGAAGTCTACTTTTTGGAAGAGATCTGCTCCTACATGGACTAAGATGGAAAATAGGCAATGGGCAAAGAACCCGGGCGTTCATTGATAACTGGGTTCCGGGGGATAAACCTGATGACTTGATATATACACATGTTTTTGTCCACCATTCTTGTACCGTTTGAGTTTTTATTCTCGTGTTTTATGCCGATTTCACGCTAGGTTGTTCTTGCTTGTGATATTTCAGGTCCTAGTACGTGATGAAGGTTTGGGAACGAGTTCGGGGTCGATTTGACGAAGATTGGACGTTTGGCGAGAAGCTGAGAAACTCACACGGGCACGCCTAAAATTCCACACGACCGTGTGACTTGGCAGATGTGGCACCACTTTGCACGAGCAAGCCACACTGGCCATGTAGGGGACCCCTTGTGGCAGTGTTGAAAGTCCATGGAGCTCACACGGCCAGCCTGGAAATCCACACGGCCGTGTGTCCCTGGCCGTGCAGCATGCCTGAAAGCCCACTAATCGAAACGCCGCGTTTTAACAATCACACGGGCAGACTGGAAAGCCACACGGCCGTGTGGCCTGGCCGTGTGGTCGGGAAATTCTGGGTTTTAACCCAATTTCGAGCCAAAGGAGAGGGTTCCGAGTTTTAGAGAGACAAAGCGTATATCTAGAGAGAGAAAGTGACGAACATGATTCTTCAATTGCCTAGATCGATCTCCATCACCATTGGAGCCCGACTTGAGTTTGGAGAAGAGCTGATTGAGTGCCAGAAGCAGAATCTCATCCTTTACAGTATGGTTTCCGCATCTGAGCTAGATTTCCCATCTCTCTCTATGGAGTAACTTTCTCTTTCACCTGGGTATGAAGAACCCTAGATTTGTGTGTTAGGTCTGATTGTATGAACCCAAGTACAGATTCAGTGATATGATTATATTCAATTGAGGTCTGATTTGTTGAATGGCATGAATGCTGGTCAAATTCCTGTTGTTTCTGCTTTAACCTAGAAAGAGAATATCTGCCTAGGTTGATAGAGCACCCTTGATTGAAGGTAGTGAATTGACGACTTTAGTCGAGGAGTCGATTCACTATCTTGTACCGGATTTACTTCGGTAGTGGAGGTTTGGTTCGTTAGGGCCTCAATCTGTTTACTCCGGTGGAGGTTAGTCGCCCGCTGGGGGACTCAGATTGAGAGGGTCTGGAGACCTTTAGTCGAGACTGCAGACTGTTTAAGAACCTCCCGCAATATAACTATCATTGAAATTGAACTTGGTAAATTACAATCCGGCTTAACTGCAGTCTAGGGGGAACCATATCCAGGTGACCTCTCTCAACTTGAAAACAACCTTTAACTGCTTTGCTTGTTTGGACCTTCACTACACTGTCATCCCTAAATAATAAGAACTCACGGAGTAGTCATCACACTTAGGACCCGGGTTGACATTAAAATCCAAACCCGCTATACTACGCTTTAGGAGGTGGTTACACTTGGCCATTTTCTAGAGTGACGGTAGGAGCAAGTCAAAACCCTTAACCCCGAGTACCCGACCCTTATTTCATAAAAGAAGGTCAAGGGGAATGGGGCGTACTAAAACTCCAGACTTGCTTTGAACCTCAGTCTGTTGATCTCATCAGGAGAATTCCTCTTCCTCGTTACTCACAGCAAGACATTAGAGTGTGGCACTATTCCAAGGATGGAAAATACACAGTCAAATCGGGTTATCACTTAGCTCTGGAAATAACATTGGCATCAAGCCAAAAACCGATAGTGCATATCATCGACCCTCCTATTTGGAAAAAGACTTGGAATATCCAAGTCCCGCCTAAGCTCAAATTCTTCATATGGCAATGCCTCAAAGTCATACTTCCCACAGTAGTGGCCCTTCAAACTTGTGGAGTAAACTGCCTTAACCGATGCCCTCTCTGCTGGAGACATCGAGAAAGCATTGGACATTTATTCTTCAGATGCTCCCTAGCCATCAGATTGTGGACTTTAGTGGGTTTGAGCAAATTTATTGAGACCGTCCAGACTGTTAACTTTAGTCTATGGTGGCGACATGTCATGGTCTCTGAGACCTCCCCATTCCACATTCTCCAATGCGTCTGTTTACTTTGGAGAATCTGGAAGTCTAAAAATAAAGTAACCTTTGAATTTATCCAACCTCATGTCTGTTCCCTAGCCAGACAGTTCTACAACCAAGTCCTCGAAGTCTCCAGTCTTCTTCTCTCCCCCCCCCCCCCCCTCCCCGCAGCTCTCTACTCCCAAACCATCCTGCCACCACTTGGGGCCCTCCACCAGAAGGATTTTTGAAGATCAACGTCGACGCAGTTGTTTGTGCCTCCGGGTATTCGTCTGGGCTTGTTATCCGTGGGTCAGACGGGCATGTGGTGTTGGCGTTCGGGTTGCAGCATCAAGGAATAGTCAACCCTTATCTGGCAGATCTTCTAGCTTTTAGAGACGCTATCTCCATTGTAGCCTCAAGATCCTTGACCCACGTGATAGTCGAAGGTGATTCCAAAGTGGTCGTCAACCAAGTCCGTCAATGCGTCATAGAAGACTCGATTGGTGGTCCGTTGTTACGAGAGTGTCATCAGATCCTTAGCTCTTTGTCTATTTGTATAGAGTTTAGGGCGGTACCTAGATCCGCCAACAGTGCTGCCCATAGAGTGGCGCGTAAAGCACTGCTTTTGTCTCGTGTAGAGCTAGAATCCTTTGATTTTTTGGGGTGGCTTCTTTAGAGTCTTTTAGGGGTCCTGGGTAGAATTGTAAGTTTAACTATTATCTTCCATTGATATCACTTAGAAATAAAAAAAAATGTTACGTACGTTTAGCAAATGTAATGATCCAACTAGATACAATGATTTATACTAGTTCATTTCAGTTTTAACTAATATATAGAGAAAGTGGGAAATCATCAACACCAAATTAATTTCAGTTTTAACTAATATATAGAGAAAGTGGGAAATTCATTTCAGTTGTAGTTCTTAAAAAGTATGCGAAATAAAAAAAAATTCATGACATTCGGATTGTGGAGCATCAAGTTATGGTCTTCCAAAGTTTGTCGAAATCGAAAAATTGCTTGTTCGGGGTAGCAAACGACATTTTTTTTGGATGAATATTAGTGGCAGATTGAAAGATCTTAAACAGTTATGCAGAATAAAAAAATTGCTACCATCGGATAATCAAGCGCAAAGTTACGTTAGTTTGAAGTTTCAGCCTTTGTTCAGGCCTTCACTGCGGTCGACAAACGCGGTGAAGCCTTCACCGCGGCCGTCAGACACGGTGATGCATTCACCGCTTTAGTCTGCAACGGTGAATGTGGTTGACGGCCGCGGTGATGCCCAAACATGTGTAGATTGAGAATTTTTTATAAAACGTGTGTATTTGGGAATTTTTTTTTTAAAACATGTGTATTTTGAGATTTTATCCATTTTTGCGTACTTGGCCACTATTAATAACGGCAACGACCATATTTTGACCAACAACAATAGTTATGCCTAATAATTTGAACACTTGAAAAGGCTTGATTAATATATTGTATTTACCCCATATATAGCATATTTGAAAGCAATCTCTCCAATATATACATTTATATTTAAACAAAATACATAATTTCAAACAAAGTGAAAAATTCACATATTTAAATACAACGTTTGATGTTAACATCCAAATATTTGTATTTAAATTTAACAAATCATATAAACGTCTAATCGTTGATACTTGAAAACAACAAATGACATTAACATTTAATTTTCAACATCTCTTCTCTCTAAAAAAATAAACTATTTGGCTTCTCTCTAACTCCCACTTCTCCATTGCTCATCGGGAGCTGTTGTCGGCATCTCTCCAGTAACCGGCAGTAGCTTTTCCCTTTTTTGGCTTAATACCATTACAAAATCCGAACCATCCAAAAAATGTCAATTTTGTCCTCAACTATTCAATATGTAAATCCTATCATGACCTTTTAGCGTTATGTGACATTTGTGTCATGAAAATTTCGTTGACCATTAAAGATAACGGCTGACCATAAGGTGGTCAAAACGACGTTGGCAGGCTCTCGTTATATGGGCATGGAGGATACGTTTCTTGTAGACTTGTTGACTTTGTGAGATGGGATTCAATGGTATCTTTCGGCAAGGATACAAGAGGTTGTGTTTGTCGGGGATGCGGAGTTGGTATTGGATAAGATGACAGAGGGTTCATGTTCTGATGCATGTGGTGGAGCAAATGTGGAGGAAATTCAGGTGTTGCGACAAAGTTTTCATCGTTCCAAAATACAGTTCATTGATCGTGATAAGATTAGAGTGATCCATTTGATGGTCTGGAAAGTCTTTTTATTATACCCTAATTGGTAAAAAGTAGTCTTCCATGCAAACGACCCTAAATCTCAACTTGACAGGAAGAGAAAAGATCTCAAGTTTACTATTTCCTAATGACTCGTCAATTTACATGGTCCATCAGATAAGTTGGTCAAAAATCTTTTGAGTTAATTAATAAATTATGGATTCAAAGCTTGGAAACCACAAGTGAAACTTCTTTCATTTATTCTTCTAAAGTTGCAACCATATCCAAATCCAACTCCATTATACAAACCAGTCTCACCGTCGATGCTTGTGCCCACCCAACTACGGCCAATTTTTATGACACATACATACAATTGTGGATGGATGATTTATTGAGGGGTAGGCAGGCAGCATATGACATATTCTAAAATGCAAACCAAACATTTACAGACAGCAGATGTTGACTTTTAAGCTATAATACAAACAGTGAAAGACAGAGAAACTAGAGGCTGGGAATCATACTTGCCAACAGAGCTTAATCTATTCATATAAGAAACTAATGGTAGGATTAGTGTTGCTCCCTTTCTAACTTTGACAAGAAGAATTAACAATTCAATCATGGGCCAACTGGATGCTGCATGATTCAAGTTTCTAAAAACTATACCATTTTGATCTTCATACTGAGATAAGATGTGCTGTAGTCAATAACAAATTCTCACTGATTACCTAAAATAATGCTTGTCTATTCATGGTTTACTAAAATGACGCCTTAGATGATGAACTGACGCATGAACAACCAATAAGCACAGCAGTCCACAATATAATAATAACCCTCTCCTCCTCCACCCGACCTTTCAATGGCTTGAATTATTGGAGTCGAGGTAGAAGATAAGCAGAAACAGGGAAGATGGCCCCACTGCCTTTCACCTGATTATCTCTTATAACTATAAGATAGTGCATCATTGACAGAGACAACCTCCCTAGCAACATACTCACAGCAACCATTAATTATTCTATCAGCTGCAACCCCAAATATACCTCTCCATCTGTATATAGGACTAAGACTAGGAGGTTCATTGGTCACTAAAGTAAACGCCTACAGTTTTCTTCATCTCACTCTCCCTCTCTAAATAGGAGACTCACCATATGTTAGTCTAAGGTGTTTGATCAAATGGTTGCATTAAGGTTCACAAGATGGCCTTCCTCGCCACCACACTTCCCAGTAATGCAAACAGCTGCATCTTCTTCAATTCCAGACCAGCTTCCATTCAGCAGCAGCAATAAGAAGGCTCATAAACCTGTGGGGATCATGATCAAATCTTCCTCTTGTTCCTCCTTCACAAACAAGGTAGGTAACTTCTATACATCACATGTATCAGACGTCTCTAATTCGTCCTTCTTCTCTCATCATGTATGATCATTGTATATGACTTAGTCCTGCTGGTTCGTTATATTCTCAAATCTCAACTTCTGGTGGGAGGATAGATATTCGAGAACCCAGTTGAGGGTATCGTTTGTTATACAGACGAGAGAACTGGGGAAGTAATTTGCGAAGCATACGATGAAGGCCCTCGTTTCAACGACCTGCACCAGCGACGGACTCCTGCTGCGTATCAACATCATTCGGCATCAAGGTGTGATGATCAATCTCACTCATGGTTAATTCATTGTTAAAATCATCATTATACCAGCAGGATATGGTCGTCCAGTCAAATGCTTATACTGTAACATGTAACTTTCACGATCAGGGATGCACAGATCATCATCAACCTCCTTCAGCAGCGGCTTCTGCAGATTGTTAATGGCTCTCATGGTGATCAATATCAGAATGCTGGGGCTACTGTTACCGCGCAAGAAGACCTTTCAAAGTCCAGCAGCTTATAAACTAATTCTAACAACTCCTATCACCACCAGCATCTATCTATGCACCAAGTCATTATACCAGCTTTCTGCATACACTTGTATATAAAAGTGATGACACAGATGTTATGTAGTCACTCTTTTCACCTTCAGATTGTTCAATCTAAAGACAAATGGTCCACTGGATTACTGCAGAAATGCTTGTAGATAAAAACCAATAATATGATATGAACGATTTTTCATTTACCATGCAATGCATCTGGGAGACAAGCACACAACTAGAACCATGGAACCCTTTCCTCTGCTCTTGTAATACACGAAAAAGACCTCGAGCATGATACATGAAGTAGAACGAGGAAAAAGCGCATTTATATTCCAAATGTGCATCAACAAATAGAAATGAGATTCAATTGGACAAGATTTACATGATCAATATTCGCTGCTTTCATTGATGCTATAAACACAAGAAAAAAATATTTTTGTACAGACACGAAGATGATGATGTCCCATGCATGGAGAGAGGTAACCCAATATTATACCTCTTTGACATTCCTCTAGCCATATTATTACCCTTCCACTACTCTCCCACCCTAATAAACACTCTTTCGTGACCTTCCACTTTCAACCCAAAACTACAACTGTAACACTTTCCCATTTCCACGGCAAAAAAAAAATGGAATTTCCTCCCCAACAAAAAGGAAGTAAAAAAGATGAAAGACCAAATGATTGAACAGCCCACAGTAATAGGAAAAAAATGTACAATGGAAGGAAAAGAGAGTACACTGCCTTATATTTAGCTTGCTGCTCCAACATTTTACTCCACTGATGTAGCCCCTTGAGTGTTCTCTTCACCCACATCAGATAGAGATTTAGTTGGGAGAACTGAGGGAGGAGACCATTGATCTGGGACCATCAAGAAATAGGTAGTCATTGCTTTCCTGAACCTCTTCTTGTATTGCTTTGGGGATATAACAGTAGGAGTTGAGTTCTTTGGACCACCTAGTATTCCTGATGCCTTCACCCAAGTCTCCAGGTGTTTATCCCATGTATACTGCCTCATGAAGTCAATGATCCCAAGAACTAGCTCGTGCTTCTCTTCATCCAACCCAACCAACAAAGAGTAATCCATCACATCGATTGACTGCAAAGGCACGATTTAACATTATCAAATGTTAATGAAAACAAAATGCTGAATCATATATCAGTCAGCAAATTACTTAAAGTCAACACCAGAACATTGCATTGATTGACCAAAACAACTTACTGCAAGAAAAGAAGTATCGTTCCACACTGCTCTTTCAAGCAACCGCTTCGCCTTGTTGCCCACAAAGATGGGAGAAGTTGGCATGGCTTCAATCAAGTTCTGATCAAGCAGAACTTTGTTATTCCCGGTGGAATCTGGGTTGTACCTTGATCTTGAAGAGCCCTTCAGATCATAAAGGCGTGTCACGTTTCTTCTGAACAGAAGATTCTCCATTACCAGAACATCCATTTTGGATTCCTTCCCGCTTTTCAGATGCTTCGATGCAACCTTAGCAGGTTATAATAAAAAATACACTCAATAAGTCTCATGCATGGCTTAGAGAAAAAAGACAGACATTAGACAGGCTATTATCAGCAAGAAAAGTTGTTCAAAACAGCTACCTGATATATTCCAAGTATCTTTGCTAAGCAAGTTGGACTGCGCGAGCTAATTGATTCAGACAGGTACTTGAAGTATTCAGGCGCGAATTTTATGAACGACTCCAGTTCTGTCTTTGTTACTTGTTTGATGATGAACCTGTCATCCAAAGTCTTCGCAAAGAAGACATTGCTTTTACCACCTTGAGCACCCCACTTCTTACACCGGCTGAGAGACCTCACAAAATCGAGTTCATTCGGGCAACACATCCTCCTTAGTGCTGCAAACCGCTGTGCAAAGTAACAAGTGACGGAATATTTGGCCTTCCCAATTGGACCATCATCTCCGAAAGAAACTCTAGCATGCAATGCCTTTGAGTATGAAAGTGGGTCCAGAATCAAAGAGCTTCGAGATGCAGACGTGGATAAGGTGGTGGTATCCTCAATAGACCCAAGACTTTTGTGAGAATCAAAGCTCATATCCTCCGCAAAGTGGAACGACTGAGAAGCCATGGAGTCAGAGAAATTTAATGATGATGAACCATAATCACCACTGTAGTTCATCCGTTCGAGTTCATCGGTTACTTGTCCATGATATTCAGGTGACACAAGGGCATAAGATATGATACTCGTGGGTTCATCATCATAGACAGGGATGACAGTGTCATTAACGCCCACAGGGAGAAGAAGCCGGGCCCCACCTTTTAATTCCAGCTGCCTGAAGGATGAAACATACACCGGATTGTACTCATTCAGGGTGTCAAGCTTCTCAGAGCTGGCAAGGAAATTTTTGTTGAGAGATCGATAGAAGTTCAAGAAGGGCATTCTTAACCAGCTAACAGATTCTTCTGCATCATCAGGCCCCTTGGTCCCATTGTTGTCCACATGATTGTCAACATCCAATGCGCCTGAAACTGGAGTAGAGGAATCGCTCAAGAGTGACTCAAGGCCATTATCTTTTAGTATGCCTACCCCCAAGTGATTCTCCCCTGTCCAAGCAGCATCAAGAGTCTCAGATAAATTGGCCAAAATGGGGACCTGACCCTCAGAAAGGGTTCTTCTAACAACTCCACCAGATTCAAGGCCTTCATACTGATCACACATTGACACGGTACTAGCAAGTTTAGCACTGTCCTCTTTATCAGTATTAGATTCTACATCAGGATCTTCTTTTACTTTGTCAACTGGGCTAGACTGATTGGACACACTATCTAAGGGACCCTGTTGATGATGGTCAGATATGTTTGTTCGTAGAGAAGAGAGGTCCACTGAGTTCATACCAGTGCTACCGGGAGATTTCCCCCCTTTTCCTGAAGGAGAAACATTGAGCACATCTTCGCAGCTGTTATCATTCAAATTGGAAGCATAGATCAGTCGGTGATCCCACATGTATGACTGGAAAAGTAATTGCCTCCTCAAGCGATTTATCTCAAGGATATCAATTGCAGGCTGACCCTTTTTGGCTTCTTTGTGCACAACTTTTTGTAGTGAATCCTATAGGGAGAACAATCACAATGAAAGATGTATTTTTTCAGTCAGGAGAAAAAATGTTTTGCAGAATCAGAAACATACTGCAGAAAAATTCTTATGAATGTAGTTGTCTGTCATGCATAGCTTCTAAATCTGGTTTTTGCACTAAGCCTCACCTGAAATTCTGCCTTCTCCTTTTGTAACAGGGCTTCAAGTTCAGCTATTTGCCGTCTTGATTCGGTAGGCTTTGTGCTACCATTATGCAGTGCCGCAGCATGTCGTTTCTCAGCGATTCGACGAAGGGCAGTGAGTATCTCAGAAAACAGAAGCTCAGCCCTGTCCACAACCTGATATTTTGGATGATTAAATCTCTAACGGCCAATAGAATTTGGATGATTAAATAACTCAACATCCAGATTGTAGTAGTCTCTGTACCTCTGCTGCCTCTTTCTGTATCCACTCCTGGTGTCCAAGGCTGAAATCAAGTTTTGAAGGTGGAAGGTACACTGAGAGGACATTAATTGAAGCATAGCGAAAACAAGCAACCATTTTCCCAAACCTGTACATCATTGGAAGTCAGAAAGAGAAAGTGACAGCAAGAAACTTACTCCTAGGTCAATCAAGGCGATAAAAGAAAATACCCGTAGAAACGAAGACAATCCCTGTGAAGTGAATGACCACAGCTTGCCACTCTACTTGCAGCTGCATGATTTGAGAAACTAAGCTCCAAAAATTTACCAAAAGACAGTCCCCAAGCAGCATCAGACATTATGACTCTTCGAGTGGCTGGAGGAAAACCATTAGTCCTTGGACACTTTAGGCATCTATGCCACATCCAGATTTTCCCATCCCTTTCACCTGGTAAGAGGAATTCAGGTAGCTTCTTGACAGATATTGTAAGGGTGCCCTGTCGATGAGTATAACAATGAACATGTGCTTCTGATGGCATCTCACAGATACGGCATGTATAACTCTGCAACAGAAGAAATTTATCATCTTACCAGGGACAGCTTCAGAAAAATTAATTCTTTCAGCAAAATAACAATAATAATAAAATCAAGAATTTACTTAAGAATATAATGCATTGTTCACGGTAAGTTACCTGATCAAATAAATGGTCTCGCAAAAACCGACCTAAAGGTTTGTCAAAGCTACCATAGTATTTGATCCGAAATAGATGGGACCGCTCACAAACAGTTCCTTTCCATACACAGCGGGAAGACAAGGAAACCAGAATGCTTTGATGGTCTGAAGGTGATGGAGGAAAGTCCTCTTTTAAAGGTCCTCGATCCTCCACATTGCTGTTACCGTCTTTTAGGCCTGATGAAACCTCTGAGCTTACTGGTGGAGGAACAATTGCCTTGCCAAGATTAGATTCGCCACCCACTGTGATCCCTTCCACAGGTACAGACGTATTACCAGCAAAATGCTCATTCAGAGAAAACAGGCCATCACTAACCATGGAAATCTCAGTCACTGGAGCACCTTCCAAACCAAGTCTGTTTTTCTCATCAAATGTGCAGTATGAATCAGCAACGACTTTGATTGTAGATTGCAGTGAGGGTAGAAATGCTGCAGCACCGAAGCTAGGCAAAGTAGGTTCAACAGATAGAGGAACAGCGCTATCAGTTAGGGTTTTCATTTCACCACTCTCAACAGAACCACGACCACCCACTATAGCGGATAGACTCTCACTAGGGACAATAATTGATCTTTGTGATTCACTGGTATGCTGAGGTCCCTGAGATTTATCACTGACAGGAATACTGAAACCTGGCACAGTTGAGATAGATCTCTCAATACTTGATAGTTTATCTGGAAGTGCAACAGTTATTGAAGAATTAAATGGAAGTTCTGGAGAAGCTCCTTCATCAGCAAGAAAAGAAGTCTCCAAAGCTAAGTGATATGCCGCAAAAACTCCATACTGGACCACATGTTTCACTTTCTTCAACTCATCTCCATTGGCACCTCTAAGTAAAATCTGAAATGGAAAAGAGTGGTGGAGATAAGTATTAGGAAAGCTCTTCATCAGATTCACAGCAGACTACCATTTGCAAAAGCAAGTATTCAAATTACCACATTTATTCGCCAATACCACAGAAGTTACTACTTTTTAATTCGTTGTATCAATAATCAGAAGAATTAAGAACTCACTGTAAAACCCAATGGCTTTGGGCAGCCTTCAAAGTACATCAGTGTCTTCACCAACTTTTTGCCACTTTGCCCAGCTGTACCTAGTTCTTCCAAAAATCTTTGCACATGAAAGATCTCACAGTATCCCAACTTCGGAGATGAGAGATGATCGATTGAAGGAACTATTTGTGCACCTGCGCACCGCGCTATGCGCTCTAAAAGTGGCCTCTTAATGTTAAGTACAAGGGATATATCTTTAGCAAGAAGGTACTCCTGTGCAAATCGTGAAACTGATTTCTCTACCAGAAGAACATCAGGATTATGTGCATCTATCTTTGCCACTGCCATCTTCAGATGATCCATTTCCTGAATGAAGATATTAAAATCATGAGAAAGACAACTAAAAGGGTAGAGATTCGAACCTACACATAGAATTCGTTTATGACAGCTAGAACACAAAGAAAGTGGAAGGATGTAGGGGATAAGTGTCACAGATAGCAACCTGCTGCAATAGAGTATCAAAACTTGACAAGTGGTTAGAAACCCGCTGGTACTCAAGGGCCCCTCCAAGGATCAATAGTCGAGGTTTCTCAATTTTCGAAGTCATTCGCCGATGAGCAACATTTTTCTTACAAACGACCCCCTTGACCATAACGCTAGAAGAAAAACAATACGACAAATTAAGGAAATATAAGCATAACATGATTGTTAACAGCTCAGGAAAACACTTAATAAGTCCATACTCTCATCATAACATAATAAATAAGCCCAAGATTTCCACTATATAGGCAGGTATCGTTTATGGAATTCCTTCACAGAAAGCAGAAAAGTTCAACAGATAAGACTTGATTGAAATTCCTCCAAAGAAATGCTTGCAGTACGAAAAATTCTGGATAGATTTTCTGAGTAGTTGATATAAATAAATTCAGTTGGAAGCAGGACAAAATGGCTGCCATATTATTAGTTTTCCTTTCCATCTTCAGTGAAGAAGCCAATGAGGTGGAACTTTCATCTATAGGTGAAGAGATCTAATAATTATTTCTCCCATCATCACACTGTGTCTAACAACAGTTGTTCTAGATTTCCAAGACAAGATTCTCAGAACAATGCACCTTATTCAAGCAAACACTAGTTTTAGCAGGAAAGCTCCAACAAGTGAAACAAAAATGATATTCCAACCAATTGTACAACTTGTTTTTAGTAAATGATATCCCAACCAAAGCGAAGAGTTTATATACTAAATGGCACATGCATAAAAGCATACGTATGGACAACACACTTTTAATACAAGTAGTAATCACCTCTCACTGCGTCGACCAGAAGCGAGGCACTTCACTTTCACATATCCACCAGGGTCCATTCCTCCACCTGTGCTTGTATCTGGCTTTAGAAGGGTAGCAGCCTCCCATGATAATGAGGTAATGATCTCTAACCAACTCTCTTTGTCACCTTCATCGCCCAGCGGAACATTTTCCACTTGTAATAGCTGAGCAATTAAAGCTCTAAAGTGGCCATCAACAACATTCTTCATGGCCATCTTCTGATCCTCACTTGACCTATCTCTATTGCTGAACTCTCCACTTCCAAAACTGGCTGAGGGACGTAACCTTCCCCATTCTCCTGCCACGTCAACATCATCATCATCATCATCAAAAAACTCAGCTTCTCTTTCATCCTCTTCATCTTCTGGCTCAGGAGGCAGCCAAAGTAGTCCATTGTTCTCAAAATCCACAGGTTCTGCACTATCATCTTCCCCAGGATACATTGTAGAAGAAGCTTCACCATCATAATCAATATAATGCTCATCCCTTTCCCCAAGCCTGTGAATTCCTTCTAGATCATGGGACAAAAAACTATTATTTAAAGGAGAGGTACTTAAACTTTTTGATTCAATAGTTTCTCCGTCAAGATGAGCTTTCTGCAATTCATCATCATTGCTCGGATCATCAAACTGAGCCTGATGGTAGTAGCCATTGGCTTGAGGAAAGTTCTGAGATTCAGAATCAGATCGATAAATACTGTACTCATCGTCATCATCGTCACTCCTAATGCAGAAGGAACACTAAGCATAAGAATCCAGTACATTCTCTATTAAAATAATATCAATTTCAACTTCAATTTAAACTTCCATAGTTATGCTCCATCTATTGATGATAGATAAAGAGGCATTAAAGATGAACATAAAATAAGCAATTAAGAGAAAATGATGATGAACTTACCTGTTCATGTAAAAGTATCCATTTGAATGTTCATACGCTTCTTCTGTAACATGGTCATCACTCTTTCCTAATATTTCTTCCTCCACTTGCTTATCATCGAACTTGGTCACCGTTTGAGATGCCTGACATGGATCTGCATCCATGCTTCCTTGACCTTGTTGAAAAGGTCCAATAGAATATGGCACAGAACCAGGAGTATAACTACTACTGTTAGCTGTACCACTTGAGTTTGATCTAGACAAACTGGCAGCCGACATTGAACTGCTGGGTGCCTGGCTTGGAACATGTGATCCATAATCAAGAGTGGGATTTTGTTGCCATTGCTTGAAACAATAATTGCACACTCGTATCTTCTCCCACTCTTCTCTTGTAATAGTAGTTCTTGAACCACGGGATGATGGCAAGGGGATTGAGTTAGAAGTACACTTGGCACAGAAAACTCGGCCACAAAGCCTGCAATGGTGTCTGCGGTTGATTAATGTGAACTGAGAATCACACTCATAGCAAACCCTGCAGCTCTGATCGGGCATCCAAAAGTCCCTTGACACGGTTGGCGGCTCAGTCCGCCAAGGGACAAAGGATTTGAACAGCCCAACTATGTCAGCAAATGACTTATCAGGGGAATCCATCTACAAAATCTCACTCCCACATTCATCATGCTATACTCATCTGTTAACAAGACATCCACTGCAACAAGTTTTCACCAACTTGAACCAAAGAACTACCAATCAATCAGCAACCCAGAAACCAAAGCCACGCATAAGGTCTGGTTGCAGCTGCCACCCACTTATACACCTTCAGAAACCCCTCCTCCTCCTCCTCCTTCTAATTCCGCTTAACTCAACACTGTTACAGCTGAATGAATTGAAGAAAATAAGTAAATACAAGTCAAAAACCTCGAGATGGGCAACCAGGAACCATCTAAGTCCTAAGAAGATGCTTAATTTCTGAATTTGATCATGAACTAAAGCTAACAAAACCACAGCTGGAAACGTGAATGGTTCAAGTACATCAACCAAAAACAGTTAAGTGAACCGGTGGGCAGAGAGAAGTGAGAAGGGATTCATCCGGAATTGGAAGAGTAATAATGGTACAAGTTCATAGTAAGGAAGAGGAAACAAGGGAGGGAGAAAGAGAGAAACTTTACCGGGAGATAACACACAAGAGAAAAGAAGGAGGAGGTCCCAATCGAGATCTTTATTGGTGGGTAAGAGAAACAGGGAGACACGGCAGTGAATTGAATCCGTGACAAGGGAGGACAGGTAGGCGGGTTGTTTGGGGTTGATTAGATTGCGATTCCCTAAAATGACCCGATTTCACGAATCCGAGGGCTACAATCGGCGGCGGGCAACGGTGGTGATGGCGATGGTAATCACGGAAGAAAGTAGAGGGGCTGGAATTTTTCTGTTGTAGGGTTTGAATTCTATGTGAGCGGAGGAAGGAGAAAGACGACGACGAGGAAGAAGATGGGGAGAAAAATTGAATTGGAGACTAAAATTGGCAAAAACCAAACAGGCCGACAGAAGAATCAACAATTGTTATTTGATCCAAGCCAACTCAAACAAAAATAATAAAGAAAGAAAAACAATAAGAAGAAGTTATCGTCAATCATGACGATCATAGATGGCAAATTGGCAATGCCAACGGTCCATCAGCCACCGTCTTCTGATATCCACAACCACAAATATTCCCGGCGAGCCGACGACAGTAATCAATTATAATACCCAAAAAAAAAATACCGCGTAGATGATGATGGACACACCTGTGTGCTTGCTCAACAATTTTATTTTATTTTCCCTTTCGGAACGGAATGACGCTATAAAATGTGAGTTTTATATATCTAAAATGCTATAAGAAGTACAAAATATTGTAAAAAAAAAAAGCATGGAAATTTTCATTAAATATTTGAGGAGGATGTTTAAGAATTAGACCCTCAATATAAGAAATTTTCTTTAATCTCATCAACTATACTATTTTAATAAACCCTCAATATAATGGTGTTCACTTTTGATTTTCATTTACAAACTTCACTCAACAAGTTACAGTCATGATTGATTCTTACGGTGAAACCTATAAATTAATATAGTCGGAGCATGAAATTATTCAGTTAATTTTTGCACCATTAATAAGTAGGATCAAATAAGTGGTAATTAGCACAAAAGGTCACAAAACTATATACTTAGTACGAAACGGTCACAAACCTCTAATTTTGCACGTTTCAATAACAAATGTTTGGAAGAATAATAAAAAGGTAATTCCGTACATCTCCATCTAAAAAACCGTTACTTTTGCACAATCAGCATGCCACATCACTTAAAATATTAATAAAAAATCAATAATCAAACCAAATCAACCCAACCGATTACCGAGTCAACCCCTTCTCGCCTCCGTCTACCTCACCATCGACCCTACCTCTGCCAAAAACATCTCACTCTCCCAAATTTTCAGTCTGACGAACCTTCCCCTCGCATCCAAAGGAGATCCCCAAAAGTTGCAAGGTTTATTCCCAATCGACAACCAATTCCATTAAAACCCGACCAAATAACAACCACCCATCATTCCATCATGTCCAATCTGAACGCTTTCACCTTCATATTCATAATCTCCTCTCCACACTTTCAATGCCATTACCAAATCCTAAAGTGGCCATCAAATCGCCACAACTGCTAGATCTCCTAATCAGAGACTACCTGTACAATCCAACTTCATCAACATGGAGAAAACAAGGGAAATCCGCAATGTCAACCTCCCTGCTAATCTCTTCGGGCTCACGTGGCCAGGTTCTGGTGCGGCAGCCTGACAAGCTACGGCGCCCAGATCGACGAATTCCGCTTGGGATCGGTGTCTTCCTCTAATTCCAGCTACTCTTTTGAAGTCGAGATCCTTTCCAGCCAAGGAAACCCCATCGCCATCAATTTCACGAATGTTGTTTGATGTTCACGTTACCAATCCCCTGTGTGCGATATTTTAGGGAGATGGGAAGACAGTGAGCTTGAACCCCCAATTTCAACTTGAGTACGTAATTCGACATCCAACATGCATTTTGGGCTGGTCGTGAAGCTTTCGCCTTCGCGAAGTCTGGCACCTACGTCAGTAACGACGGGGGAAGGAGGAAGAGCGGCAGTGTGGAAACTGGCGGTGGCAAGTATCGTGGGGAGTGCGTTGGCGATTGTGATACTGGGTTTAGCCAACAACTTTTGGGAATTTCCATCTGATGCCAAGTCGTCAGACTGAAAATTTGGGAGAGTGAAGAGATGTTTTTTGGAGAGATAAGGTTGATGGTGGGGTAGACGACGATGATGAGCTGGTTGACTCGGCAACTGGTCGGGTTGAATCTGGGTTAAACTGGGTTTGGTCATTAATTATTTATTAATAGTTTAAAGTGATGTGGCATGCTGACTGGGTAAAATTAACGGTTTTTTGGATGGAAATTGACGGAATGAACTTTTTGTTATTCATCCAAACATTTGTTATTGAAACGTGCAAAATTAAAGAGTTGTGACCGTTTTGTACTAAGTGCATACGTATATGACCTTTTGTGCTAATTACCCATCAAATAAGTTATCCTGTGAACTTTAAATATTGGAAAGATAGAATGAATATTTATGACGTATTTCAAAGTAATTATGTATGAATTTGGACGATTAAGATGATAAAATGAACATTAAAAGTTAAATTTATCAACATATAAAAATTTATGTTCTTATTAAAATAAAATTAATATACCATGTATGAATATGATTTTTAAAAATAAAATTCACCAACAAATATACAATATATAGTAAAAATAAATGAGAATATGAAATTGAGATTTGTTATCGGAGCACAACCGATTTCTGATATCCGCCCCTGCAATTTTTATGTAGTATTTATAGTAATGAGTTAACCATATATTTGATAAATTACATTAAATGTAAGATCAATGAAATAGGGGTTCAAGTAACTTAAAACATAAATTTAGATCTCTAGAAATATAAAATCAAATATTTATCTTGGACACTTGAACTAATGAATGCATGAACACATAGTTTTCATAACTATTAATTTATAAATTAAAATATATGTATTTATATAGGTTGGTTCTCAAAAATTATTATCCTGCTATTTCATTAGATTTGCTCATTTTTTACATTGACCCAAGTTAGGACTGAAGAAATTATTAATTTATACTAAATTACTAATTTATCGCGTACTAATTTATAAAAGTCTACTGCATTTGGTAAATATGCTTTAGTTAATTTACATGCTAAGTATGTTGAAAATTTAGTTTTATCTGTCAATTCAACTATTAATTTTCAAATTTACCTTTTTTAAGAAGACATTTACTTTCTTTGTAAGTACTATGATTAGTGATTGCAATGGGCAGGGCGGGGCGGATACCTCAATACACATGTCATGTCCCACGCTACTGTGGGTTGGGGCGGGTAATACCCATACATGTACAGAGCGGAATGGGTCGAACCACCCTTACATGTTATTTGAAAAAAATATGCAAAATTTACTTTTTACGATAAAACGAATGAGATAACACTTTACGAATAAAAAATAGTGGTAAGAAAAGGGTAAATACAATTGAATATCCAAATCTTTTATTTTAAACAATATAATAGCCAAATCTTTTCGAAAACAATCTAATATCCAAATCGTCAACTTTCTGTCTGTTTGACCGTTAGTTGACACTTCGAAAAAGTTCGAAGTACGACACTTCATCAATATCCATCGATATCTTCTCTGCAAAACCACCAACATATCGTAGTTCCAAACCCGAGAAGTCCATGACTCCACCATGATGGTATTAAATATCTAAATATTCAGTCATCTGCAATGCCAAAACAAAAAACAAAGTTGTATTGTGACAATTTCCCCTAAACAAAGCTTTTTTGAAGTGTCAACTAACGGTCAAACGAACGGAAAGTTGACGATTTGGATATTATATTGTTTTCGAAAAGGTTTGGCTATTATATTGTTTAAAATGAAAGGTTTGGATCTTAAATTGTATTTACCCGTAAGAAAATGGGTAATTGAATTTAACTAGTTGAAAGATCAAGTCTAATTAGTTGAAAAAAGGTAAAAAAAACATGAATACTGTAAGAAATTAAGATAAAATAGATAAAAAAACGGGGCAGGATGAGACAGAATGGGTCGGAAGTAGATACTCATGTATCGCCCACGCTAGTGCGGGTTGAGTAATACCTGCTCCATCATGAATCAGGTTGGATAATTCCCAACAAGGCACCTTCAAATTCTCATCCTAACTAAGATGCATATATATCGCTTGACACTTAATGCACAATAGATTGATTAACAACGCCATATTGAGAAGCAATACATGTAAATTTCTCACGTTTCTTGGCGTTAGCCTCCTTTTACGCAAAAAAAAAAATGTAAATTTCTCACGTATTTGGCAATAAACCTTTTGTCGTTTGCTTATTAACCTTTTTGTAGCCGTCAATTAATGATGTGTGTTAAATGTTAATTATGCTGCAGCAGTAATTATGCTTTCCATACCAAACGAAAAAAAAAAGTCAATTCGTAATAATATAACGAGTAACTAAAGAGTTAAGTTAAACACACGAATACACGATTCCAACATTAACTTTGACGCAATTAATTAATACTGCGTACCATTTTGTGTAGGGTTACATTAAGTGGATGGAGTGGACTGCTACTTGTATTCTGCTTATTTTGGACCCTTAGGCTCAGCTACTTAAAAAAGCTGGATATGCATAATGCATGAAAGAAAGAGTCTAAAACAAAAAATAACAAACGCGCTTTCTCTGCTGTTGTTGTCGTTGGATTCAACGGGTTTAGTTTAGTTTCGCCGTTTCGGGGGAGTTTGCCAATTTGACATTAGCTGTCTCCAGTCCGTGCGTTAGCCTTAGCCACCCCGCAAAATGTCTTTCCCATTTGTTGCTGTTGGGACTTGGGATCGTTCCAGTTTCGGTTTTGGGCTTCATGGGCCGATAGTGTTTCTTGAACTTGCAGGCCCATTAGTTTTTTTTTTTAGAACAACCCCATTAGTTTCTTATCACTCATAGTTTATGAGTATTTTGTTTTGGCCCACACCCCAACTTGTTTTTAGAGTCACTAGCAATATCTATGGACAAGACCATAACAAGTGATTGTCATTCAAGTACCGATATGTTCGGAGAATATTTTTGGTGTAGAAAGTCTCCGAAGTTACAATTGGATTTATTTATTTATTAACAAGAATTGATTCAATACATTTTTTATGTACCCATAGGTGCTAAATTGGATTTCAATCAAATTTTGGATCAATCTATATTGATTGACTGCCTCCTTTCACATCCATAGAGATAGGAGACATAATTCACATTAGGGATGGCAATTTTGACCTGACCCGTTTTACCCGACCTGTTTGACCTGTTTTGGGGCGGGTCCGACCCGCCCCGTAGGCGGGGCGGGGCGGGCATGGGTACTCTCATCGACCCGACCTGTCCTGACCCGCCCCATTCTCGATCCGTTCTTGCCTAAATTACACGTAATTTTAGTCAAATTACTTAGGATTTCTCTTTTATTACATCAAATCTTAGCTATAATAAAGACGTAAATTAGTGAAAACCTCAATTTATCCAATAATTTAACTATATTTCTCATAATATTGTTTGTTTCCTTGGTCTTATAATAAAAACAATGAATATTTTTAATATTTTTCATATAAATTGCATACCCATTGGGTCGACCTGCCCCGACCCGTGCCCCGTGATAAATTACCCGACCTGGACCCGACCTGTCACGGGGCGGGTCTGGGTACCAAGAAACCCGCCTCGGACCTGCCCCATTGCCATTCCTAATTCACATGGACGTAATAAGTCTCATTTGAGCTGCTTTAATGATAATCGCTACATTTTCGCTTTCACGTGTAGCGTGGGCAAGAAATGGACTTTAAAGATGGAGCTTCAACAACAGCTAAATCAGAGGAAAGTTATGAGCATTAGTAATCAATTTTGAAATACTTAAGGGATAACAAAAAGGTCCATTGCTATCGTGTTAGAGTTAGAAAATTTGAATATGATCTTGTTACTGATTGTCTTTTTTTTAAGCTGATGCACAACATCACAACCTCAAAATATTATACTTCGGGGGTACTAAGATTCCTAAAATGTTATATAAAATCCACTTACATATCTCAGGGTCATGCTCAGAAACAAAAGGAGAAGGAATAGAGAAGCCCATATGAGCCAAACATTCGGCTAAAAGTTCCCCTCTCTAATAACATGAGATAAGCTAACTTCCAACTCCATTGAGAGCAGCTTGCGAAACTGGAGCACTAAGATCGTACACTGACGAGACGGGTCACCCATCGCTTACAGAATGTATAATATCTCTATCGAATCCATTTACTGGGCTACCCCCATTGTCCAAGCTGTCTGACCAACTGAAAACTCTCAATGACCCTTTGAGTTTCGCATGAGTGATGGAACAACTTTCCATAATGATGGTGTAAGCCCCCAATAAGCAACCCTGCCAAACTCACACTGCTCCCCGACTGCTGCTTGTTGGGATGGTGGAACGAAGGAACCATCGAAATTATTTTTGATCCAACCATGTGGTGTCGGTCTCTACCCCACGTATCGACATCACACCATGGTCCCCGATTCCAACATTCTCACGGTGGTGATAATGTCAATTTAGATTTTGCTCCAAGCTAGGATCCTTTGGCTTGTCTTATTGGAGACCTCTACTTTTCACAAGGACATCATCCTGTGGTCTCTAGAAAAAATAACAGGCTACCCTAAAGTTAACTTGCAAGGATGGTTCAAATATATGATGGGTGAACCAATCAAAAAATATATATGGAAGAAGTTGTGCTCGTCGAGTCTATGAAAGATGCCTCGCCACCCCTCCTAGGAAAAAGGACAAAGGCAAAGGTAGTGATCCAAGAAACGGTCACCCCGTAGCAACGACAGTCGTTACTTGTGGTAAGCTTCCATCTACTTTTCTTCACATTGGAAAGAAAGCACTCTTGGTCTATCAAATAACTGGTGGATTCTACTTGGTCCTGGCCATCTCTAAATGCACCCCCCATGTCTCCGGTTGAGTGCCTCGTCCAGCGACGCTGCAAAGGAGTATGTGAATGGGATTGTAAACTTTCCATTGGTCTCAATCCTATATATATATATATACTAGGTGGCGATACCGCGCCTTGTCGCGGGCGGAGATGGTATATAGGCATGCATGTATTATGTGATCCGTTATGGTGTTTGTTTGTATTATTAGTCTAAAATTAATTTTTTGTTAGCAGTTTTGTTAGTAATATTGACTTCACAATATGATATTAACTGAGAAGAGATATATGGCGGTCAACATTAAATTTTTTTTAATTTTTGGCTAATAAATGATATTTACCTAAACCCAAGTAGACCCATTGATTATGGGTATGGTATGGGTGACGTATATATGAGTTTGAAAGTTTGTAGATGAGTTTGGGTAGGATATGATTATGTACTTACATAAACATAACCTAAATGTGTATGAGTTGGGTATGGATACCCATTTATTCGAGGGTGTTTTAATTACACATACAAAAATTAGACATATTTGTAGAACTTCAAAAGTTTAGGCACCAAAATGTCATACACAAAAATTGTAGATACTAAAATGTATTGTTCAATCAATATTTGGGGACTTATGTGCCAACAAAAAAAAATTTAGGTTATAAATCTAAAGATCTATTAAGTTTAGGTACCGAACTGTAATTTGTATATTTGAGGCTTAATTCCTTTATGGTGGTGTATTTAAGATGATAATTATTTATCTTTTTAATAGAAAAATGGAAACTATTATTTGATAAATGTAGATACCTAGCCAAACATTCCATATATAATTGTAGAAAATTCCAGCTCGAGTGAAAAAAAAAATTTAGGGAGAAGCAAAATGAATACAATTGAGTGATACAACATCTTGTATGGTACAAACTAAATTGATATTCTTTGTTATGGTAGATTGGATTTATGGATTGATTCAAAAGGATTGGCGGATGATTCATGGATTCAAGTGAAATCTAAACATTAAACCAATATGCAAATTTAAAAAAATTGTAGTTACGAAAATCTCATAAAATTTATATAACATAATTGTTCAATACTTTTACATTAAAATTAAATTTGGGTATCAAAATGTAAATGATAACTAAGTTGTAATTAATTAAATTTGGGTATGAAAATGTAAAAATGATAGTTGCCCAATTAGCTTGCGAGATTAGACAACAGTAACTCAACTTGATCTTTATATATATTAATATATTGTCATCGTCAAAATCTTTCGATGGTGGAGTCATCCCTATTACCTGCAAGTACAAATAATAACGAGAGATAAGCTCCATATCCCACTCGATCACTTGTGTCAAGAATGAAAGTCACCATGGCTGTGAACGGTTATTTGCCGCCAAACAAATTGCTATTTGCCGCCAACTAAAAAAAAAAATTTTGAATTCAAATTTTGAATTTTCCCTCCCTTTCCTTCCTTTCATTCTATAAATTCGGATATCAGGAACATTTGACTCATTCTAACAAAAACTTCTGTTGACGAGCCCAGTGCCTCCATTTCCGGCACCGTTCTTCCGTCGTCGGCTAACCTCCCGTCGCCCTCAATCGTCGGAAAACAAGTAAGTTGACTTATTCAGGTCAGTTTCCGGCCAGTTTTTCAGTTTTCCGGTGAAAAACACGGTGGGCCGAAAAAAATTGCGGCCGGAGCGACGTCGGGCCGAAAAAAATTTGCGGCCGGTACGACGGCCGGCCGAAAAATTCTTTCGGCCCGGTGACGCCTCAGCCGCAAATTTTTTCGGAAAAATTTTCCGGCGGCGTGTTCGTCGGCCGGCCGAAAAAAATTTGCGGCCGGAGCGTCGCCGGGCCGAAAGAATTTTTCGGCCGGACGGCGCACCGGCCGCAAATGTTTTTCGGACCGGCGGCGCACAGGCCGCAAATTTTTTTCGACCCGACGTCGCTCCGGCCGCAAATTTTTTTTCAGCCGGCCGACGCACCGGCCGCAAAATTCTTTCGGCCCGGCCAGTTTTTCTATTTAATTTAATATGATAATTAATTAGCAATTAGTGTTAATATTTATTTAAGTTGGTGTATAAATGTTTTTTTTTGTAATAGGCGTTTGAAAGTTTAATTACTTAGATTAGTTAATGGAATTTTAATTAATTAAAAATTGATTTAATAATTAATGTTAATATTTAGTACATTAGTTAATAGAAAATTAATTAATTTCTGATTAATTAACAATTGATGTTAATAGTACATTAGTTGATAGAAATTTAATTAATTTGTGATTAATTAACAATTAATGTTAATAGTACATTAGTTAATAGAAAATTAATTAATTAGTGCGCATCTAAGTATGATATTGTTTAAATTTGTAGATAATTAGATATGGATGATGCGGGTGATGCGGGTGGGAATGAGTTGAATAGATTCAATGGTAGGGTTGTTGATGTATCAGCACGAAGGAAGAATAAGGAGAATAAGCGCTCTCGAGATATTGGACATCAGTCACAGGCAAATTTAGGGGAGGATGAGTTAGAGGCTCCTACTGTAGTTGCTTGTTCGGCATCACGGGCGTCTGGTTCCCATGGGAGGAACCGGGGTGCTGCATCGAGAGTGGTCTCGGCTGATTTTGATGAGGACGATAATGATGAGGATATCGAGGTCCCTCCACCTACGCGTGGACATGGACGAGGGCTGTCTTGTACGGCAACATCACGTCCTGCTATGTATAGGGACCGAGCTAGGCGATTCGTACCACCTGCTCGTCAGGAGACAGAGAGCTCGGGGACTGGACGGAGAAGGGGAGGACGTTCGAGTGGTCCTCCACCGTGGGAGCTTGTTGGTGAGTGTCCTGGTGGACCTACGGATCCTAGCCTCATTAGGAGCTTTCGTGGCCACGTTGCCTATGCGCTTTGGACGGGGGCTGGAGATCAAGGAGTCATCAGTTGCTACAGCCGTACATCGGCAGTTTCTTATCTGAGTAGCTACGTGTTTAGTCATGTTGAGGCGGAGGATCTGGTGGCGCAGTCAGGTCTCCAGCACCTGATCTACTCTATGTTCCGCAAGATAGCGATTGACGAGGCTTTGATCTCAGCTTTTGTGGAGAGGTGGCAGTCAGACACGAACACCTTCCACTTGCCTTTTGGAGAGATGACGATCCTCCTCCACGATGTTCAGTACTTACTGCAGATTCCTGTTGAGGGACGACTGATGAGTAGGAGTTCTGCGCAGCTTGACCATCCGGAGGCGGGTTTGTGTGCGCTTCTTGGGATGAACTCGGAGCAGTTGAGTGGTCGTTCGGAGGTCCCTGGATATAATAATAGGGGTAAGTGGTACGAGAAGGGTGGTTTTCTTGCAGAGATGGCGTCCAGATACTTGCAGAGCCACGGGACACATGTGACAGAGGCGCAGTCGTACTTGTTGTTGCTGTTGGGGTCCACTTTGTTTGTGGACAAGAGTAGAGACAGGGTTCGGTCGGTGGTGAACCTATTTTTGGACGAGTTGGAGGAGTTAGATCAGTATAGTTGGGCGTCAGGTACACTTGCTTGGTTGTACAGATACCTTGGTCAGGCGTCTCGTGCTGGTGCCAGGGGGATGGCTGGTTGTCTCACACTTCTGCAGTGCTGGATCTACGAGTACTTTCCGGGTTTCAGGCCATCTCACTTCGAGCCTGCCGCTGTTGGACCTGATGATGCTTGGGCTTCACGATGGGTTGGGCAGCCGACACCTGGTTCTGATGTTGGACCACTTCCAGAAACTGATGTTCCATGTGGTTGTGGTTCTTCGCAAAACAAGTGTCGATCGCTCATCTACCAGACACAAGGAAAGTCTTGAATGAATAGTGAGATGACTCAACTCTATTCGAGCTCGTGTTACCAAGATGAAACACATGGTTCGTGTAGCACTTTGCCCACATTGTCTGATGAGGCAACCACTCACCTCGCACGTAGTCGAACATTTTTATGTTCTTCACTGTCCAGACCCTCTCAAACTCATTAATCTTTTGAAGAAAACCCTCCTGAGTCCAACTCCATGCAGCTTTGTCGAAATATTTCTTCCATACCGCTTGTGCTACCTCTCTTTTTGCAATTCCACCCAATAACACTTCAAACTTTTGCTTCACACAGTTGTTGACGTGCCATAAACATAGTAGGTGGACAGTATGTGGGAGAGGGAAGACCACAGGAATAGAAGCAAGCAAACCACCTTCTTTGTCTGTCACAATGACATTCAGAACCCTATCACCGAGCAACCCTTTAATACATCGCAGCAGCCACTCATATGTTTCCTTTGTTTCCTGCTTAATAATTGCACATGCAATGTTGAAATTCTTCTTGACTGGAGTAACCCCAATAATCTCAACCCATGGCCAGCCGTACCTGTTGGTCTTGTAGGTCGAGTCAATGAGGATGACGTACGGCCATGCATGCAACATCTGAATGGACGTCGGGTGCGCAAAAAACAGATTAGTGAGCACATTATTAGAGTCATTTTGCAAACAGATATGGTACCCACGATGTTCAGTTCCGTGAAGCGCAAACTGTATCACATCCATTTCACCCATCTCATCCAATCTTGTCTTGGAATTTATGTTGTAAATCTGTTTGATATCATGATGCACACCCCCCTTCAGTATTGAGTGTCGTCTTCTGCTGATTTGGTCTCACCCCCGCCTTCCTCATTATTCTTAACCTCTCTTTTTCAGCCTCACTAAACTGTTTGTTGTGTCGGTGATGTTCTGGATACAACACCTTTTCATGGTTGTGAAACCCTCTATTGGCTCCGGTTTCACGACTTGTCACTCCCACTATGACCCATGTGTTTGGACCATCCTTTTGCCATACTTCCTTTATACATATCTGAAACTGGCAACTAGTACCCTTCGAACTAATATTCCCACGCGTCTCCTTCGTAGGGTCTGGTTTATAAGACTTAACGATCCTACTACTTCTGTCGCAATACATACAGAGGGCAGTAACAGGATGTAGTCCAGCAGTATTCGGTTTCCATGCTCCTCTAACAATAAAGAACCCACACTCCTGAGCGATTGTTCTTGCAGCTAACTCAGCTAACTTCACACTTGCATAATGGATCCCATTCTCAAATTCCTGTGTGTAATCATGATCGGCCGGTAACAACTCTGACATTTTTCCTACAATTACAATATAATACATAAATATTCCTGTGAACCTAAACGCTAATTTCAAGTCTTAACCGCTAAATTCAACTCCTAAACTCTAAATTCAATTCTTACACGCTAAATTCAACTCTTAAACGCTAAATTCAACTCCTAAACTCTAAATTCAACTCCTAAAATCAAATTTTTCCGAAAAATTCCAAAAACAGACGGTGGGCCGAAAAATTCCGGCGGCCGGAACCTGGTCGGGCCGAAAAATTCCGGTGGCTGGAACCTGGCCGGGCCAAAAATTCCGGCTGCCGGAGCCAGGCTGAGCCGAAAATATCTTGTGGCTAAGCCTGGTTCCGGCCGCCGGAATTTTTCGGCCCGGCCAGGTTCCGGCCACCGGAATTTTTCGGCCCGGCCGCCGGAATTTTTTCGGCCTACAGTCTGTTCGTTTCAAATCGTCGGAAAAATTGTTCGAAACTACAAAAAAATTACGCACCTGCTTAGTGATGATTCATTGATGCGTGTACGCAGTATATGTCGAGGATAGGCTTTCCCGATGATTTTCCGGCGAGCGTTGAATTTTTCTGATTCAATACGTTTTCTAAAAGTTGGATATGTTGTAGATTGTGAAACTCCTTAACCAAAGATGTATATATATACTTTTTTTTTTGGTTGGCGGCAAATAGCAATTTGGTTGGCGGCAAATAGCAAGCCCCTGATGGTCCATTGGATCCCTCTAACATAGATTGCCACACTCAACGGATGCCCCTCCAAAGAACTGAAGAACTCGTTTTCTTGCGCAGGGTAACAGTGTTCCCCTCTTTGTGAGATAATTCTCCTCTAGCACCTTTATCTATCTCGGTTCTTAGGGACTCCCCACGCTAGCTTCATAATGTAAGTGATATTCACATCTCATATCATTCATAGCTCCAGCTAGGGCTGTCAATTTGGTTTGGTTTGGTTAACCAAACCATTAAGTATGAAAAACCAAAAATCAAAAATCAAATCCCAAAAACTAAAATCAAAACCATTAAGGTTCTTATTGGTTTTTGGCAACCAAAAACCAATAAGGGTCTTAATGGTTTTGGTTTGGATAACCAAAAAACCAACATGTACTCATACACTCATATTTATTCCTATTTCTCTCCTTTTTATTGAATAAACGTCATAATAATGGTAAATGACCATTACAAATTATTGGTTACCATGCATGTCAAAAGAAACAAAAAATATATTTGTTGATAAATAATTTTATTCTTATTGGTTTCTTAATGGTTTCTATTGGTTTTTCGGTTTTAACCAAACCAAAACCATTAAATTGCTTATTGGTTTAAAACCAAAAAAATGAAATCATGAGCTTTCCAATTGGTTTGGTTTTGGTTAAAACCAAAAAACCAAAACCAAATGGACAGCCCTAGCTCCAGCTCTTTCCAAGAACCATTGCATGGTGGTATCGACCCGTTTGATCACGAAAAACAAGTCCAATTACCGATTGCTTCGATCTTAGATTTTATTATTGGGAGACACTTTGATAGTACACAATCTGGAATGAAAACAATTTTAATACTTCAAATGATATTTCAAAGAAAGAGAAGATTATACATTAGTATCCAAGACACTATGTCAAGTGGAAAGAAGATTATAACAATTGAACTTGACAAACTTAAGTACCTTGAGATATCTTTGATTTGATTATAGGGTAATGTCTATTTATTAACCAAATATTTTTTCAAATTATTTTTTTAATCCAAACCTATTAAAATACTAATAATTAGCCAAATCTTTACAATTTTGGCATTCTTTCGTTAGCGTTCACATTACTATTGACGGAACCCACATCAACATTTATATTTTATATTGGTGTCCACGTCAGATTTCATTAAAATAATTTTTTTATTTTAAGTAATAACAAAAAAGAAAAATCTCACATTATCTACTCCCTCTCTCTCCTCACTAGGGATGGCAACAAAACCCGAACCCACGGGTAACGACCCGACCCAACCCGGTCAACGCGGGTAAAATCCGTGTTGACGGGTTTTGGGCCGGGTTTGGGTTTAAACCCGTTCACTATTCACCGGGTTGGGTTGGGTTTGGGTTTAGGTAAACCCGACCCATGGGTACCCGCTCACACCCATATAGTTAATTTTCTCGGTATATTTAATATTCTAAACAATAATCTTATTTATGTTTGTGGAGACATGTCTAATTTTTTCTTTCAAATTGTGTAGAATGAAGTTGATGTTATCGAGTGGAGAGTGAGAAACTTAATTGAAAGGAAGAAGCTTTCAATTAATCATGTTATTTATGGATAATTTGTGAATTGTTTCAATTTTCTTGAGTTTTCTAGATTGGTGTTGAACAATTTGTATAATTGTATAGTTAATTTGTGATTTGCTTGAATTTTCTAGAATGGTGTTTTATATATGGATAATTTGTATTGAGAGATTGATATTTGACTTTAATTTTGATAGGAACTTGTTATTGTAAAATTTTTACGACAAAAACCCGTGGGTACCCATGAACCCACGGATACCCAGCGGGTTGGGTTGGATTTGAGTTTTTCAAACCCAGTGGGTTTTACCCCGGATTTTTTTCACGAATAAACCCATGAGTTTAGCAAAACCCGACCCAACCCGACCCATTGCCATCCCTACTCCTCACTACAACCCCACACACACCCTCTCCATAAATCTCACATTATCGGGTATGGCGATACAGGACATAGCAGGATGTCGACGTAACTCCCCGCTCCACAGTCGGTCCCTTTCCACTACCGCTGAACATCGGAGAACAAATTCCCCCTCCCGCCATCGACGACGACAATCTTCAGGATGTCTACATAATTCTCAATTCTGATTCCCCACCGACAGAGATTTGGGTTCTTGATTGAACGAATCCTGCCATTAATTTTGCCATCCCCGAGAAATCCCCCTTGACATCGGTGTCGATTAAGCCAATGTGAGGGTGGGAATTGACGCCGAAGAGGGAGAATGTGGATTACTATTCTTTGAACTTGATGTCGCAGAGGCAGAGCTTGTTTTTGTCGGGATTGTTGGTGATGAAGGAAGAGGCAAGGAGAGAGACCTCGAGGTGGAGGTCTTGGAGGCGGAGCTCGGACTTGTCGTGAAGCTGTTGGGCGTCGAAGAAGAAGAGGAGGGAGTAAGGGCGAGGGGCTTTTGTGGAGGACAGGTTAGGAAACGGGAGATGGAATGGTTGTCGAGCTGGATAACGCTAGATTTGGACTGGGGAGAGAAGGTTGGCAACTAAGGGTGGGCAATCGGTTTGGTAAACCCGAACCAAAACTGAATTAAACTGAACCGAAACTGAAATAATGTTGTTCGGTTCGAAATTCGGAAGGGTTCTTTCAACCGAACCGATTTTCTCTTATCCTTTTGGCACACATCTCTTCGATGTTTGCGACCCAGGACTTAGGCACTGGCTGTTTCATGATGTTGTGGGTGTGCCCCAAGATCGAACTATCTCCTTAATGAATTAGGCGCTTTTGCGTCGATCTTTCTAAAAAAAAAGACTTAAAATTCAGTTTTTTATGAAAAACCGAACCGAATTATAATTTGGTTTAAACCAACAGAACTAAATTATAATTCGGTTTGAGGTTTATGAGAATTCGGGGACCCGATATTCATAATTTCAGTTTGGTCGAAACCGAACCGACCGAATGCCCACCCCTATTGGCAACAAGGTGGGAGTCGGCGGCGACGATTGTAAGGAGGGGGAAAAAAAAAGGGAAGATGGGAGCTTGAGGAGATCGAACAAAAATAATAAAACGGTACCACGTCAGAAAAAATGTCACCTCAGAGATCAATATGCCACCTCAACATCGACTAACGGAAATTCGGATGAAAACTTAACAGTTAACTAATATTTCGTATTTCAATAGGTTTGGATAAAATAAAAAAATCTGAAAAAAGTTTCGGTAATAAATAGACATTATTCTTAATTATAAGTTTATATATAAAACTTTGGAAATAAAAAAGAGAAATGTCAAGGGATGATAATTGATATGAGACACATAGACCAGTACAAATACTCGTCTGGTGTTGGGCATGAATAAGAGTGAGTAATTTGGTTTGCAGTATAAGTTGGAGATCATATGAGCTCAAGTCATTAAAGTACTTGATGAAAAAAATAAGAATTTAATTTTTGCACGAAATATCAAAGAAAATAAAATACATTGTGAGTGAAAACATCATCGTTAATCAAATTATTCAAGAGATAAATTCAAAGGCCTCAAAACTGAGTATCATGTTTGTTTTTCGAGATGGTTTAAGTATGAGAAAATTTTCAGAGTGTATATAACAGAAAAACGGTTTATACTCTCTCAAAAGTCAAAACAAAGATTTATGTTTCGATAATTCCATTGAGTTTTTGTCCCGGAGAAAAATCAAAACAAGGACAATAAACCGAAATAAACAAATCAAATTGAAAGCTGAAATTGGTAGGTCATATGTTTCAGTATAAGCACACCAAATTAAAAGGGAATTACCAACAGTATTACTACCATCAATTCAATTCTTACAGCCACTAATCCCGTGGAGGAAGAAGCAGTAAAAATGAAGGAGCAAACTACGCGCGCTATGTGGTGGAGATCGCCGTCTTTCATCCTCGACAATCGGCAGCAGCAGCAGCCATACGACACCGCACGAGGCGACGCCCTCTCCATCCCGCTCTCGTCTCCGCTACCTCCCTCCACCACCATGGCGGATCCTAACCCTAATCCAAATCCCAACCCCCTCACCGACAAAATCTCCGCTTACTACCAGACCCGCGCCGCCCACCACGGCGTCGTCTCCAGCGACTGGCTCGCCCAGGCTCAGGCCGCCGTCGGCCACCTCCCCGAAGGCGACGACGATGCCAATACTACCGACCAGGGAGCTTCTTCGGGCAAGCCGTTCAGCGTCATCGACGAGTTCAACAATTGGCGGAAACAGCCCGACTTGGCCGAGGCCGTCGCTGCTATCAGGGCTCTTGCCGCCGTCATTCGGAATAGCCAGGCCACGACCATGATGGAGCTCGAGATTGAGCTCAAGAAGGCCTCTGACTCCCTCAAGGTCCTTCCGTTTTCTTGAGCGATTCTCTCCAGTATCATCTTTGTCAGAATCAGCTTGGCGCTCTGCATTTCTTGGGGCTAGGATGAGAAAATAGTCGAGAACCATACTAGTTTATGCTCAGCAACGCTTAATTGACACCCTAGTTTTGCTTAGCATACACTTCTTGATATGCCATTGTTAAATTTTGAAAAAGCTGATAAATGGGGATGGCTGGTTCTTGAATCCATGGGTTCCCATTCAATGCTGCTGTCATCTCAACGTGGATGGTTTGAATCACTATGTGATTGCCTTTGTTCCTCGAGTGATTATATAATATGTTAGATGAAGTGGTGATTCTTAATTTGGTTGTTGATGGAGGTGAAATAGTTGAACCAAATGTGTCTTGATCCTCGAAAGTCGAAATCTTGTTTGGCAATGTTTTAAGTTCTCTATATCCGTGATTGTTCTTACTTGCACTTCAAAATTCCTGAAGTTTTAGTTCCTCGTGCCTCTGATTACATGCTTCCTTGCTTCTGTGATTTAATCTTATTACATGCCTCTGATCAAATGTTGCCTTGTTATTGTACCATATGATTGGAAATGGATCATATCGATATCAAGCTGTCACTAACCAAGCTTACTACTGAAATAAACTAATATACATGAGTGGCTGCCTCTTTTATCATGATCACTAACTAAACATTGGGTGTCTAGTCCTGGGACACGACATCAATATCTTTAACTGCAGGATGTGATCTGTTCATGCGATATGTAACCAGAACTTCAGCCTTGGAGTATGAGGATTTCAATTCGGCTAAGACCCGCTTGATTGAACGAGCTGAGAAGTTTGGCGAGATATCGTACAAGGTGGCCATTCTAGCTCCAAGACGCAATCCATTAGTTTATTTTTGAGTATTTTGAACTTTGAATTGGAATTCACAGTAGAATGACTGGTTGATTTGTCTGCAGGCACGTAAGATCATTGCGATGCTTAGCCAAGATTTCATCTTTGATGGTTGTACAATATTGGTTCATGGCTTCTCGAGAGTTGTGTTGGAAGTTCTGAAGACTGCAGCTCAAAGTAAAAAACTATTTCGAGTTTTCTGCACAGGTATGCTTGAAAGTTGAAACTCACTGTTGCACGCTCTCAGAGATTGCCCTGTGTGTTAAATTTTAAGAAGCTCATACCTAGCGCCTGACTCTCTCATAGGCTCATATCTTTGATCATTTGACTACCTCTTTTGATGATGTAATTTCATGTCCTGAACTCTGCATTAGAGATATTAACTAGCATATTTTCCTTCTCTTGCAATGGATGTTATCACTCTGTCATTCAGCAATTCAACTTTGACTGTCTCTACTTTCTTCTTCTTGTCATCGACTGTCATCCCTATATGTATTAAACTGTAGAGGGAAGGCCAGACAGAACTGGATTAAGGTTGTCTAATGAGCTAGCCAAGCTTGATGTCCCAGTGAAGCTCCTTATAGACTCCGCTGTTGCCTACTCCATGGACGAGGTGGACATGGTATTTGTGGGAGCCGATGGAGTGGTGGAAAGTGGAGGTATAATCAACATGATGGGGACGTATCAGATTGCCCTCGTGGCACACAGCATGAACAAACCTGTTTACGTGGCAGCTGAAAGCTACAAGGTAATTTCTTGTTATTCCCCTGCATACTTTAACTTGCTTATTGGGAATTATTGAAACACATTTGTCTTTTGCTTGTGATAGTTATGCTCTTTAATCTTTATGTTATGTTGGGTTTGCAGTTTGCTCGTCTGTACCCACTAGACCAGAAGGACATGGGTCCTGCCTTACGCCCCATAGAGTTTGGAGTGCCGATCCCATCGAAGGTAGAGGTTGAAACATCTGCTCGGGATTATACGCCACCTCAGTATCTTACTCTGTTGTTCACTGATCTCGGTGTACTAACGCCATCGGTAGTCAGTGACGAACTGATTCAGCTCTACTTATAATAAGTGGTTGATGATTTTGGTTTTGTTCTGTTTGTGACGAAGAGTGTTGAGAAAGTGCTGCTTGCTCTGGATTCTTACAGTTACTGATAAAAGTGATGAACAGGTTGGGCAACTGCAGTTGGAACTTGGAGGGAAGTAGTTGTTTCACCTTCTAAATTCGTTGACGGCGTGTATGGGAAGGAAATTTTGTGATTCATGAACTGGCTGGTGAATTGTGATTGGAAGAAGCGTGGAATGATTCTTATTTTTATCTGGTCTTTCAATGGGGTTATGTAGGTTGATGAGATTGGTTCAAAATGTATGTAGGGTTAAGGCATGTCCAATGAGCTGGACAGGCTCGATGTCCCATTGAACTGCTTGTAGTTGTAGACTCTGCTGTTTAAACATCAGATGAGTAATGGATCTTCGCATCCAAGATCAGCAGCAGACAAGGTTGATGTTTAAAGGAATAAGAGGGGTTAAGGAAGAGAGTGGCTGGCAGACAAGCGATCGAGAAAGACTGTAGGAGAGGGAAGGAACGTGATAGAGGGAGAATTAGGAAAAAAGATTAGGCAATAGTAAGCTGCTCGTACCGACTAACATAATAATACAAAATTTTAGCCAGCTCTACTAATCCTACCAACAATACTATTTTTCTCTCACTACCAGTCATTTCTAGTTAAATAAAAATTTGCGATGACAAAATAATTGATTCAACCGACCGAATTCGATTTCATTTTATTGAGGATAACCTAACCGATATGATTATAGGGTGTGTTTTGTACAATATTCTTTCTAAGAAATTTATTTAAAAAATAATGAGGATATGGTACAAAACCCTATCTACTGAAATCTATAAAATCAAGATTTATAGTTTTTCATCAGTTTGCCATCTAATACCTCAATATTAATAAGAGACAATGAGCATCAGCCTAGTAATTTCTGTATCATTTTCAAAATTTTCATACCGGTTTATACTGTCATGTCGGTTTAGTAATTAAGTGGTATGCTTCCACCAGGGTTCAACCGGTATACATTGATTTATGATGGTTTTAACAAAACATATAGGAATAGTGGGAAATTAGTAACATAATGCATATATATATACAATATCTCAATATAATCCTCCCAATTTATATCCATATTTAAATAAAATAAAAAATTGACAAATCATCATATCTAAATTTAATATTAACGTCAACATCAAAACATTTATATTCGAATCCAACAAATAACATCAACATTCATATTTAAATAAAATAAAACTTACATATAAAATGATAAATCGTCATATAAATATTAAATACACAATTTTGTTGTTACTTAAATTCACTAAAACGACGTTATTTTGTTTAGGAATTGTAAAATTGGACATATTGATTGCACCACTGATTTTTCTAGTATTTAGCGATAGCAACCTTGACCGATCCGCTGGATATCCACCCGAAACCCGCCCAGATGGTGAGCATTTTACCCGTCCGTCGTGGATAAAGGGCGGATTCGGGTATACCCAAAATCCGTGAATTACGGACAACGGATGGTGATGAATCTCATGGAATCCGGCCCGTCCCCCAAAAACGACATCGTTTTACCCTCCCTGTATGTAGTAAATGAAAGGTGGAGAAACCCTAATCTTCAATTTTCTCATTGTTGGCGGCCGATTGCTCCTATTTACTCTCCACTTTCTCTCTGCTTGCCGTCCTTCTCGCCACTTTCCCCTCTTCTCTCTTCCTCTTCTTCCCTTCCTCCCTCTTCTCATCGCCATTCTCCCTCTTCCTCTTCATGCTGTTTGGACCCATTCCTTCATCATTTTCTTGCCATAGAGAATCTCTTCTCTTGTCCTTATTTGCTAGTCGTGGGCCTCTGTTTTGCTGCATCCAGTCGCTCCTGCAACCCCAAAATCGCACTCGCATGAATCCCCAGATATCGATGAAACCATAAATTAGGCATTTGCTTCTCTTAGCTCCAGATCCAGCTTGTTTGATAACACCATTGTTCGATCGGGGGCAAAAACCCTAGATTCAACTGAAGAATTTTCCCTTTTAATGTTGGTTTATGAGATCTGCGGGATCCGTGGGTTATCCGAATCCGTTTGTTGGCGGGGATGGTATACATAATCAGGAGCAGGCCCAGGGGGTTTTAGGTAGGTCTGGAAAAATAGACCAGACTGTTAGACAAATCGTGGTCGAAACCGTATCGCACAGTTTGGTCTGGACCATAGACCGTTAAGTATGGTTTGGTCTGGTCCATTGTCTGGTTTATTTTATGTTTTGATATCTTGGTCTGGTCTGGTCTAGACCGTGGTTTATCGGACCAAACCGTGGACCCAACTGACTTGTCAATACGTGTTAACAGCCCATTCGATCACTCTCCCAACTCCCACAATGACACCCAAGTCTCAATCTTAATTTTGTGAATCTTGTCCCTCCTTCATTCACAACCACATTTAACTAGAGAGTAGAGATAATCGTGTCTCCATATGACATTATGTTAATGTTTATGACGTTATGGTGCAAGTTGGGATGCTTTTACTTTGTATATTTGCTATGTACTAAGATTTAGGGTATCAAAATTATTCATGCATGTTAGGATTAATGTTTCAAGGCAAATAACAATTATTTTTCTTGGTTATTGGTTCAATTTTTTGTGTGGTTGACTAAACAAATTATTCATTTTTCGTTGAGTGTGGTCTATCTGGACCAGACCAAACCAGACCGCACAGGCGTGGTCTAGACCAGTATGTGGTCTGGTCTGTGGTCTATACTTCAACTTCTCGGTCTGGATCATAGACCGTATATATGGTCTGGTTTGGACCAGACCGCACCGTTTCCCATCCCTAGTTTTAGGGGTGTCCCCGGACACCCCTAAATTTCAGGAAAATGATTATCCAACCCCCGGTGGCAATTTACGTATAGACAAAAAAATATAATTGAAGTGAGGGACACCCCTGAAATTTGAAAAAATGATTATCCTACTGTCGTTTGTGTATAAAAATATAAATGGTAGGTTGGGTAATTCAAATCTAGAACACTATTATTATTAATAAACTTAATTTCCGTTGAGCTACAACTCATTTGGTGTTCGATTTTGAACAATGTGTAATAGTAAAATGTCATTCCCTATCTCTAATTATTTCAATCTAAACTAATTTCAATCTACCCTTAATTTGTATTGATTTTATGATTGTACGACAAGTGTTGAAGAGTCTTTTAGCTTTGGGTTATATCAAGAACAAGTTTACAAATCGAATATGCGATAAGTTCCTGAATGATTGTCTAGTAGGGTATATAGAGAATTTTCTTAACACTATAAACACCAAGTGTATCCTACAATTATTTTCGAATATGAAAACACATCATGGACTTTTTTAACCTGTACGAGTAAGGTCTTTTCATATTAACGATTTTATTTTTATTAATTATTTTTATTTTTATTTAATTTATTTTTTAAAAGAGAACACCCCTATGAAAAATTTCTGGGTTGGTCACTGTACATAATTCCCCCGTTTAGCCTACGGGGACGAGGACGGGAAAATCCATCAACTTTGACGAGAGGGGATCGGGAGGTAAGTACCCGTCCCCGATCCGCCCCGATGACATCCCTACTAGTATTGATTGGTTCTGATTGATATTGACTACTACCTCATATCAAGGGTATTCCATCTAGTTTGTGTTAGATGCTGGTTGAAATGTGCGGCATACCAACTGTTTTAACAACTATGTGTATTTCGCTATATTGGGTAGAAAAATTACATTGTCATATCATATCATGATCTTACTACTATAACTTATTGATAAAATGAACATATCATTGTAATATCATGATATGATGATGACATAATGATGACATAAACAATTGTTGGTCAAATATAAGATTTCACACTATTTTACCACGATGGTAAGATTTGTAATATCATTTCACCACTGCCATACTATAGTCTAACTACTATGATAAGAATGAAAACACTCATATACCACTGGCATATCTTAAAATTATCATAATGATAATTTCATGATGTTAGTGGTAAGAAGACATGAAAAAATTAGCTAAAAAATATCAAAACAAATATCATTTTACATAGCACAAATATTCTTATTATACTACGTTAAACATTTAGAGATATAAAATGAATGAAATATGATCCGTTAAAGTTCCATAAGAGATTTAAATAATGTATGGACCGATCCATGAATTTTATTCAGGGGTGTCTTGTTCCAAAAATTAAATTTAAAAATAATAAAAAATTCTTAAAAAAGGTAATATATGACTGGTACGAGTCAGAACAAACTACAACGACTTGAAAATTGTAAAATACACATGTCTAGATTGCTCAACAAATATCTTTCAATATATTATACTAGAGAATCATTAATTCATGAACGGTTGCATATTCGATTATGAAACTTGTTATTCATGTAAACCACAATTAAAACGTTATTATATTTACACGCGCCTTTTTTACGTTATTAGATCGAATGCTAACAATCCTTGATTATTGAATAAAAATGATAGTAATTAATGTGTGAGCACATTCTAACAAACGGGTTGTTCAAAGCAAACACAATATTCACGTTTGTGCAGTAGTAGGGCTATAGTGCAGTGATTGAAAAGCTTAGGCCCATTTGCTTTGGCACGACGCGTGCATGGTCGCAACTCGCAAATCGCAATACCAAACTAGCAATAATGCAGTGGGACAGCGGGGGGAAGACTTACTATATAAGAGTGGGTCACATAATATAAGCTGGTCAGATCAACTATTATTACCACATAGTGAGAGAGATATGAGCTAGTTAGGGCCAACGCTACTGAAGTTAAACGGACAAGGCATGGCGGGTATTTCTATACCTATACTCGTTTCATATCAAGTGTAAGTTAACATTTGCGTGGGTAACGGACATGATAGATTGATCAATTCTTACATGCTATTTGAAAAAAATACGGACGAAATTTTACTTTCTTATGATTAAAGGAAGAGAAAACCGTTATGAAAGAAATAATGACAATATATAATAGGTAATTGAGTCTAACTAGTTGAAAAATAAAATCTAACTAGTTGAAGAAAAACCAACGTACACAATATATGAATAAATATTGCAAGAACGGTACAGAACGAAACATAACAAGTAATTACTCATATCCCGCCCCACACTACTTGAATAAATAAATAGCTATTTGCCGCCCTAGTATTTACTATTTGCCGCCCACAATTTCAAAACATAAGACGATCTTCTTCTAACTAAACCCTAAACCTATCTTGCCTACCCTCTCACGACCTGACCCCTCCTCCCACAATCGCCACCGACCAACCTCCTCCGTCCTCCCGCAACCGGCGCCGACCAACCTCCTCCTCCCGCAACTGGCGACCTGGTCCCGCCGCCTCCTCCCTCACTCCCCCACTCACAAATAGCCGACGCGGAAGAGAAAGAATCTCGTCGCGGGTGGTGTCGTCGCCACCGTCGAAGAAGGAGCTCGCCATGTAGAGGAGGACGGTCCGACGACGGCGTGCGGACGGGGTCCGCCGCCACCGTCCGGACGGGGTCCGACTACGCCTTGCGGACGGGGTCCGCCGCCACCATGTGGACGGGGTCCGCCAACCAGCGTCGGATGGCGGCCGAAATCCCTTGTCGGACGGGATCCGAATTCCGGCGTCAGACGGTTTTTTTTCTTCCGAAAATCGTTTTTGAATTGTTAATTATTTATTGAGTAATTAAATAGTTAGATTATTTCAAATATGTATAATAAAATCTTATAATTAGGCAACGGAAAAAGGAAGAGTTTTAAGGAAAGATTGATTCTTTCGTAGATATAGTTTTGGTATTTTTTTTTTGTTTAGCGGTGGAATATATAAATAGAGGAGTTTTTATGGTAAAATTTGAAGGGAGATTTTTAAGGCATATTGATTTTTCTGTTGATATAGTTTTGGTAGAATTTTTTTATTTTGGTTGAGCGGTAGAATATTAAATAGAGGAGTATTTATGGAAAAAATTATAAGTTGTAGTTTTTACATTAATGAAATATTTTATTTCTAATAAGAATTTTTCGGAAGGAAACTTCCTAATTAACTTCCTAATTGACATCCGAAAAAAATTACTTAATTAACATTTCCTATTCCATAACCCACGTCTAATTTCAATTACCTAATTAACAATAGAAAAAAATTTGTTTTAATTAACATGACTAAGCCCATAAAATGGAGATTTTGTATTATTAATCACAACCAAAACACATTCCTTCTACCCCTCTCAAACCCTAAACCCTTAATCTAACCAAACACTACATTAAACCTCGATCCATCCAATCCTACTACGACATTGTCTTAGAGGCAAAATCATTTCTGCCTCCACTAACAACAATCGTTCGCATCATTGAAATACGCATGGTAGGCCCAAGAAACTGCTCGTTACAACCCCCAGAGCCCCAAAAAACCTCGATGAAAGTTGTGACACTATTCATACTTTTTTGCCCAGGACGTCTAATCGAGAAACTGTCGATTCCACCATATTCGTATACACATTTTAGTGGAGCGCCGAGGGTTTCAATATTTTTTCACATTGATAACTCTAGTAACTGCGAAAAGATATTTTTGTAGCCAACTTAATCTCGTTAAACTGCAATCCGATCAAAACCCTAATTTAACATAATTATAAACCGTGTTTATCTCACTTAATTACTTAATAATAATAAAACATCATAATTAGTTAGGTCAATAATTAAATAAATTTTTTAATTCTTAAAGGAGTTGATCTTAGCAACGATAGAGTAATTAGTTCCCCAATTAACATCCCTAATTATTAATTAACAACCATCCACGTCTAATTTCATTACTTAATTGACATCCGAAAAAAAATCCTTAATTAACATGTCTTATTCCATAACCCACATCTAGGTTCAATTCCCTAATGGCAGACGTTCTAATTGCAATATTTTTATTTATTAATAATTTTCATTTTTATTGCTACCAACAGAATTTGGTGAGGTTGGATTATAAACGTGAGTCGTGAAATTAATTGATTGCTAGTTTAGGTAAGTTTAGTTTCCGTCTTTGTCTCATTAATGGAATTTTTAATTTAATTAAGGTAAGTATAGGTTATTTTTAATTTCCGTGTTTGACTCCATTAGGTTATTTTTAATTAAATTTATGTGTCTCAACAACGGGTCCTCCATAAAAAAAAACAACGGGTCCGCCGGCCAACGTCGGACGGGGTTCATCCGCCGGCGGTGGTAGTTTGGTGTTGGTGGTGATGGTCTGATGCTGGCTGTGGTAGTCTGGCTGCGGTAGCGCCGATGGCAGTGGTATGTCCTCGGCGACGATGGTGTTGTGGTGAATTACAAAATTAAACGAAGGATAAAAATGATATTTCCATCAAAATTACGGGCGACAAATAGTAAAGACACGGGCAACAAATAACACGCCTCCTTAAATAATACCTATCTCATCTGGAATAAGGGAGCAGGTTCAAGTTACCACTTACCATCATGACTCATGAGCTAACGCGTTGGTTATAGAATGCATTATTACTATACTCGGGTGTCCTTTTAAAAACGACAACGTTTGTAAAAGGTAACCACGTGAATTGCATTGGATAATTCCTTCAAAGCCATATGCAAATCACCTCCGTCGTTATATGCCTTTATTTTCTTCGTGGGGTCTTGGTGAGTGGTACATATGTGGACATGACCGGCCTTTGGAATCCTATCCTTCGCATCCTTTAACGTACAATAAGATATTATTATTATTATTATTATTATTATTATTATTATTATTATTATTATTATTATTATTATTATTATTATTATTATTATTATTATTCATCTCCCCGTACGCATCTCTTTCACATTTTTCTTTTGCTCAATTACTCACTCGTAGTGCCCTGCCCGCGAGACTATATAGTACAGCTCTAGAAAGCTCCGCCAGATGAATCAAGCAAAGCAACCACACATACACATCTACCTCCTTCACTCTTGCCATCTATCAATCTATTCATCTCTCCAATCCGGTCTAATTGCTCCGGTCTAATTTGTGTGAGCTAGCTAGTAATGAGTCTGAAGATGATGATGACACCGTTCCACCGGAGCAGGGTAGTTGGACTGCAAGCGGTTCTCCTTGCCGACACCGCTGCTTCCTTGCTGCAAATATCCGGCCACCACCACGATCAACATCATACCAATCATGTCATCACGAAATCCCTCACTGCCCTCCTTCCGCCTTCCCTTCCATCATCATCATCTTCTTCTTCTAGTAGCCCTGATGATGATGGTCACTTGGTGCTGCTGCTGCAGTCGTGCCATTTCTGCAGCACCAGGTTGAGCCCTAAAAAAGACGTCTACATGTACAAGGGTGACCAAGGGTTCTGCAGCAGGCAGTGCAGGGACAAGCAGGTGAAGCTGGACGAGATCAACGAGGCTGAGGAATCCAATCTCATATTCCACCTCAACAACTCTTATAATTCCAGACGCCGCCGCCGCCGCCAGCTCAGAGCCGCGCCCTTGCTTGAGATCTGCAGCAGCGGCAGCACAGCCTGCAGCCACCGTCGAGGTGAGAACTTCAGCTGCAGCATTCCACGGCGTCGCCCCGTGTCGCAGTACATTAACCGTCCCCTTCCTCTCCCTCCCCACCAACGCCTTGGATACATGAACCACCGACGCCAGCTAGCTAGCTAATTACCCATCTATCTATATATCTATATATAGAATCAACCACCGCCAATTATTCATGATTTGTGTAATAATCTTTGCATATATATATAGGTAATAATTAGTTCGCAAGCTAGAGATATACAATATCTGTAATGGAGCTTTTGTGGGTCTCTTCAACATTTCTTCCACCCACTTTAGACCTCTCACCAAATTTTTTTGATGAATACCTCTCACCAAATGACCCTTCAATGTATTTGACCTAAAGAGTTTATAAAACTTTATACAACGTATGGAAAGAAATGTAAAATAGAATGTGTACCTAATATTTATACTTATTGACTAGCACGAAACTACATCACAAATTAATCACAACTAGAGTCCAAGTTTTTAAACTCTAGCCGGGTGCAGTATAGGGCAATTATTTAAATTTCAACCCGGGTTGGTCCATGTACCCCTACTTCAATCGCTTAAGTTATTATCTAGCAAAACGGTTTTGGGTTTTTAACTATGAAAACTACAAATGAAAACAAGCAAGAAAAGTAAATGAAGGAAAATTCTAACTAAGGGAGCTTCATCCAGGAGTTGCTTCCCCCTAACTAGCTACCATGACTCGTTGGATTGAATGGAGTCGTGTGGTGTAGGTGGTTGTGAACCGCGAGGGTGAGCAACTAGTGATCGATTTGTCACGAAATCAATTCACCAGCGATCGACTTGTCACGGGATCGATCCACTCACCAAGTCTAGGGGAACCGCTAGGAGGAGCAACTAGTGATCCATTTGTCACGGGATGGATTCACTAGAGATCGATTTGTCACAGAATCGATCCTCTCACTCAGTCTCTAGGGGTTGCCTAGGTCTCTCCCTCAAACCGAATTTTGAGCGGCTTAATCACAACCAACCTAGATGCAAACTTGAGTCAAGGGGGATGCTCATCTCTAACCTCGATAGTAGGCACAAAATGCTAAGGAAAACCAAGCTTGTCAAGCCTACCTAAAAAGGTGTGGTTTTCCTCTAATCTAGGTTAGGCAAACACACAAGATTTGGAAACCGCAACTAAGCACAATCATCATGAAAACACCTCTAATACTCAAATTGATGCAAACTCACACAAAATCATTCAATCTAAACAAGTAACTACAAAGTATTAGTTAGAGATCTACAACACCCAAGAGAAAAGAGTGAGTTTCTAGAGAGAGAAGAGAGATTACAAATTTGAGCTCAAGATCTTCTTCTTCTTCTTCTTCTTCTTCTTCTAGGCTTGAATCCTTGTCTTCAAGATCCACCCAAGCCTCCAATGATGCTCCAAGATCACTCTAGCACACACTCTCTCTCTCTCTCTCTCTCTCTCTCTCTCACTAGAACTCCTCTTCGGTGATTTTGGGCAAATAATAGAGGGAATTGAATTTCTCTCCAAAAACCAGCTCTCTCTTCTCTCTCTCCGTTGTTGTCTTCATATTTGTCCGAAAGTGACCAGTTCACGGACTCGTTGCACAGTTCCCGGTCGTGAACACCTAAACACGTCCGTGAACTCAGTGTCGTCTCCAAAACGCACTGCTTCGGTCATGGTGTTCACGGTCATTGGCCCCAGTTCACGGTCTTAGCGACCGTGAACTCCCTTGGCGTCAGTAACCTCTGAAACCTCGTTGGACTGCTCGATGTTCACGATTTGTGGCCCCAGTTCACGGTCTTAGGAGATCGTGAACCCCCTTGTTTGATCATGAACTGCAGATGCTTCCTGGACGCCTGCACTTCACTGCTACGGGGTAATTGTCACGGTGACTTCGGACTTTTCTTCGGTTTTTGCACTTTTTGACCTCCAATTATCCCAAAATTCGACCTCGACCCTTCCACACGTGCTAGGACCTAAAACGTATCAAAACAAGCACAACCTAGCGTGATATATGTCGAGGAACGATGAAATACTAAGCTAAACGAATAAGAAATGAGGGGTAAAATGTGTACATTTGGGCCCAAATCACTCATTCACAAATTCCATACTGACAACTCTGTAGTATGATATTATACATATATTCCAAGGATAATCTTAAAAAAACAAAAACAAAACAAAAGATGAACAACGGTACATAGTTTCTTATTCTAAACATTTCTCTTACTTTTATTGTAATGACTCATTGTCACTCGTATGTAGGAATGACAATGGGTCGGGTTCGGTTGAGTTTTGTTAAACTCAAACTTATGAGTTTATCCGTAAAAAAATACTTCAAGTAAAACCCACTGGGTTTGAAAAAACTCAAACTCAACCCAAACTGTTAGGTATCTGCGAGTTCATAAGTACCCATGGCTTTTTGTGATAGAAAATTTAAAATAACAAGTTCCTATCAAAATAAAAAGGCAAACATAAGTTTCTCCATACAAATTATCCATACATGAAACATCTGTTTAGAAAATTCAAACGAATCACAAATTATCCATACAAATTGTTCAACGCAAATGTAGAAAATTCAAGCATGGTGTGTTCAACTTCTATAAAATTCAACACACAATTTTTTTCCCTGTTTATGAGAGAGCAGTAAACCAACAAACATGGTGTGTTGAAGATCAATTATTAATTTATCCCTGCCACTTCTTTTGGGAAAAAAGGGAACGATACCTTGCTAGTAAGAAATAAAACATGCAGACAACTTTCTGTGAAAAGTAGGGAATGATTGGGGGTCGGACCAGGAAGGAGAGGGGTTTTGGGGGAGAGAGCAGAGTGGTGGTTGGGGAGGCAACAAGTGAATCGTCAGTGTCGTGAGAGTTAGATTGGGGGAAATTAGAATTAGGGTAGGGTTTGAGGAGAGTAGTATGACGGAATAAGTGTAGGCCAAATCCAAACCCACCCCAACCCGATGAACCGTGTAACAGGCTTAAACCCGAATCCAGTTCGAAACCCATCAACATGAGTTTTGTCCACGTTGACCGGATTGGATCGGGTAGGGTATCCGTGGGTTCGGTTTTGTTGCCATCCCTACTCGTACGTGGTAGCTTGCTGGCTAAGAAGTTGTGCTAAGCCTAATGCATGTGGGTCTAGCATTAAAACAACATACATAATAATAATTTTGAGCAACAAGATTTGTTTTCGAATCTGCAAATTACATGGAATATGGAAGAAAAAAAATGGTTGGGAATACATAAACCTAACATTGTACTTCTTCTTGTTATATTACCCTTGGTTCATGTTCTCTTTAATTAAACATATAGATTTTCCATTTGTTGATACCAATCTTGTCCTCGCTTGAACTTTTACCACTTGGCATCCGAATTAATTGGTAAAGGAATAAGTCAAAGAATGATGTGTTTTGAAGAGAGATTTATGGTCCCTTTATTATGATTCTGTTCACGATGGCACACTCAAGGGTGGAAGTTTGATGCTCACTCAAGAGACAACAACCCGAAAACACTGAAGAGTGCAGCTATATAGAGTAAATTGCATCATTTGCATGCACATATGAATCACATAAACTGCACAATTGGTAGGAACGCATGAGACGAGAGAAGGAACAGAAAGCACAATAATTACAGTTGTATGGCTGAATACAAGTCGATGAGATTGATTCACTACAAGAAAGCAGCTCGTTAGCGACGGTTGTCTTGCTATTTAACGACGGTCGAAACCGTCGCAAAAAACTTTAACGACGGACAGGCGACTGTCACTGACCCAGCAGTCCTTAAATTAGTTTGCGACGCTTTTGGACGACCGTCGTCTCAACCGTCGGTACAATTTAACGACGGGCATGACCGTCGCTAATTTAAAAATGACTGTCATTATATGTATTAGTCGAAAGGTTGTTTCAGGGATTAGCTACGTTCAAAACCGTCGCTAAATTAAATACATGTGTCACTAAAATGCTTGCTTTTCCAAGTAGTACCTGTGACCTAGTCCAATCAACTAGAACTAAATAATAGTAATTTGAGCAAAAATTAACCAACAAAATCACACAAATCTAGTTTTGGAAAGCCTTCATATTAATAAAATCATCAATCCTCAACCAAAAATCCCTTGAACATTCTAAAGTTTAACATTCTCATATATGACAACTAATGTTCCTTGTGAAAGTTCAAAACCTCTTTGTCGTCCTTCTTGCAAAACCACCAGCCCCTCTTACAGCATATCAGAATCTAGCACTGCATCTCACCAAACAAAAGAATCTCGCACTGCAAGGAAACAAGAAGCAAATCAGAGATAATAACCACGGAAAACAGAATGCAAGTACTAAGAAACAACGGTGTGTACAAAATACTTTCGCAAGCTAGGATTATTAAGCTGATGAGGTCTTATGATATCAAAAGAACAATTAAACAAACAGCTAGTCAATTAAAGCTGCAGGTAAACAAAACTTTTCTTAAGGGGCAGAGAAACAATATTGAAAGTAGTACAAGATAGTCCCCAGAAGGAACCATAGTGACGCTATGCAGGCTACCGGGAAAACACAACATTTAGGAACTATAACTTCAACTTTGGCACAGGCTTCAATCAATGATAGGTCTGTCCAGATTACACTACAATGCGACCGAGCAACTTGCATTTTGACCCACAACCAAGACTAGCATTCCCAAAATAAGCAAGCTTGACGACTAACACAAAGGGTACGTGGAATGCCAAAATTTGAAGAAGAATGCCTCTCCTTCGTCCTTAACAAACCAACTTCCTAACGTTACAAGAGAAATTCTCAGTTCATATATTAAATTTCTACGAATGACAGCAGTTACCCCTTTTGATAATTCTTGATAGTTTGACATTTAATGTAACAAGATAGAAACTAACCTCCGTGTCTGAAAATCTCTGCCTCCCCAGCGTCACTATGTTTCTTGGCTAATTTCATGATGTCGTAAATGAATTCGATGAGCTCGGGGCACTCTTACATCAATCCAAATCTCAAGTGCTCTTCTTAACAGTGGCAGACTTCATGATTTTGAAGAACTCAGGCTGACAAAGAGGTAAAATGAGAGAGTCAGGTATAAAAGCCAGCGAATAAATATTGAAGAGAAGACCCTCAATAAATTGATGACAATTTTACTCAGTCGCAATCACCTAGAGAGAAGCTCCACCAACCAAATATCCATCAACATCTTCTTGCCCCGCCAACTCTTTGCAATTTCCTCCACTCACATTACCTAAAGTTAACAAAAATAAAATATACAAGAACGTTTATTACAACGCAACATTCCCTTCCATTGAATTTATGTGCAGAAGAACCATACTCAGGACACTAACTGCCATTCAAGGTTAAAATAGAAACTATGAACAATAATGTCGCTCTTACTTTATCATAATGCAACAAAATTTTCACAAGCATTATAAATGTAAACCGAGCACCATAGAAATGAACTTAAAGAATAGCCAACTCTTTCGAATCTGCTCATTCAGGTAAGGAACTCTAGCTAAGGGCGGCACATGTTGTCACCGAATAAAACTAAATGCCATGCTATAAAGTTGAGAAAAAAGAAATATAGTAGTTATTATCTTCTCCCATCCTTCATCTGGGTTGAGTGCAAGGGAAGGAAGGAACATACCTAAGTTCGCATCTTGAATTCTGTAGCAAGATCTTCCCATAGCTTCTTTACCGTAGCCCTTTACCGTAGCTTCTTTGAAAGTAGATCTAAGCTTAGCAATAAGCTCATCCGGCAAGCATAATCTTTAAGCTCCCACTTGCTCTCTACGGAGGAGAAATTAAGCGCTTTCACGCAAGACCTCAAGGTCTCCTTCTCACCATGTTTGAAGAACGTCTCTTTGATGAGTAGCAGAACACTTACGCAATTCTGAAAAGTAGCAGCAGATATAAGTAAACCATGAAAAGGCCATATCTATTACCAGATTTTTTTTTTAAAGTCCAGAAAAGACAACAATCATTGGTTGCACATATCCAATATCCACATCCAATTGATTTGATTTGATTATAACGAAATTGAACAACAACCTAATGATTATATCAAGAGAAATTGAAAATTAAGGTTTCAATCATTGCACTTATCCAATATCCTTACCTCCCTTGCAAGTTGCAACTGCACTGTCAACTCCTGATAAGCCATTCCATACAAGAATATGTCCATCGCCAGAACAGTTAATACCAACTGAAATTAACAATGAAAATGACAAGTTAAAATCCACATGACAAGAAAGATGAAGAGAAACAAGTCATTTTTCCAAGTGAGAAAGGAACTAGGCATTACAGTCAATTTCATGAACTCTCGGAAAGAAACATACACGCCATATAGTGACTTCTGGAATTCTATCATTACAGAGAGTGCTCTTAAGAACCCTTTTTTTCTCCACCTTCTGAAACTCTTCCAGAATCTGGATAACCCATTTTTTGCCTTCTTTACCATTACTTTGAGTCTTGCCTGCAAAATTGGTATTAGTAATACAAGATCTGCTCTTAAGGAAATAATGAACACATAGGAGTTCACCTGACAGGGAGTTAGCCTAATACATCTAGCTACCTCAAGAGTTCTTCTGCAATAAACGCAAGGAGGGTAAAATACAGAACATCCACCATTTTAGGTCAACTGAGAGGACATGATCAACAACCCAGATTCTAATTATAAGCATAGAAGAATCCCTAGAGTTTCACTTCGAATGCATCTAGCTACCACAATTTCTCACAGTAAAAGCAAGGAAACAGAGTAAATAAGCTATCTACTATACTAGTTTCCCTCAATTTGATGGGAACAACAACATACACTCATTTAGATATAAAGTTATACACAACAACATACACTGATAGGGGAAAAAGCAGCAACCAAGTAGGATACAATTTCACTTACCAATCAAACAATACCATTTTAAGGCTACAAGTAGGTACGTTAACATACATGGATATAGGTACCTGGCTTATGGCATCAAAGGCTTCTGCACAGGTCTACACAGTTTGGATGCAGCTTCTCCAAAGCGCCATGTGGAAACTGAAGCTTAGTTGACATCAAAATATTTTGAAAGTGCTGAATACATAAGAGAACAAATATTCTTACACAAGGTGGGAAAGATAATTCTAGAAAAGAGGTGTCTCAACACCAGTTGGTGTACTGTATGAAAGAAAATAAAGGATTGATATAGAAACCCAAACAATCGAACTCTTGATAATACTAGAACGAAAGCCTCACTGAAATCAAAGTGCAAAAATATTAGTAACTTGATACCTTGAAATACTGTGAACATATATGCCACCCTCAAGTTCCTCTTCTTCCATCTCTTCCTCGTTACCAAATTACCCCAATGCTTACTCTTATCAACTGGCTCCTCCTCTATATGATTTCAAGGTAAATACCATAACATCGATTACTCAGCCTGTCAGTGAGAAGAGCATAACCAGCATAAGAAAGTTACATCAAAACTTGGTTGTTCTTCTTGATGAACCCCAAAAGCATCTCGATACAAAGGCCTCCATGCTAAAGGAAACATACAAAATAAATCAGTTACCATAAGAAAATTAAGATCACTAAGGTAGCTGGCTAGCTTCAACAACAAACGGTAGCGAACAGGGGATGACAGAAACATGCATCCAAAACAACATTGACTCTTCAATTTTTTTACGATATTGTTAAGCTGTATCTGCCTCCATTGCCCACGCTCGGGGAAAACACCTGCAGTAATACAGTCAAGCCCCAATGACTCTAGAACCCTAAGATTGCAACAATTCCACGGTTAAGTCAAGTAAAATCTAGTAAAGAATCAGGCCTCAATCCTAATGTATAGGAATATGCCCATATATTGCCCAAGGAAATAAATTAATCGAATGAATTGAAACTAGCTAGCAGTATCAGTTGTTCACCTCCATTGAAATTCTCGACGAAGCTCGTTAGAGCACAGCCAAGTAATCTCCTCGTCGATGAGATCTTGCCGCACCCATCCTCTTTCCGATGATATACAAAATCTGGATCTTATGGCAACGGAGAACCCTTCAATCGATTCTCAAACACAACGAAGCTCGGATTGGTAATCTGAACGTCGCCGTCCATCGCCGATGTCATTAGCATCCACAGTGATGAACGAGTATGAGGATGACTGGAGCGGTCTGTTTATCTCCACAAAACTGCATTCTCAAATCTTCTTCTTATCGTCCTTCCAACAAAAATTAGGGTTTTTATTTAGAAATTTGGGACAGAGAGGAGAAGATCTGAAGAACGATGAGAGAAAGGATAGGAAAAATGATGAGCAGGACAGAGGGATTTTCTCTATTTTGTTTCTATTCTTAAAATCTGAAAAGTATATTTTTATAATACTAAAAAAGTGTAGCATAAAATAGTATTAAAATCAAAAGTTTGGTACAAGCCACGAGGAAGCTTCACGTTGGAAAAATGACGCGTGGATAACGACGGCCACTTGGAGGAGCTGATAGATAATGACGTTTCTGATGACCGTCTTTAAGAAGCTGTCGTTAATACTTATGTTTCTTGTAGTGATTGGTGCCATCAACACGAATTTTACCCACATTGACCGGATTGGATTGGGTATGGTATTCCTTATTACAAAAGAAAGTCGTCTCAATTAAGGAGACCCTAAACCGCGACAAGTTGAGATCTAATTAACAAGTACTGATTAATTGAGTATCATAGCCACAGGCAGTGAAAACCTACTCAGAGTGCTCCAATAAAACAAACAGTAAACAAAAGACCGTCGATTAATAATACTGGATAATAACCATGCATAAACAATTAATCACGAAGAAGGAGACGATATGGAGATGGAGATAGCAGGATTCACATCCACCACGCCGCCTTCATCATTATTACCGTGCTGAAGATGACCATGATTAAAGTGATTATTATTCAGAATAAAATCCGTAATAATCCCCGACTCAGCCGCCGAATTGCGAGCCGCCATTGCGTCAATCCTCGCCATCACTCTGCTCTTCAGCTCCGTTACAGCCTCCTTGTAACACTGCACCTCCTCCTTCTCCTCCATCCCATCCACCCTCCACGTGTCCCACCAGAACCCTCCACCCGCCGCCGATTCCGCCACGTAGGCCGCTGGCACGGGACCCACTCCACGACCATCCTTCTTATTAAGAAAGTTGGTCAACTCGCTGACCAGCCTCTTCCCTTCCTCCAGCCTCTCCACCGACTTCACGTACTCCTGCTCTTGCACGCTAATCCCCAAGCCATGATCATTACCACTAATCACGTTGTTGTGATTAGCAATGTTGTTAATAGCATCATGGTGAAGAAGATGATGAGGAGGAGGGGTGGGGTTGAGTAGTGGGCCGCCACGTCGGCGGGCGTGGTGGAGCTCGTAGCGGCGGAGGACGGAGTCGACGTCGGGGCGGCCGCAGGAGAAGACCTTGTGGTGCTGGGAGAAGAGGATGACGGCCAGCTGGGACCCGCAGAGGGTGGACAGCTCCGTCGCCTTCTTGAAGAGGCCGTTCTTCCGCTTCGAGAAGGTGACGTGGCGGTGGGGGTCGTTCTCCACCTTCTTGATCTCGATCTTCTGCCTCCCTTTGCTCGCCTTCTTCATCAGGTTCTTCGTCGTCGCCGTCGCCTGCTGCTTCTTTTTCTTCTTTCCCGTCGTTGCGCTTTTCATCTTGGTAGCTTGCTCCTCTAGCTAGGTATTATATATAGGGATGAATGGAAAATGGAGGCCGGAAGGCAGCTAGGGTTTTTCTTTATAGGGAGTTTTTTTTCTTTCCTTCCTTCTGTGTGATATATGGAAGTTCAGTTTAATTAGGGTTTGATTTGATATGATTAGATTCTCCTGATTTCAGAAGGATGATGAATGATGATGCAAACAAGGAAAGAAAAGTTGTGAATCCGACGGCCGGCTCCGGCCGTGGTGGTGAAGTTAATCGTACGTACGTAGCGTCTTCCATGCATGATATGGTAACTGTTTTACCAATTAAAAGGAATGTTTTCTTTGGCTTTGAGGGAGAAGGAAAAGAAAGGACAGAGGAAGGATTTTCCCAGTAGCTTCTTCCATCACCAATTCACCATGTGAGAAAGCCCATACTTAATTTTGGGCCTCAGCAAACCCAGGCCGCTAAACTAAGTGGTCTCAATGGGAAGAGGTCCACTACAATTCTACTCAAAGTTGTAATTCACTCACTCCGCATATGTTTAGAAGGAAGCCAGTTTCCTTCTCAAGCTTCTTCCATCGATGTGTGTCCTTCATTGGTCATTCTCTCAATTTGGAATACAAATCACAATTTCTTATTTAAAAAGTTGTTTCTCATCCCCTTGCTCATTCATTTCGAGTCCGATGAGAAGGCGCGAGGGAGATTAATTTGAAGGATGATGAAGTGGTGGCTGTATCCTTTGTGGACTTATTTGGATGATGATGATTGAAGTTGTTTTAAGTGCCCCTTATGTTATGAACTTGTTATTTTTGTGAGCTTGTGTTTCTAACTTTCTATGAATTTGTGATTCCATACACTGTGTTTCTAGATATTTATGACATATTTTGCTTGTTTTTTTGGATGATTTCTTATTATTAATTATTTGAATTTAAGTAAAAATATGCTAAAAATTTATTATTTTTACTAAAAAATATATATAATTTTTTATTCAAACAGCTAGGTTGTGCCTAGATATGCTAGGCAATAGGGAGGAAACCCAACACATGCCTTAAGTCTATGTTTGCAAAACCATACTGCAACGCGGGATGTCTGGCCATATATAAAATCACCTATCGAAACTCTAACAATTGGAAGGCGATCTAGCGGTATGAAATTGTTAAACCACAATTCTCACCATAGAATAACCTACATAGGCTTTCCCGATACGATTTTTTTGCACGGTTTTACAACCCTAGCGCTTTTTATAGTTGGATTTTATTAATAATTTACTTTACTTTGGCCAAAGAATTAGAATATTCAAACTAGTTCTAGAATGCATGAAAATATATGGCATATGGGTGGGTAATCATGATGATGACTTGTGGGTAGTGGTCAATGATGATATACTTAAATTAAAGTGTCGATCAAGGTGTGTGTTTGTCTTTGTGTGTGGAAGACAGCTCGAGTCTTCCGTGTGTTTTGAACCGATCTCCTTTACGACCAGCAGAAAGGAAGGAAAGTGGGGGTCTCTGTTTTAGTTTGTAGGCTTTGTCGTTCTTTGTCTTTTGACATTATTATTATGTAGCGCCATAGCTTCGATTAGTCGCAAAATGGATGGGACCATTAGTTCTATCCCACTTCCTAAAATTCACAGTACACGAACTTACTCGATCTCCTCTACACTAATACTCTAGCTAGTTTAATCAATTAATTAAGTAGCCCAATTAAGTAGGGTTCAATTAAGCACATCTACAAATCTAAATTAGATTTGTCTAATTAACTAGCTCTACACGTGCACGTGAAAGGAAGGGCGCATGCACGTTACCCCAAGGTAATTGCAATTGTTGTCTTCTTCTGGCTATAATTAAGCTACTCCACCCACCATTATATTCCCATTCTTTCTACCAATATTGTTGGTAATTAAAAATGAACTGCGCTATCAGTTAGTTAGCCGTTGTTACGGCTTAATCATTATCAATTGTGGTTATATTATTCAGTATACCGAAGGAAGTCGCCCATTCTAGCTAGTACGTACCGGCCTTAAGGAATAATATATATGTATCTCATTCTAATTCGATCTTAAGTTATGACTGCACAACAACTATACATACGTACACTACAAGAAACTTAACTTTTTGCGACCAAAAAATTCGTCGCAGAAAGCCAAAAATCCGTCGCAGAAAGGTTTCCGCGACGATTTTGGCCGTCGCAAAAAGAAACTTATTTTCGTCGCCAATACAGCGTCGCAAAAAGTTTTGCGACGTAATTAACAGGATCCGTCGCAAAAAACTCATTTCGTCGCTGAAGGATCTAATCTTTGGCGACGTACATGCCGTCGCCGAAAACAATTATTTGCGACGATAGTAGCTCCTCCGTCGCCGAAATGCTAGTTTCGCGACAAACAAAATTCGTCGCAGAAAGTGAAAATATCTTTAGCGGTGACTATTTTTGGAAAAATTCACTATTTAATTTAGTATATTTATCATAATTAATTTTTTTTATCATTTTTGTAGTTGCTCCCAATTTATTTCCTGGTCCAAAATCACATCGTCATCTCGTCAACCCCAAAACCTTATCTCATCCAAGATAACCACACAACTAGTTTAGATCTACATCCACAATCCAGATTGGCCATTTAAAACCCCCTAATTCTAACCAATGGATTAGCGAATAGCAGCAAGCTTCTTTAATACCAAACCTGCAATAAGAACCAAGTCAGAATTCATAGGAAAATAAAAAACCGAGGAAAAATTCAAAAAAAAAACACAATCTCACCGATTCTGCCGCTTGCATTATTATTGTCACTGTCACCGAAACTCAAAGCCACCACCAGCAGCCTGCTTCTTCCTTCCGGCACTTCTCTATACCACGACCAAAATCCAAAATCAAAAGATGAACTGATGAAAACATTAAGATTAAGCCAGAAAATAAATAAAAAAACTTACCAGACCAAATGAAAAAGCAGATCGAGACTTTCGCTTGTCGCCGCTGCCGCGTGAGTTTCGCCATCGTTGCTGCGTTCGAAGCTTTGGCGGACATGAGTTTCGTCTGTCGCCGTGACGACGTCGCGATTAGAGGAGATTGCGAAGAGAGATAGAGTAGATCGAAAGGGCAGATCGAAAGGAGAGAGAGGAAATCTGATTAAAATAGAAGAGAAGAGACCCGATGGAGAGGAATATGGCGGAGGAAGAGTCGGAAAAGAGTAGATCTGGATCTTTTTGATTCTTCAGATCTAGAGGAGAAGAGGTTAAAGGAACCAAAGGCGGCTAGGGTTTTCTTTGGCTCATTGAATCGATTTATATAGAAGGTCACCGTGTTTTGCATAATTACAGATAAGTGCCACCGTGTTTTGCTGAATTTTCAAAAATACCCCGTCCCTCTCTTCTTAGAAAAAAAAAATTAAAGCCTTGGACAAGTCTCAAAACCGAGACCTACCACTCCAATGCGAATTTATGTACCACTTATACCATCTGTGATGTGCAATTTGTTTGGCATTTTTAGCAATCAGAAAATCTTTATAAGAAGTTAATTTATAAATATATGTACTTTTTATATGTTCTTATTACGAAATTTTAAAAATGAAGGAATTTTTATGTTAGATTAATTTTGTTCTACTAATACAAAAAATTCAGAAAGTCTGAGATGACAGAGGATCGCAAAAGTGAAAAACGTTTTCCGACAAAAAACGAACGTTACAAAAGTTTTCAAGCTGCGACGACTAAGAATCGTCGCAAAAGGTCTCTAAAAATTCTGCGACAAAACAATATCGTCGGAAAATATCTCGACACATTCTGCGACGAAAGTCAGTCATCGCCAAATGTTTCCAGACAGTCCGCGACGAAAGCAACTCGTCGCAAAAGGGTATGAAATTTTCCGCGACGAAGGATAATCGTCGCAAAAGGTTTCAAAACATTCTGCGACGACAGTAACTCGTCGCAAAGGTTACGAAACATTCTGCGACGAAAGTCAGTCGTCGTAAAAGGTTTCAAAACATTCTGCGACGACAATGAATCGTCGCCAATAACCTTCAAATATTCGGCGGCGATTAAGTTCGTCGCGAAAAATTAAATATTCGTCGGAAAAGCATCTGCCTATTTACGGTTGAATATTGACCTGATTTGCGACGAAACAATATAATTCATCGCAAATTGTACACTTTTTGCGACGAATTTGTTTCCGTCGCAATAGAATTCGTCGCAGAAAGTGCAGTTTGTATTTCTACCAAAAAAAAAAAAGAAATTGCAGTTTGTTGTAGTGGTACCACAGTTGACAACATGTTCAGTTTTCTGTATCATTAAAATTCGAAATGCAACTTGGATCACATATGTATTAATTAATTGACTGTTAGGTAGTAGTAATTAAATTGTTGTTTGGCAACTTAAGTAGGTCAACTTGGATTCAAACAGAAAAGAGAGGGAACTGGGTACGTAGTGTTTATGGGCCAGCAAAGGGATGGATGGCATTATTCATTATGTCGGCTTGGTGGATATTTGTCACACTCACTCTCTCTGCTGGCCTGGCCTGGCCTGCTGTTACTAGGTATAATCTAATCTAACAACAACAATAATAATATGTATTTGTTCAATTCAACCCTTTTTCACCCACTTCGATCCATCATCTCCCCAACCCATATATTCTTTCTTCCTCACGACCTTCACTTCACTTCACTATATATGGAGGGTAAGGGTAAGGGTAAGTAATCATTAAAGCGAAAGGGAAAAAGACCAAACCAAAGCACGACAAGACAAGCAAAACCAACAACATACTAGAAAAAAGTGAGGACAAGGAATAGAATAGAAATAGAAACAATGCGCTGTCCACCTTCCCACCCGTTTGAGCTGGACCCCAACCCCGAATGCTAATCAATCGAGCTCGGCCCATCTCCCATTACTAAAGCCCGCATCTCCCCTATTCACTGGGCCCAAGCCCGCTAGTATTGAATTACCCCCTTCCTTCCATGGATAAATTCCTTACCTTTTCTTGGAATTTTGCTGTGGACACACGGACAGAAACTGTGCCCACCGCCCAGTCCCTCTTTCCCACAACCAATCAAAATATTATAATAACAAAACCCAAACCGCAAAACGGAAAAAGCAATTACCAAAATTAAAAAAATGGAGGGAAAACAAAACAAACAGACAAAAAAAAGTGGAAAACAGAAGCCAAAAAGCAAAACTCCCCGCCCCAAAAATCCCCCCCACTTTCCCCTCCTCCCTCTTCAAAGCTTCCACTGTCACTCTGTCACTCATATTCCCTCACTCACTCGTCTTCCACCATTTTTCCAAATTAAACCAAAAAATCGAAGCTCTTACTTCAAAAATGGCGTCGCCGTCTCCTCTGTTTCTCCTCCTCATCCTTCTCTTCGCAATCCTCCCCTCTCCAATTTCCCCCTCCTCCATCAACGACACCCCGTCGACCTACATCGTCAGCGTTCATCCCGACGCCGTCAAACCCTCCATCTTCCCCACGCATTCCCACTGGTACCAATCCTCCCTCTCCTCTTTACTCTCCCCTTCCCCTCCCTTACTAATCCACACATACACCGGCGCCGCCTTCCACGGCTTCTCCGTCAAGCTCTCCCCGACCCAGGCCCTCCTCCTCCGCGCCCAGCCCCACGTCCTCTCCCTCCTCCCCGACCGCCTCCGCCGCCTCCACACCACCCGCTCCCCACACTTCCTCGGCCTCGGCACCTCCACCGACTCCGCCGGCCTCCTCAAGGACTCCGACTTCGGCTCCGACCTCGTCGTCGCCGTCCTCGACACCGGGATCTCCCCGGACCGACAGAGTTTCCACGACCGCGACCTCCCTCCGGTCCCAACCAAATGGAAGGGCTCATGCGTCAACACCCCCGATTTCCCTTCCTCCTCCTGCAATCGGAAGCTCGTCGGCGCGAAATTCTTCTGCGCGGGTTACGAGGCCACCAACGGGAAGATGAATCAGACCTCCGAGTTCCGCTCCCCTCGCGATTCCGACGGTCACGGCACGCATACGGCCTCGATTGCCGCCGGCCGTTACGTTTACCCTGCCTCCACTCTCGGCTACGCCAGGGGGCTCGCCGCCGGGATGGCTCCCAAAGCTAGGCTCGCCGTGTATAAAGTATGCTGGACCGCTGGGTGCTATGATTCCGACATCCTCGCCGCGTTCGACGCGGCGGTTGCGGACGGCGTCGACGTGATTTCGCTCAGCGTCGGCGGGGTTGTTGTTCCGTACTACCTCGACGCCATTGCAATTGGCGCATTTGGGGCCATGGACCGCGGGATTTTCGTGTCGGCTTCGGCTGGGAACGGCGGGCCAGGTGCTCTCACTGTAACAAACGTTGCTCCCTGGGTTACCACCGTCGGTGCCGGAACCCTAGATCGGGATTTTCCCGCCGATGTGAAATTGGGGAACGGGAAGGTGATTCCAGGAATGAGCGTTTACTCAGGGCCGGGGCTTGCTCCGGGGAAGACTTACCCCTTGGTTTACGCTGGAACTCAAGCTGGAGATGGCTACTCGAGCTCGTTGTGCTTAGAAGGCTCTCTGGATCCGAAATTCGTCGCCGGTAAAATCGTAATGTGCGACCGAGGAATCAATTCCAGAGCTGCCAAAGGCGAGGTGGTGAAGAAAGCTGGTGGGATTGGGATGATTTTAGCTAATGGGGTGTTCGACGGGGAAGGATTGGTCGCCGATTGCCACGTCCTCCCCGCCACAGCCGTCGGCGCAACCAGCGGCGAAGAAATCAGGAGGTACATCTCTTCCGCTAAACCCGATTCCCCGCCGCCGACTGCCACCATTGTGTTTAAAGGAACTCGGCTGGGTGTCAAACCAGCACCCGTCGTAGCTTCTTTCTCAGCCAGAGGTCCAAACCCTGAATCCCCTGAAATCTTGAAACCCGATCTTGTAGCTCCTGGGTTAAACATCCTCGCCGCTTGGCCGGACAAAGTTTCCCCTTCAGGGATCCCATCGGACCACCGCACAACCGAGTTCAACATTCTCTCAGGAACATCCATGGCTTGCCCTCACGTCTCTGGGTTAGCAGCATTGCTGAAAGCAGCTCACCCTGAGTGGAGCCCTGCAGCAATCAAATCAGCTTTCATGACCACAGCCTACACTGTCGACAACCGAGGCGAAACAATGCTGGACGAATCGACGGGGAACTCATCGACTGTTATGGATTTCGGGTCAGGTCACGTCCACCCTCAAAAAGCCATGGACCCGGGGCTGGTCTACGACATGACAACGTTCGACTACGTAGATTTCCTCTGCAACTCCAACTACACGGAGCAGAACATCAAGGTGGTGACGAGGAAGAACGCGGATTGCAGTGGAGCTAGGAGGGCTGGACATTCGGGGAACCTGAACTACCCGTCGATGGCTGTTGTGTTCCAGCAGTACGGGATCAAGCAGAAGATGTCGACCCATTTCATCAGGACGGTGACGAATGTCGGGGATGGGGAGTCGGTTTACAGTGCTAGGGTGGTGGCCCCTGCTGGGATGGTGGCCACGGTGAAGCCGGAGAAGCTGGTGTTCAGGAGGGTTGGGCAGAAGCTGAACTTCCTGGTGAGGGTGCAGACGAGGGTGGCGAAGCTGGCGCCGGGTGGATCTGTGATGAAGAGTGGGTTCATAGTGTGGAGCGATGGGAAGCACAATGTGACCAGCCCCATTGTGGTCACATTGCAGCAACCTCTGTAGTATTACTTCTTACTAAATGAGATCACAAACTGGCAAGGAAGGTTAAGCTTTCCACGTTCCTCGGGCGAAATTTTGGAACTTGGAGGCGTATGCATGCGGGAAGAGATATATAAAAAGAAGCCATTATCTCTATGGCAGGCTGGCAGCTGGTTGAGCTCTCTGGCTCTTTGAGTGGATGCAATGTGTATGTCTGTGACTGTATATGTAAGAAGATATGGTAAACGAAGTTTGAGGAAGGAGGTTCTGATGTAGTGTAATGTTGTTGTATGAAAAGCGTGATGTGGATAAGAGGAGAAGGGGAATGGTTTGTATTGTAGGGTGAGATAAGTTTGGGGTTTGATAGCTGCAATGCAAAGATGTCTTTCTCTTTGGTAATGTTCTAGTAGTTGAGTTGTGGTGATATATATGTAATGTATGGCAGATTTGCAGCAGTTGCAGGGAATGAGGATGGATTGATCCGAAATAGGCAAATACAATATATTATCCACAACTATTAACAAACGGGAAATTATATCCATAACTATCGAAATACAAAATAATAGCCAACTGTTAAGTCTCCGTTAACACTTCCGTTAGATGATGGTGAATTTGCAGATGCTATGCTGACGTGGCAGTCAACACAAATGCCACATAAGCAGGTCAACCTTGTAACTTATTAATTAATATATTATTAGGGGAAAAAATAAAAAAAAAATCCCCCGATTATCCCCCGATTCCAATCATCATCGTCAATTTGCCCCGCAGGTCGTCGCCGTTCAAGCTCTAGAAACTCTTGCACACGATTCGGAAGCTGAACGGGGGCGAGCGTCTCTCCACCCTTTTCCGGGTAGCCAGGTCGGGGGAACGCGAACGGCCGCAGGCTCGCCGACGGGTCGGGTTTCGGCGAAGAGGAGTAGTAGTTCTGCGGGCTGCTCTGTGCTGTGCCGAACGAATAGTCCTCGAAATGACCTCTGCAAGATCTGGTGCTCATCTTCGTCAGCGCCGATGGAGTCGGCGAAACCTGGAAATTGGATTGTGCGATGGAGGCGGAGTAGCTTTTTCGGCTCTTCGTGCTTCCCTTCGAAGCTCCCAGATCCGTCCAGAATCTTCGATCTTCTGCCTACTGGCGGACGAACTCATGAGAGATAGCACTTCGATCCGTCCAAAATCGAATCCGATCTGATGAAGCTGTTCGAATTGGAGGCCTACAAGGCGTGGGCTGCGCTGGAATCGGCGATGGAGGCGGCGATCACGGAGTTACGTAGGTTCGAGGAGGAGATGGATGGGATGGCGAAGGCGGAACTGGAAAGTGATGGAGTGGCGAAGGAGATGGATGGGATGGCGAAGGAGAAGGCGGCGTCGGTGGCTTCGAAGAGGTTCGTTCCAGGGCGGAAAATAATAGGGGGAAATTCTTTCCAATGGAGGGGATTGGGAAAAAATAGGTTTTCTCATTTTTTTTATTTTTTTAATAATAATGATTGTTTTAATATATTATTGTTTTAATATTCTGACGTGGAATGGTGATGTGGCAGTCTCCGTTATAAAATTTAACGGAGATACAGACAGTTAGCCATTTCATGATTCGCAATAATAGTTGTGGCTATTATTTTGTATTTCGATAGTTATAGATATAATTTCCCGTTTGTTAATAATTGTGGATAATATATTGTATTTGCCCATCCGAAATTGCTATTTATGGCGAAGCTGGAAGAAGTGTGTCATGGTTCTGGAATTCAACTACATGGTGAGAACTGAGAAGAGAAGGTGAAGTCTCGGTAGAGGTGATGAGTTGGGAGAAGTGAGAAGGAGAGCGGACATTAATTTGGCGGCCCGTGATCGAGACTGGGATAGAGACGAGAAGGAGTAGGGCCATGGGGAATATGCAGCATTGCATGTGGTGAATGCTGCTGGTGCTGTGTTTAATATTGCTAAGCACGCTCGCCTAATTTAGAGACAAGATCCATACGGTTGCTTGCAGAGGTAGCAATTTTAATCCAATTCACCAATACAATCCATCAGTCTATTAAAAATATCCACCTAATCCAATCCATTTTATCCAAATCCAATTGGATTGGTGGATATTGGCAAATTATGGTTTAGTACCTATAATTTTTATTTTTTACATTTTGGTATCTAAAATTTAATTTTTTATACAAAAAATATCATTGGAAAACTACGTTTTGGTACCTAAAATTTTTCATTATGACATTTTAGTGCCTAAACTTTTTACATTTTACATATTGGTCCTTGGTTGAGGATATCATTTGGATTCATGGATAATCCACCAATCCACTTGATCCAATCCATGAATCCACCAATCCATTAGATCCAATCCATTTAATCCATAGATCCACCAATCCAATCCATTTGCCACCTCTAGTTGCTTGCTTTCAGTTGCATCTTGCATGGTCAGTTGGTGTCACTCGAAATGGGCCTGCGGACTATGATGCTGGGGATATGTGGGCTGGGCTAATTGAGCCTCTTAATAGGATAGGAACACTATTAATAGGGATATAGAAGCCCAACGGTTGCTGAAGGTGGGTGGGCTTGGCTTAATGGCGGGCCTCTCCCTGAATAATAATCAATTTGACTACTATTAGACCTAGTTGAAGGTTAAGTTAAAAATCTGACGCATACAAGTTGAAAGTGGTGGTTGGACCCCACACTCCACTTGGTATGTAATGTAATATTGGTCATCGCACAAGTTGAGAGTCATTTGTCGCGTAATCGTGTTAGCTAGGGCTAATACAAGCAAGCAAGTTGGCTATAGGATGATTAAAATAAGGAAGCTAGTGACGTAAGTAATAATTAGATGTTGAGAATTGAATGCTTATTATCGTACTGGAGAGGTGAAATAAAAAGTCTTGTTTGCACTTGGGAAAAAATAGAGAGATAGATGCCAATGCCATAGTGTTAACTATTGGTTTAATAATTGACGTGTTGTGTTCAATGGCAGACAGCTGAGTCATTGTTATATTATGTATTTTTGCGGACGATAGAGCCGAGTAGCGCGTCAGAAGTGGGGGCCGGAGGAGGAGGAGATTCTTGAATTGGATTTGGATACACAAAGCTCAACTGTCTTGCCTACCTTTGTCCAAATATGTCTCCAGTCTCCACCTAGGGTTGGTTATACGGTCCGGTCCGGTTAAATTGGTCCAAATTAATCCGGTCCAGTCCGGTCTTTTTGAAAATATAAGGACCGAAGATTAGATTGGATACAGTCCGGTCTTGATCCGGTCCGGTCCCAATTCGGTCTTGATTTTACATTGAGATTGTGGGATTTGAGTGGCCTAAAGCCTTAAAGGGTGAGGAGTTGGTTAAGTTTTGTACTAAGTGCAAAGGTTTGTGACCGTTTATGCAAATTACCCTTAAGTTTTGGGTATTGAGCTCACTTATCCAATCTTTATCCAGTTTTCACTCCGGTCTCGAACGGTTTTTTACCTCAAATCTAAGCCCAAAAATTGGATTGGATTGTTTACTATCCGGTCCCGGTCCGGTCTCGGTCCGGATTATACAATCCGGTTTCAAGTAAAACCAAAAAACCCGGACCAAATAGCCAGCCCGATGAGTCTCGACTTGTTTATTTTTCAACTTGTCTAAAAAGTTATTACATGTATTAACGTAACCAGCAACTTGATCCTCGTTTTTATTATTAAACAAACTGTATATATATTTTAGGGTGAAAACTAAACATTTTCTCCATTCTTTTTTATTAGTCAAATATTAATTTTAGTTAGCTATTTTTTAGAATTATTGACTTAGCAACATGATACTAACTTGAAAAAGATATATGAAAGTCAACATTTCAAAACTTTAGTATATAACTAAGAAAAGAGGAAAAAAAAATTAGTTAAGTAACAAAAAAATGGCTAATATTTTGATACATTACAAAATATTTGGATCATTATTAATAATTCAATAAGTTTGGCTAATAAAAAAATGTAAAAATGATTTGGCTAATAATAGTCTTTACCATTTATTATACGATATACATAAACAAAACTAGCTTATAACCCGACCCGTTGGTCGGAGGAGTTGAGCCGAATATTGAATTATTGGGATAACCCGTAGATTCAACCATTAAGCTAAATTGGCCTAATGGTGAGTACTGCCTAGCATATCCCTATTGGAACATAAACAGTACATCAGAAGTTGGTACAACCATGAAGTTAGACTATTAAAAACATACCAATGAAATTGAATAGCATCAAAAGACTTCAACTTCATTATATAATTATATGAGATCAGAAAGAGAACACCATTAACTCCCCTTATCAATTCAAATTAATCTATGCTCGACCAGTAAAACTACAAACCCCTAGTTGAACCAAGCCTAACAATTCCAGCTAAATGGATAGAGAAAGGAGAACATATTCTCAAACCACAGGATAATAATATATTCTCCAACAGAATCTGCTTGAATCCAACATACATTTGTCCACGAACCATGACAATTACAATTAAGTAAATTTTGTTGCAAAGAAGCTAACCAATCTGATATCATCTAAAGCCTACAGGTCAATGTGCAGGTAGTTGGAAAGACATGTCACATTCAGTCAATGTTCAAGAGATGGATGGCTAAACCAACCACCAAGGAACCTACTATACCTTTTTGCTTGCAGTTAGATATTATACAGGTTGCTCAACTTGATCGAATGATGGGCATTTTCAGCAAGACAAACATAGTTCTAGATCAGGCAGAAACACACAACAAACTCTCTACATTGAGCAACTCTATCCATAATCGAGTTTCATTTTAGTTTAGCTTAACGCTTTCAATTACAGAAACACAAACAACTTATAAGTGAATTAAGGACATCACAAAATGATATCATAGTTGCCTTCTTATCAATTCATTTCTATCAAGCATAAAAAAGAATTAGACAGATTAACCAAACAATGTTTATTAATTCCAGCCAAAGCTTCTACTGAATAGGAAGAGAAGCCAACTAATAGAATAGTATACTATTGAAAGGAGTACTGATTAGGAGTTTTTGTTTAGGAGTTTTTGAGCCGCCAACGTCATCACCTGTTGTAGTTCCGAGGATATCATGGGCGGTGTTCTAGGAGTCTGGTAGTCGGAAAGGGGAAACCCATGACAGAGGGTTGGATTTGTAGGGTGCGACTTGAGTTAACATAGAAGAAATAAGGAATTCCGCTTCCATTCAACTTTCGTAAGACATTGAGCATGTTCAGAGAAGGGGAAAAGATCCCATGGCTTCAATCTTGATAGCTAATAGTAGGAACTCATTTGGACACCCTGGACAACTTGATCAGGGAAAGATGCTGTAAAACGCATAACAATGGAGCCATCATTCATTCCCAAACTAAGGCCACAACATGGGATATCACAGGAAGTATAAAAGCATGTAAAAAAAGATTGTATTGATTGTTGGGGAGCAATCATTCATACCTCAACACTGCAGGCTTCTTTTACAGGTTGCTCAACCCAATCGAATGATGGGTGGTTTCTGCAAGACAGATTCAGTTTCAGGTCAATCAGACACACACATAAAATGCTTCAGTTTTAGCAACTATATCAATCATTCACACCTTATAATGTGGAAAATGGTGACCTGTGGTCTAAGAATAACCTAACCACAACGATTTATTAGATGCAAATACTAAACCATACACCCCCAACGATTTAACAGACGATAAACCACACATATTCAGGAGGAAACATGAGTCCCCAAATAAGATCAAAGGAGACTCCTTAAGCTTTGTTTCATAAAGGACATGAAAACCCTAAGGAAGCAATTGTCCTTAGTAATTAAAGCAGCAATTTGTAGCAAACCCTGGCAGCGGAACCCAAAAACATAAAAAAAAAAAGCAAAGGCTTTTATGTTACCAGTCTGAATTGCATTATGAATTGAACATAGGGGGTGAAAAGAAATTGAGGAACCCAATTGGATGGTTTGGACTGCCAATAATGAAAGAGGCAAATGTGGAAGATAGAAAATATTAATAGAGCACAATTAGAAGATAATC